CTCGCTCACCAGCTCACAGTTTCTCTCCAGGGAAACAAAAATCCTACACTTTTCTCCAGTGTTGAGCATTCCCTACTTCCCTGTGAAAAGTCTGGAAGCAATGCTACGTTTGTTTCCTTTACAGAATAGTGCACTTGACTAGAGACTTATAAACTGATTCTTGTTTTATTTAGCTATAAACATACAAATATTGGAAGCAACCGGAGTCCTAAAACCAAGCAGCAAAACTGTAGGTCCTGAATTGCTGGAAAATAACAATAAAGATTTTTAAAAAGAACACTTAGTTGGTCTCTAAGGTGCTACTGGAAGGAATTTTTAAAAATTTTATTTTGTTTCAACCACCACCCTGATAATTCTGCATAAAATTCCTGGACACCAGACCCCACAGTTCTCCCTCCACCCAAGGCTATTCCCAATCCAGGCATAAATTCACATCTCAGAACTCTCAACTATCTCTGCCTCTGTGTTAAAATTGAAATTAAGATCCTATTAAAATAATTTATTCACGTAAGTATTAATATTTTTTCTTCTTTTTGTTTTGGTAATGCTAAATTAGCTAATTTCCTGGCAAACCTCCATGTGATTTAAATGAAGAATTTTTTATTTTTTTTTAAGTTTGACCCTTGCTTCTCCATCTTTAAAGAATGAATGGAGACATTTGCATCTCTTACTTTCCATTGTAGGAAAATGAAATGAACAGTGCATTGAATCCTCTCTCTTTTTTATATATATAAATTTTATTGTTGCAACACAAACACACACAACACTAAAAGAATAAATTTAAAAAGAAAATGTAAATACGAATATAGATACAAATACTAAACAAATAATAAACATATAACCATATTTCACTTCTTGTTTTCTTCTAATTGACTTCCTTCGCCCTCAGCGCAGGTCTACTGTAATATTTAATAAACTGTTTCCTTCTCATTTCATTTTTTCCTACTTTTCTTTCTATTTTAGACTTTTATACCTTAATTTGCTTTGCAAAAGTTAATCAAAACAAGTCCAGGTATTAATTTGAGGGCACTGCTTTTAAAGATAATCTCTCTATTTTTCCCATTCCTTTTGAATTTTTTGTTTAGACTGATCCCTAATTGCAACTGTCATTCTAGCCAACTCAAGGTAATCAAATAATTTTTCTTGCCATTTTTTTTTTGTTGACTCGTTTTTCCAATTTTTGGCAACTAGGATTCTCACCACCAATGTTGCATACAGGAATATTTTTGTGTTTTCCCTAGCGATTTGATTCTATCTCCAGGGTCAGTTTCAGAGAATAGCATTCATTGCTTTTTGGTCCACTGGCAGTTGTGCCACAGGGTACCATCTTGTCCCCAGTGCTGTTTAACATCTATATAAAGCCGTTGGGAGCATTCATTAGGAGATTTGGGGTGAGGTGCCATTAGTACGCTGATGAAACTGTTATAATAATTTTAAGGTCTTATATATATAATAAATGTTCATAAATGTACCAAGCAAAAACATACATAAATATATAAACCACATGTCTGAAGCAGCACAGGAAGACAGTCCTGAAACCATTTTAACTCCCAAACTGACCAAATGTTTCTCTGCAGGGAAGGAGGAAATGAAAAAACCTTCCCATTGTCTCAGGAATTAAGTAATTACCATCTCAAAGGAATGGCCAGACTACCAGAAAATGCAATCAGTTAAGGCATTATCAGATAACCTGGCAGACAGGAAAAACAACAACATTCAAATTTCTGTTGTAGACCACCTTTTCTGTGATGTAGGTATGATGTTTGTGGGGGGTGGTCTTGGGCTACACCCCTTCTGTGATGTATGTATGATGTAGGGTGGTCTAGAGTTTGAGGGTGGGCAATTTGAAAATTCTACATAAGGGCTGGCACACCTTTTTCCTGGGTCCTCCTCCTCTCTGCTGCATGTGGGGGAACACCCTGTTGCAACAGTTAATAAAGATCAGGCTTACTAGCTGCTTTGCTTCTCAATATTCTCCGGTTGGTCTCTGTTATTTTCTCCTACTGATAGAGAACCTACAAAAGGACTCTATATGGGCTCCTGCGTACCCCATAAGGGAAAAGGAGCGTTATTATTATTTTTTACTTACATCAAACCCCAGTTCTGTTTCTCCATAACATCCAAATGAGAAAGATGCCTTGTAAGCCCTGGACTGGTGCCTAGACTCAGTGGTGAGTTGGATGAAGGCCAACAAACTGAATTTGAATCCTGGCAAGAGAGACTGTGGGTAGGTGGTTCCTGTGTCCAGATAATTGGTCAATTATCTGCTTTGGTTGGGTTTGGCCAAAAGTGGATGTCACTATCCCACAATCTCAGGCATGAAGGCAGGACACAAGCACTCAAGGCAGGCACACAGCATCTCCTCTGCTGACTTATGCTGATCAGCTGAGAAGTGATTATTGTTCCCTTTCCACTCATTCAATGCTCAGTCTGATGATTGGGGAGAAGGCAACCCCCATTAGGGCAATGGGTTTCACCCACCCCAACACAATGCCTATTTTAAATATAATTTTTGGCACTCTTGCCAAATTTGCCCCAGAACTGATAGTTAACCCTGTGTTATAAACCTCAGGATTAAATCGTATTGTGCATTCAATAATATTTAAACTCTGCCAACTTTTTTTTAACAACCGAACTCTGAAATGCCCAATTTTGTTGCTTGAGCTCTTTATTTTCTTTTATCAGCGTTAAATAGAGGCCAAAATTCAGTATATCATCATTTAAAGAAATTTTTAAGGTACTAAAGCATCTGAATTGTAGAAGCCATTTTATTATGGGCCTTGAGAGAACTTTTGCCCCTTTACCAAAGGTTCCCATTAAAAACAGAACAGCACAGCTGCCACCTACTGCACAATGTTGGAACAGTTGATCAAAACTAATGAAGGCGTTTGATGCATAAACACAAGTTATTAGAGTAGAACAATGCGGTTAAAAACTGATTCAGTAGTGGTGGGTGGGGCATAGCCATCAGCTTTGAGCCTAGCTGATGGCAAATATCACAAATCTGCACTTTGTATGAATGAATTTCTTTTCATTTCTCAACTCTTCTAATTTGGCATCATCCAGATTGGCTCAAAACTCCTACTTCACTAAATAAATAGGCTCTCATACAACTGATTTTCTTAAGTACTGTTCTCCCACTTGAAAGTTTGCCTTTTGGCAACAAAGCCATTTATCTTTTCCAATTAGAAAATAGTAGGTATGAAAAACACCCCCCCCAAAAAAAAACCTACATTCCCTAAGAAAACCCAGTAAATACAGTGACACCAAACTAAATAGTATTAAAGAGAGATTAAAGAGGACTTCCCTGGCTTTTTTCCTGGCCTGCGTAGGACCAGTCTGGATAGTTGGCCTTGGTGAAGATTTTTTTGTTTTCATCTCCAAAAAGTTTTTGAGTTTCTATTGAAATGAGGCTGCATTTTAATGTTGTACTTAATCTTGTTTTTACCTGGTGTTAGCTGCCCCGAGCCTGGTCTTGGCTGGGGAGGGCAGGGTATAAATAAAATTTATTATTATTATAATAATAATTAGATGGTATGAACAAATATTCAGTTCTAGAAACCCCAGATACATACCAATATATTTAAGGATGTTTTGTACTTTACATCCCCCCATCTTTTATGTTAAGGAATCCAATGGGGTATACATGTGGTTCCCAGTAATCTTCCATCCAGGTACTAACCAGACTCAGAACCTGCATAGCTTCAGCATGGGGGTGGCCAGCCTCAATTATAGTACAGCACATTTTTTAAAAAAAGTTTTCCCTTTGGTAAAATGGACTAATGAACCGGGGGCAATGGCTGACTCTATAGCATTTGGCTTAAGTTAGCTGGAGCTTTCGTCGTCATAAACTTTTCCTGGCCCACCTACTCTCTCAGGTAATGCATTCTTTATTATTATGAATCTCTTAGGTGGCCACACAGTTTGTGGGCATAGGTTTTACAGGAAAGAGCTTCAATCACTCTTGCCAACTTTCATTCTTAGTAGACGAGAGCATCAGGGAAGTTAACATGCTATGGACACTACAACCCAACTCAATTCTCTAATTCCTCATTTTAGATACTTTATGTTATGCTGTGGTCTGAATTGGGAAAGCATGCAAAGCAGAAAGGGAAGTTTGACTTAAAATACTGCAAACTCAAGCACAAACTCTTGTTTTGATGGATCGATTCAAGGTCCACCTAGTCCAGCAATATTTGCAAGAATCTCAGCTGTCAGCAAACACTATAGCCATGTCCAGGAAGACACCTGAACACTTTAAAATGTGGGGATGGAGCAGGCGCATGCAGGCAAGTCTTACCTGCAGTGCCCATCAGCCCTGAGAATCCCGTTTGAGCACAGGTCTGCAGGCTTTTTTTGGTGCCTCTTTCAACACGGAGGGGTCTACTTGCATTCATACAAATGTGAATTAAAAAAAACCCCACATTGAAACATTTCATGTTCAGGCAACCCTCAGAACACAGCTCAAGTGCTTTATTCAAAATATGCCTTTTGTCCACCTATGCCTGGAGACACCAAACTTTTTGGGCCTGTGGACACATTTGAAAATGAGAGAATTCCTTCTGGGCACCCCAGATATACCACAACCGATTATGCTGGATAAAATATGCTGCTTTCAATCCTCATTTCAGCAGGGGGAAGGGACCTTGTTGGTGCCAGGGATGGCCTCTGCAGGCAGATGTGTATCCACTGCTGTTACACTGATAAACCTTAACCTATGCACTGATCTATCTCTAGTGCCTACCCATGCATAGGGATGTTTTTGGGTTTTTATTTACACTGCACAGAAAATTAGGAATTTGCTAATTTTCATCAAAGTAAGTGGAAGGTATTTAGTAATATATATGAGAACTGCACCAAAAAGATTAAATGGAATTATGTTCAAATTGCATATTGTCAGGTGGCATGATAAATCTTACAGATAATTTATGATAAAATAACTATCTGTCCATATCCTATTATATTTTCAAGTACTAAACAAAAAGTATACAAGATGCTTCCCATACAGTACTTTTATTCAGGAAACTCAAAGCAACAAACACTGTTATTGCCTCTAATACCCCATCAATAATAATCTGATTTATAGTTTGGTCAATGTAAAACCCACCAGTAATTATTCTTTGTCCAACAGTAGTTTTATCAGACAATTCTGACTAGTCTGGAAGCAGAGGCAGACTTTATATATCAACAAAGCTACGATTTTCCTCTTATATTCAGGTCAATGGAGTGTATCAAGCAATCAAATGTTACTCTCATTAAACAGCAATATTGTGAAAGGTTTTCATATAAAGCTCAGTAAATTACAATATGAACACACTTGAATGGGTTATAGTGTATCATAAAGGTAACTTAATAAATAAAACTTAAATTTTACACCACCCTATTTAAAGAAAGATGGAAAGACAATTGTAATTTAAACTATGAAAATAACATTTTATTATTAAACATTCAAGTAGTCAAATATAACACACCAAATTTTCCCCTTCCTCCCCTCCCACCCAAAAAAACCCCTGGAACTTATTTTGCCATTACAAAATCTTAGAAGATACATTATTGGTTGCATGATAACAACAGGTTTCACTTTTAGTCCTTTAATATGTAGGTATTTGTTATATGTCTTTAGACTGATCATCATCCTCAAGTTTTCTGATTTCATTTTTCAAGCAGTTGATCGTTTCACGGCTTGCTTTTAATCTTTCTTTAAGTTCAGCAATCTCAAAACTGGTTTTCTTCTTGGCAGCTTCCAGCTTCTCCCTGGTTTTTACTTCTACATTGGCAACTGAGAGCAAGAAAGACATATGCAGCATTTTGCTAAGTTAGGACAATTCCAAAGCACAGCTGAATAATTAGAAAACATAATGAACTCTGTTTGATCCATTGTATATTGTTTAGAATATAATAGATTAAAACAGGGCAGATGGGCATTCAAGTGTGAACTTCTTTGCATGTGTTTGACCAGCTTGATTTCCAAGACAAAATTTGCTCCAGAGAGTAGGACCTGAATCAATGAGACTTCCTAACAGTATTATAAATATATTAGAAATACTTCTAATTGCGTTGCATTTATATATAGCAAAGGGAAGTCTATAGCAATTAGGTATATTTTAATCTAGTCAACTATGTAATAGACATGTTACAAAACGAATATGGATTTTGAATTTGATGTTTGTAATTCTTTTTCGGTTTTTGAATAAAGTTTTAAAAAAATAGAGAGAGAGAGACTTCCTGACAGTATGAACTGTTTGCCAATAGAGCGGACTATCTTTGAAAATAGGGCACTCTCCTTCGTTAGAGGTTTTTAAACAATGGCTGGGTGGCCTATCAGGGATGCTGCAGAGTGGCATTCTTATGTAGCAAGGGGTTGGACTAGATTACTTTTGAGGTCCTTTCCAACACTCTGAATTCCTACAAAACTATTCAGGTCAGCTGTTGTATATAATTCATATTTAAAGAATCTAGAATTTGTATACTGTTAACAGGATTCTTTTTGTGGGTAGAAAAAACCATGTGCTTTTTAAGTGCTGTAATTCTGCTTTGAGGGCTTACTTTATGGCATTTCAAAATTCCTAGTATACAGAGCTAAGCCATTCACATTTACTGCTCTATATCTGGACTGATAGCAACAGTAGGAATCAGATTTCTTTTTCTAAGGGAACTGGTCACTATATACTATCCATCATAATAGATAAACATTTCTTTCAAAATATACTTCATGTAAAATATATAGCCGACAGTTCACAAAAACACAATTTCAGGTAAAGTTCATAGAAAATTCACACCTATTAGCACTTACACTCTGTTTCATGCTTATAAGCACCAAGTGTTAACTGACGAGATGTAGTCAGCAGCTGCTGCATCATAGCAGTAGGATCCTGAAATATCTAATGAAAAAATATTAATAAATTTAATACATCAGCTACAATGGATAATTTCCCCACAATACTTTTATTTTCTTACCATCTCATCATAAAATTCAGAAACTACAGTTTTCTTCCCCAGGATTGCATTAGTGTCAGACTGAAACAGCTTCAGCAAGTGATAGAGAGTCACCTGTGCAAGACACAAATAATAAGAATAACCTGTACAACTGTTATTGAGTATTTTAACGTGTCTACATTCCAGGGTCATAGTGGCCAGCACAAAAGTATTCATTCAGAGTAAGAATTTACCATACTGATTAAGATCTAATTAATTCAACTCATTTTTAAAAAACCCAACAGTACTTTGAAAGTATTTTCCCCCACATTTAATGCTGTCTACGTCAGTCCTCAAAATATTTGCTGCACTTACTCTGGCCACTGGATAGATAAAACAACAGTATTTAGAAAACTAGGGTTCTTTAAAGTAAGGGTACCCCTGCCCGTCAGGGCCAGTCGTGACCGACTCTAGGGTTGCGCGCTCATCTCGCTCAAGAGGCCGGGAGCCGGCGCTGTCCGAAGACACTTCCGGGTCACGTGGCCAGCGTGACGAAGCTGCACCTGGCGAGCCAGCACCAGCGCCGCACACGGAAACACCGTTTACCGTCTTTTTCGTCCCATAGGACACACCGGCCCATAGGACGCACCTAGTTTTTTGGGGGGAGGAAATAAAGGGAAAAATTTCCCCCTTTATTTCCCCCCCAAAACCAGGTCGGGGAATCCAAACCAGATCAGGGAACAGCGGGATGGCGGTACTGCGCCTCCCCGCTGTCCCCCGAGCTTGTGGGGCTGCCCGATGTCTGCCCAAAGCGTGGGGCGCTCTGCTTCAGCGCACCCCACACTCTGTGCAGCAGGCTGCTATCCGCAGCCTAGGGAGCCCTGCGGGAACTCCCGCAGGCTCCCCAGGCTTGCAGATAGCTTCCTGAAGCCTGGAGAGCGAGAGAGGTCGGTGCACACCGACCCCTCTCGCTCTCCAAGCTTCAGCGAAAGCCTGCATTCGCCCCATAGGACGCACACAGATTTCCCTTTCAATTTTGGAGGGGAAAGTGTCCGTCCTATAGGGTGAAAAATACGGTACCTTCCCGCTAGAAAGCGGTCCCTATTTATCTACTTGCACTTAGGGATGCTTTCGAACTGCTAGGTGGGCAGGAGCTGGGACCGAACGATGGGAGCTCACCCCGCCGCGGGGATTCGAACCGCCGACCTTTCGATCAGCAAGTCCTAGGCTCTGAGGTTTAACCAATTAAGTGTATAATTAAGTATACAGATACTGCTTAGCACACAAATTAGGGATGCCACTAATTTTTACACACTGGGCTCTTTTCCCTTTAACAGTGGCTTAAAATACAGAATTTCCATAGATCTCATTTCTCTCATCATAGGTCAAACTGCATACACTATAAGCAACTTTTAAAAAACAAAAGAATCTTTCCCAATGGACTGCTAATCCCTAATCAAACTGAAACAGAATTTGGCTTCTTCAGAATGACCAGGTATTAAAAATAGATCTTTGCTATTCATGCTAATATGAATACTCACAGGTCTTTCATTAGGATCAATAAAAAATATCTTGATGATGATTTCAAATTCACCCCAGCCTGTTTCAGTGATTTCGTAAGGTGGCTTAGTTACAACTAAGAGAGAGAGAAAAGGTAACATAAGCTATTTCTTCTTTGAAAACTATTTCATATGTTGTATCAACTAAATTTTTTAAGTCATACCTCTTAATGGATTACCATAGCTTTCATGTAACTTAAACTGGATTTTCTTTACATATGCAGACATATCCTGGAACAAATACAGTCAACCATTACTTACACATTCAATAATATACTTTACAGTGTTTCATTGTGCTCTTCTAGCCCGCTTACCACTTATCACAGAAATACTTATGAGCATTAGCAGTATATAAGCTGCTGATTCTTGTAACATTTGTGTGACCTCTAATCTGATTTTCCCCAAGATGCTTTCTGAAGCATGCCATGAGTCTATTTACTTTAAAGTTAAGCACATTCCACATAAATTCAGACAGCAGTCAAATACCCTATTTCTTTAGACTGCAATCTTTCCAAAGGTATTCCTTATATTTGTTCCTATGTAGTCACCTTTTTTTAAATTTTACTGTAGAGTTCCTTATATTGAAAGCTGCATACATAGTTATCCTAGTTTGATATCTAAAACATGAGCAGTGTTCAAGAGATCAGGATTGGACAGAAAACAATTAGAATTCGCACAGGTGTACGCATATGTTATATACAGTTATACAATAACGATTCTGTTTACCTCATTTCTGTAAGGCTTAACATAAACTGTCCACTGATGTGTGTGTCCATCTTCTTCTCGTTTCTTCCCAAAATAGCGTGCAACATTTCCATAAACAATAGGTTTCACAATAGTAACACCCTTCAAGTGAGGAAAAAGAGGCATGACAATGTTTTTCAGAAATCTGCTTAACATAAAAACTTACTTCCTAGATAAACTAATCTTTCCTGCATTATCTACCAAAATATATACTCCGAGAGTGACAGTAATACTGTCACTGGTTTTTGTTCCAACAAATCCAATGTGCCTAAGTTTAAATATAAAATATCTATTTCTTTCTTTTAAATTTCTAACTAGAGTAACTTTCAAAACTTGCTTCATAGATACAATTTCTAAAATTCACTATAATGTTGAGGAACCAATTGGGTGATGGGGCAAAAATTACCCCCCCCTAAAATATACACCATGTTTTTGCTAAACAGATCTGGCTTTGGCTCCCTTCAACACCTGGATGAAGTCTGACTGGGAACATGAACACACACACGAAAACTGCCTTGAGCATCATGATGAAAGAAAAGATAGAGTAAGCCAACAAACAATCGTGTTATGGATGAAGACTCAAAACACAATGTGTGTGGTCCAATTCTACACACACTTAGCCAATTAACTGATTTACAGCCTTCTGAATGACTAAATAACTGCACCCAATTAATGAGACACACACACACAAAAGAAAGATGAAGAAATTAACGTCTAGTTATTTAGGCAGCTATGTTGGGGCAGGATAATTTTTGATTGCTCAGAGATTCCACAAAAGAGGGGCAACTGGACCATGTGAATACAGGGAAGGAGGTTTCTAACATATTTACAGCAATTCCTGCATTGCAGAGGGTTCAACTAGATGACCCTCGGGGGTACCTTCCAAATCTACAATTCTAAGACTCCCTGAAGATGAATTTGTGAGGCAGCTGAAGGAACTAGCCAAGAAGCCCTGGCCTGTGAGGGACCAACAACTGTTTGCTTCCGTAATCCATTCTAGGTCAGGAGCTGCAATGGCACCTATTGGAACATTAAGAAAACTAAGCATTAACAGAACTAAGAACTTAAGATACACACTTTTGTAACCATCGCATCAGTGTCTATTTTAGTATATATTAAGAATATGCTGTAAGCCGCCTCAAGAACGTTGGATAGTAGGCAGAGTACCAACATTCAAAAATTTAAAAAGCCCCTTACAAACAATGCAGTATGTGCATGAGGTGCCTAAAAATGCAACTATTTCTTCAAATAAATTTGTTTTTAACTCATGTGCAGATTTATACCAGTTTGATCAATTGGTCCTAGTTGATGAAACCTGCATATCTATAAATATTAAGATTCTAGGTCTCTGGAAGGGAGGGAAAGAAAGAAACGTTTGAAGAGTTTTGAGGACTCCTTAGCTGCGGTGTCTAAAAGCCACTCTCTCTCATATATATATATATATATATATATACATATGTGAGTTTCAAATTAGACTTTTACAAAGATATATCAAACATAAATAATAAAAAACAAGATTCCAAGGAATCTCCTGGACTTCCACCCTCCCCTTTGTGGTCCTATCATTAATCCTTTCCTCCCACATCTTTTATGGTAATCCAAGTCCTTTACCTCTTCCAGAATCTAACCTTAAACTACAAGTGACATTCCAATCCTACTAACGATTGTTTGCAATGGTCTTTAAGGTATGTTGTAAATGTTCCCCTTAGAAGCCACTATTTAATGGGGGACATACACACAGACCGAGGCACAGAAATCCAGAATCCATCTCCAAAAGCAGCCACTTCTAATGTTATTTGAACGATGCTAGTGGAGCGTAACAGGCAAGTGGGATGGATGGGAATACGCAACAAGAAGAGGCAAGTCCAGAAGCACACAAAAGCAGCGCTGCCTTGGACCAGTTCTCCTCTGCAGCCTCCTCTTGTCTATTGTGACGGACACGAAGAGAATCTCTGTAACACCTGGAATCTTTTTAACTGGCGGCACCGAATCAAACCCAACAAAGGTCTGTATAGTTAAAGCTATGGTTTTCCTACTAGTGATGTATGGAAGTGAGAGCTGGACCATAAAGAAGGCTGATCGCTGAAGAATTGATGCTTTTGAATTATGGTGCTGGAGGAGACTCTTGAGAGTCCCATGGACGGCAAGAAGATCAAACCTATCCATTCTTAAGGAAATCAGCCCTGAGTGTTTACTGGAAGGACAGATCTTGAAGCTGAGACTCCAATACTTTGGCCACCTCATGGGAAGAGAAGACTCCCTGGAAAAGACCCTGATGTTGGGAAAGATTGAGGACACAAGGAGAAGGGGGCGACAGAGGACGAGATGGTTGGACAGTGTTCTCGAAGCTACCAGCATGAGTTTGACCAAACTGCGGGAGGCAGTGGAAGACAGGAGTGCCTGGCATGCTCTGGTCCATGGGGTCACGAGGAGTCGGACACGACTAAACGACTAAACAACCACCGAATCGAACTCGGGATCTTCTGAACGCAAAGCGAGCGCTCCGCCCACGAACGACTCTCAGCTCCGCACTCCGACGCACCCACAGGGCTTCGGAACCTCCCTGTCACTCAAAAGTAACCGTTAGGGAGGCGCAACGGTTTCGAATCCGAGCAGGCCGAGCTGGCCCCGCCTCAGCCTCCTCCCCGCTCCCGGCTCCTACCTTCACTCTGCCCCCGGAGTCAGGCCCGAACTCAGCCATTCTCTTGAACATATTGCACCGGGGGGAGGGGGGGTAAGGCTTCCTCACGCCGCTGTCGAGCAGCGAGGCCGAGCTAGTAGGTCCTGGCCTCCGCCACCCGCCAGTTCGCCTCTGGCGGCGGAGAGAAGAACGCGGGGAGCCCTCGAGCCGCTCTCGGAGGCGCCCATTCACCTCCCCTCGGCGGCCGCTCAGCGCTCAACAACAACTTCCGGGTGAGGAGAGGAGCTGGGGGGGGGCCGTGTGGTGGTGGCGGCGGCGCCTTCCTGCCTGGGCCTCGTGACCCGGAGGTGAAAGGCCGGGTAGGCGGGCGGGACTAAATCGCTGCTTTCTGAAACAGCAGCAAAAGTTTCTGGGTTTTTCTGGGTGTGTGGAACAAAAATGCAAATTAAAAAATGTTTATGAATTGCTAAGCCTTTTGTTTATTGGGGCGGCTTGCTTCAAAGCGCACTTCACCCCAATGGATGTGCAAAACTGTTTTCTTTTCTGACTCCCACAAAACAATGCGGCGACTCTTTTTTTGGGGCTGCCTTTAAAAAAAAACAAAAACCAAAAATTTGCGACGAGCTTGGGCTGCCCGCATCGCTGTGCTGGGGAGCCAGAGCTGTCCTGTCTTCAGCATGCTCATTCAGCAATAAAGCCCTATATAACGGTGCTTGCGCCGAGTTAATTGCGTATCAGACGCGGGGTGGGTGGGGAGAAGAGGTTTAAGTGCTAATAATTCATCAGTTTTGAGTGATGTTGGGCCTCGATGACTCTCAGCCTAATTTCCTTCAGAAGCACGTGATAAAATAGGAAGAACGGGAGAACCTTTTATATTGTCCTGAACGTCTTGGAGGAAGGATGTACAGTACAGTAACAGAAACACAACTAGCGTCTTAGTCACGTCGAGGCATCCTGCAGCTTTCCTGTGGCTGCAGGATGTAGCGCTATGCCAAGTGAAATCGATTTCCTAAACCATGAGATTGTGTACTAGTGCAAGGTTATCGTCCCTTACATGGTTTGTTTACCTTATTAATACCGTGCCCTTTCCTCAGGAGGCATGCTCAACTGATACTTGGCTGAATTGGTAGCTAAACAGCTTGACTTACTACTAAATTACTGGATTGAAGACTTTCTGATAGATCGGACACGAACAGTGAGGATTGGACGTGTAACATCTAATTCCTTAAAAATCAGCACTGGCACACCACAGGGATATGTGCTAAGTCCCTACCTGTATTCATTGTATACATACGATTGTGTATCATCTGAGTCTACTGCAGTCTACTGCAATTATTAAGTTTGCAGATGACACCACCATAATGGGTTTAATAACAGGTGGAGACGAATCAGCATATAGAGGGGAGGTCCAAAGAATATCTACATGGTGCCTAGGGAACAACTTGCACCTTAATATCAGCAAGACTAAGGAGATGGTGTTGGACCAGAGGTAGAGAGGAGAACTAGCCCCGCTGTACATCGGGGAGGGCTGTGTGGAGAGAGTCTCTTCCTTTAAATTCCTAGGAGTTTATCTCAGTGAAGACCTTACTTGGAAAATCAATACAACCCAGGTGGTTAAGAAAGCCCAACAGAGACTCCATCTCCTCAGTCTTACGGAAGAAAAATATCAATCAACATCCGATGACCTCCTTCTACCGGTCAACAATAGAAAGTGTCCTTTCATACTGCATCACGGTGTGGTATGCTGGTTTGACATCATCTGATAGGAAGTGCCTACAGAGGGTGGTGAATACAGCACAAGATATTATGGGCTGTCCCATGAATCCACTGGATGAAATAGCGGAAGAACGTTGCCTCAGGAGAGTGAGGAAAATTCTCAGGGATGATTCACACCCTGGCCAGCACTTTCGTGATCTCCTGCCCTCAGGCAAAAGATATAGAAGCATGACTAGTCGCACCAACAGGGTAAAGAACAGCTTCTATCCATGGACTGTTAGGCTGCTGAATGAAAAGATAACAACAGAGCAACTGACTTTCGGGTTTGGTGGGTGTGCGTCAGTAAAAGAGGTGAATTAAGACTAAGAAAGCTGAGTGGGGGGTCCTCTGGATCTCACTGTATACAACTTGTGCAAGTGACATTAAGTATTTCAATTTAAATCTTGGCAGTGGAGATGCTGGACGGTTGTCTTGCCTCAGTAATGGACTGGACAAGAGCCAACAAAATGAAGCTCAATCCAGAGAAGACTGAAGCACTGCCAGTGGGTGGTCCCCTAGACTGGATGGATGGGATGTTGCCTGCTCTTTATGGGGTTGCACTCCTTCTAAAGGAGCAGGTACACAGCTTGAGGGTACTTCTGGATTATTTGCTGCTGCTTGAGGCTCAGCTCCTTTCATCAGCTTCTGCTGGTGGCCCTATCTGGACAGGGATAGCCTAACTACTGTCATATACACTCTAGCAACCTCTAGGTTACAGTGCTACCTTGGAAGTCAAACAGCTTGACTTATGAACGTCGCAAACCCGGACAGGACGGTTCCGGTTTGAAAACCCTTTTTGGAAGCTGAATGTTCAACGGGGCTTCCTCAGTTTCCAATTGGCTGCTGTGAGATACACAGGAGTCAGGAATAAGTACTGCATTCAGGTTTCATAGAGCAGAAACATACTGCTGCTTTGGGATGTAAATCAAGAATTGTTGAATTGTAAGGGATCCCAACTCCCTAATTGTGGTGCTCAATTGTGTATACCCAGCTTCCTCAGAAAGTTCAACTGGTGCTACCCAGAGATGAAGACTCTATGACTAATTCTGCGAGTGCTCAGCTACTAACAGCATTTGATAGCTGCACATGGTAGCAGTAGGATTTATCTCATGCATTTTCTCTAAGTGCACTTTGGTTATCTAAATTTCCCGTATTAGATATATCAATGCTCTTAAAACCTAATGAGATGGCAAAGACTGCCTACCCCCACATTTGCTATGATACACATAGCTCAAGACGTTAACAAAAAAAAAACCACCTTAAAAAACCACCTGTTTTTGTTTCCTAGCACTATCATTGCTGGTAGTTTGGAGGAAATTCTTCACCAAATTGTTATCTGCTCTTCATTGCCTATATGCCTACCTAAAAAAACCCTTATTTGTAGTTTTACTAATATAATTCTATCCCTTTCATGTGTACAAATAAAGTCATTTTGTTATGCCATCTAGACCTATGTAATATTCCTCTCATTCTATTGTTTTTAATGTCCTGTTAAATCTACAGGAGTGATGGAACACATTTACTACTCTGTTCACCTAGTGAAAGGTGAACATGTAATGCATGTCTTATTTTTATTCTGATAAATTTTCAATTGAAGGAATGGGTTTCCCAAAACCAAAAACTGACTGCAGGGAGTTTTAAACTGCACCAAAATCCCCATTTTTCCTTAGCTAAAATGCATAAACCTGAGCCATTGAGCAAATCCATAACAAGAACAAAGCTCTCTCCCTTATCAGTCCATGGCAGCAATGAGTGACCTTGCCAAGTTCCAGAACAGCAGGGATGATGCGTGTGTGCCTTATGTGCTCACCACAAAGACGCGCAGACCCACGTCTGGGAATAACGCCAAAGCGTGTTCCCGGAGATGGTGACCTGCGTCCCAGATAAGAGTAGGAAGAGGAAGATCCTTTTATGGTCAGAAGTACAGGAAGGAAGATCCTTTTATGGTTGAGAGTACCAGAGCAGGAACATATGTGATGTCAACCTGCGTATGTAGGCCAACGTGATTGGGCTCCTAGGGGAGGAGTGAGAGGGTGCCTGGAGGATATATAAACTGCATGAAACCTGTCATTTCTTTGGGCTTGCTGTGGACTTGATCACGCAAGTGCTTTCTGCTATCCGGAGAGCAGAATAAACTCTTTCTTTGAACCAACTCGGTGTCATTTGACTTCCTTCCTCCTGTCCCGGAGCAACGCAGACCCAATCGGTGAACTCCAATAAGGCTACACAATCAACTTGTTCTTAGTGTTTGGTAAGCTGCTTAGGTCTTTGTTGATTTAGTATATATTACCAACAGCTGAGGCTTTCCCATTCCAGCAGTTAAATAGCAGTCAAGTTGGCTGTTTCTATACAGCAGCAGAAACTGATGAAGACTAGAAACTGTCACTAATAGGTACCATAACCTGCTACTGTTTCCATTTTCTCTCTCAAGCTACTTTGTTCAACAGGTGTCATTTTTCATTCCAAGTAAGAACCGCTTCATATTTCACAACCACAATCTTATTAAATACTGTACACTTTAATTTTTTAAAACGCCATATACTTCGCATAAACATAATACAAGGCAGACTTAAGCTTTCATAAAAATGCACTTTATTTTTCTTCAATACAAGGTAACTTCTTTTGCAGTTTAAAGACCAATAAATGGTTGGACAGCAAATTTCTAATAGTTGCCTAAAGACTGGAAGGAAAGGTAATTTAATTTAAAATATATGGAAGTGAAAAGAATTTTGACAAGCCAAAGTTTGAGATGGAGTTGGCATTTTTAAAAATAAAAAATCACATATGCTAATGTGAAAGGACACCCTCTTCTTACCTTCTGAAGACATTTGAGTGTCCAGAAACTCAACACTACCAAGATGTTCTTTGAGTCTTCAGGTATTAGAAAGCCATTGCCCATTAAAAAAAAGGTTTGCTTGCACAACAATAAACCTAAAACCTGTAATGTAAGCAACTGTTTACAAACTATAGCAAATAGTATTATTCTTTATTTGCGAGTACACATTTGGGCAAAACTTAATGTAGTGAAACCCAACCAAAATCATGTAAAAATCTTTAAGGGAACATAGTTGTTCCACAGGCACTCTGGAAAATAAAACACTGACAAAAATGAATTTTAAATGTAATACACTTGCAATGAATAAACATAAACCACTGTATTACATTTATAAAGTCAATCAGAAAAAAACTATTAATGTGAAATTCATCCCCAAAGAAGTGTGTACAACATGCTACTCTCAGTGGTGACTTGGGTTAGTATTTTAGCTGAAGGTTTTGAAAATGATGCTTAGCATGTTCAAGTACTGAAGTGAGAAACGGTCTCTAATGTGGTGTCAGGAAACTCACCCATTTAATCACAGATGTGCCCAGACGTGTTTTAGTGCTAGATCCTCCTCCAGTACAGCCAAATAGAATTTGGATGCTGAATAGGCTTTTGGATACAAGGGATGTCTCTAACACCAGTCATACTCAGAGAAGATTCATTGACATCAATGAACATTACTGATTTTTGGTCCATTAATTTGCAATGGGCCTACTCTTGAGTAGAGCTTTGGCTGGATACAACACAAAGTTTCTCAGCTGACAGAAACTAGATCACCAAAAGTTGACTAAACCTGGTTTTCAACTGGATATTGAGCCAAAAAGGCTTGAAAGCCAAGCTATTTAAATAGTACACAGTACATTATTATGGGCAGTGGCATTACTTTTGTTTCAAGTTAAAAGTTGACAACTACAAAGAGAGAGAGAGCAGCTTGAAATGAGATTCATGGATTCTAGGATATGTATGTGATTGCTCCTGTGTGTGTATAAAATTATAAGGAGCACTAAAGTCCAATATATAAAATACTCCTAACATGTTAAAGCATCTTGCTGCTTTCCTCCCTTCTAAAAATCAGGTTTTTAATAATTTTCTTATTTTCAAAAACTCCAGTCTATTCTACTAACACGTTTCTCAGATTACTAAAAACTATGAATATTTCAAACATTAGAAAATTGTAAATTTTACAGAGGATGCTTAATGCTGTAACTTTTTAAAGCTGCATTTTAAGGCTATATGTTCTCTGCATCATTAAATACCTACCAAGTAAACAGTGTGACTAAGATCCTATATATAAAACTTGGAAAAGTTTGCTTAAACTGTACATGAGTGAAAAATGAAAGCTTGTCCAATATTTACATGGATTTTTTAACTGAAGTCAATCAATACACAGGACATTTAAAGCTTGCCTTTCATGTTATTGGAGAAAGCACTCAAATATACAACTAAATAGACAGCGAATAGTCAAAAGTTATTTTGGTTTGCAGTGCCAGTTGTAATTTCTAGTTAGTATCAGAAATAGCAACTTCTGCAACACTGCAAACTTTTATTACAATACCACTGTGGGCAGATGTCAGCACAACTATCCAGGAGGAGGCCACCAGTCAGATAATTTATTTTAAAATAGCTATTAATACTATCACTTTTATCTATTAAAACCTATATACAGATTATTAAGTACCTCCTGAAATTTATTTACATTTTCTTAACAGAAACAGATTTAATATAGCCACCAAAGCCCACTGCAGTAGCAACCAAGACACTACTCAGATTTTAGTTTACTATCTGGTAACTATTTACAATATTATTTCACCAGGAGCATTGTTTATCAGGCTGGAGATAAATGCACAAACTTCTTTCTAGAGATTATCACAAGTAAAATGCTTTCACTTTTTTTGTCTAAACATCTTTGGACTCCTTTTTTAAAAAATTACTGAGAAAACTGAGAAGAGTTCTTGAGAAAACAAGTTTTACTCACAAGACAACTACTATGACTCTTTACTACTTACACAAGTTAAATGTTCAGCCTACACATATCAAAAAGTTATTTCATGGTTTGATTTTTGGCAGCTCCATTGCCAGCAATGGAAATCGCTATAGGAGAAAATGTAAGACAATGAATACACAACAGTATCTCCGGGGTTCATACAGAAAGCTAAATTATGACTTTAAATTATTTTAATTTTGGTTACTGAATATTTGAAATTACTACTCAAATAGCATTTGCACGCCTAACTTACCTGTTTTTCCTCCATCTTGAGCCATTTCCAGTACAATTTAATCCAGATTGTCTGCCCACATCCCAGCTAGTTAAAAGCAATACTACATTGGATTTCTTAGAGTTGGAACAACCACCCTAACATGTACATACAATAGCAAGGTACTGCAGCAACATCCAATTTCCTGATTATCTGGAGTTATCCATAGACAGAACTCACATTCATCCCTGCACAAAGCAAACAACCCCAATGTATACATTATCAGGTTTCGTAGGACTAAAAAGTCATGCAAATGAGAAATCCCTGATATTTTGCTTCACTTCACTTTGATTTCTGTGTATAATCAAACCCAAGAGTAAAATGAATTTAGGCGTTATTGTCAGATAAACAAGTTGTGTAAAGCATTGTGGGTTCAAAATAATATTTCAAAGTAAGCCCAACATCTCACATAAGAAACGTGGTAAATTAGGAAATCTATTAACAAAGCATGAATGGACCATAAAAAAACTTTCAGCGTACAAAATGGCTAATAGTTAAAATAACCATCTACTCCAGTTATTAAACACAAGTCAAACAATATTGGCCAGGAAAGAGTAAATCAGCTGCATTGACCTGAGCTCTGCAAATGTCAAGCGGATTCTTTCAACTATATAAATCTTTAGTTGTATTGGGATACAGCCTTTGAGACGGTAACTTGAGTGCTTCCATGTTTAGTAAGACACAAACAGTGTGATTTTATACATGTCTCTAAGGTCTGACTGATACACTGTGTCTTTGTTATACAGTTAAAATATTTTATATGTACACCTAAATAAGTAAAGTGGGAATGTGACGAACATGTTTGTAAACACATCTATTACACAAGTGCACTGGCTAGGAAGTTGGGATTGGTCACGGTTCTGTTAAGGGTATGCTTGATGGTAAACTTGAGTTTGATATTAAAACATGTAAAGTGGTCTTCATTTAATTTAATATCCAAGTATTCGTATACAACAAGTAATTTTACTGAGTATTACATGTCATAATGCTTCAAATATTTGATCAACAAACTTTTAAAACTATAACTGAAATAATTAGAAAGTAGGCAGGAACTAGCAAAATTTGGAAAAAAAAATATTTTTAAAAGAAAACAGTCTACAATCAAGCAACATGTGCTAAACCTATGATTAAAATGTGCTCTATTTAGTTTGTGGGGTGCATTAGATCACAAACTATTTGTTAGGGCAAATTATTACACTATTAGTTATACAAGGGATATGTATGCATTTTCTTTTTATGGACAGGGAATTTTGTTGCTCAAAAAAGCTTATTTGAAATCTTGATTATTATTTTTAAGGAGAAACATTTTCTTCAGTTACTTAACTGGCATATATATCTAGGTACAGAATGACTAGTGTTCTAGAGGCAGGACACAGCATTAGCACTAAAAACTGTAAATTATTGCAGCATTATTTAAAAGTGGCCAATTGTATGCTTGAACAAAGTATTGAGTGTTGCATATTGCAACAGACAGGCTTCAGTAAACCAGAATTCAACTTCAGACTTCATATTCTTTAAAGAAAGTTCAGTCTATTTGAATTATTACAAAATGTTAATCTGCAGTTTTTACAGATTTGCGCACCTTTCAGCAAATTCACAAGCCATCTATGCAAAAAAGCTACAAATTAAAATAAAATGTAACCATTATTCTAGTATCAATATCAAGTGTTTGACAACTGCTAATCATTCAGCAAATACAACAAGTTGATGCATATGCAAAAAATATGCTATGTTTTGTTAGAGACATTGTTATAACACCATTAAATATTGCTGAACACAAGACGCTCCCTGAGGTGTAAACATCAAATAACTTGGAACAGCTTTACACATCAGCCCCATTAAACAGTTTATTACAACACTACATCTATTGTAATCAGATTGATGCTCTTTACAGACATTATCATTTGAACATTTAAACAAGAACTACTATAAAAACAAGCATTTACTAGACTTTTTTCAATTGCTTGCACATTTTAATTGTCAAATGTATATAACCAGTAATAAAGTTGCAAAAAGCTATACGTTTTAAATCACACAGGTTCCTTCAAATAAAACAGCTAAGCAACATAAAAAGGTAAGAGAGCTACTGGTTACCATGTATGCAGATTTGCCTTATTCAGATCTATTCCTGTTCATTTTATCCATGAATCTTTACAGGCTCTGTTCGATCACAAGAAGCAAACTGCTGGACAAGCCTCTTTCCGTGAAGTTAAGTTTCTTGTCTGGTGAGGTGTTCCTCTTCCTTCAGCTGTAATGTGTCAAAATTTGTGATGTAGATTTTGCTACGTCCCACAGCAAACAAAAAATGTTGGTTTAACTATACATACACAATTCGTGCGCCAATTTCAGCATAATGGAAATGTAAATAATGAGACCGCTGCTACTGGCTCGAAAATAATCTAAACTACAGCTTTCAAGAAAGTAGTCCAAAAATTTACAGCAATGCAGAAAAAATTAATCATTGGCAGCATTCAGATGTCATGCTAAATCATTAGTTCAGTATGACATGAAAGTGTCTAGGTGAGCCTTAGACATGCACTTCTCCACTGGGAATAATAGTTCAGAAGAGTTCACTTCCACCTTTACTTAACCAGTTTTACCATTTCACCCTAACACACTTAACTACAATTGTTTCACACTGGCTTGTTTCAAAAAAGCCAATGGAAAACCATAATTTGTCAGTTTGGATAGAATGGCAACTGTGCTAAGCAAAAGTGGAAACCTTTACATTTCCCCTTCTGACCATGTGGTAGGGATTGGGGGGGCGGAGAGTGTGCATGGGCCTGAGGCTTGCCTAGATTTATTCACATCACACTGAAGTGTGGTTTAGTTTGGCACCCAGGCACAGCCATTGATAACTACAGAAAATGTTCCATATTACAAAACTAGTAAAGAGGAACATTTCCTCTGCTCAAAAATAAGAAAAAAACAAAGAATAATGTGGTAGCCAAATTGGTGTATTACATTAGTTTTAGCTGATTTGTAAAATCATAAATGAAGATATGCAACAGCTAAATAGCACACAAAAAAACGTAAGCCAGAACTTTATCACAAAAACAAATTGTTACATTGATCTCACCCTTTTGTCCACATTCAGTACTGAATAACTAGTGGAAGCCAGAGAGGCAGCAAATAACAGATTCATATACTCAAATATAAATGTGGAAAAAATGAGGGGGGTATGGCTCAGTTTGGTGCATGGCTGGAGGTAATGGGTGACCAGCTTTTACTTGGTTAGAATCTCTATGAGGATATTTATAACCAACAGCCACATTAGTGATTGCCATTCTTTGGAATGTTTAGACCAGTTCAAATACTGTCACCTTTTATAGCAAGAGATCTGTACAATTTCATCCTGTAACTATTAGCGTCTTTCTGTGCTTTGGAAGAGACATTGATGAAGTTTTCATGGGATGAAAGCTACACTAAAATCAATGACCAGGATCCAAAAAGCTATTTTAGGCAAACCCAAGGGCTTCTTTATACATTTTTTTAAAAAAACCACTTTGAGCTGCAGACCTCATGTTATAACACAAACATTTTTGAAATCTCCCTGTTTCCAAAGAAACTTGCCCCAGTGCACAAAGTGAAGGGATGGTGATGTGGAGGCAGGAACCCAAGTTCAAAGCCACCTTTCAGAGTTCTTTGGATCCTGGCCAATAAGATTAAAGGAAGCTCCACACTTTCTAAAATTGAAATTACTGCTGCATATACTACCACCATTACTCTTAGGAGACAAAGTACAGTCATGCCTTGGTTTTTAAACAGAATGCGGAAGTCGCGCCGCACATTCAGCTTCCGAGGCAAAGTTCACAAACTGGAACACCTACTTCCAGGTTTGTGATGTTTGACTTCCAAGCTGTTCAAAAACCAGGGTATGACTGTATGGATAACATACCTGCATCTCCAATTACCCATATCTGTGCATCAGAGAACCCTAGTTCAATCAGGGTTTCTTTAGATGCAGGTTAATACATGCATACTGGAAAGCAAGTAGTGCCTACAGCAGTCATGCCCGCAGAGCCTTCCTTAAGAACATTATGCCAAAGATATGAGGAGGGGTAAACAGTTACGTAATAAAAACCATCACGTTGAAGAATCAGAACTACTTATGTAAAAACCACAGTAAATAGATAATAGCTCATATGCACAAACATTACTCAGATAACTTTAAACATACATTTTCCATTCCCAACTTTATTTAGAAGCTAGCTCCACTGATTTCAATGGTGCTTACACCCAAGTAAGAGTGCAGCCTTAAACTCTACGCGCTCTTCCTCAGTGGTAAGCCATGCTGAACCCAATGGAACATACTTCCAAGAAATGGGTTTAGGATGATGCAAAACTTTTAATAACTACAACGCAGTAAGTAATTTTTCAGTGGTTCACATCTATTTCCAAAAGCTTTTAAAATAGCTTAAAATCAAATTTGCAAAGAAGCACATCAATAAGTCATTTCAAATTCAGGCATATTAATATAGTCAGAACATATAGCAGTATGCAGCTGTCATAAGGTCACCCTTAGGGGGGAAAAACTATTTAGATTAGAAAACAAATTTATGATAATAATGAGAACTTCAGAAGTTTTCCTCTTCCCACATACTGTTTTTAATAAAGTCTAGGCTATATAACTAATCAATATGCAGGATTAGGATAATTTCTTTAGTTTCTCAAGTATTCAGTAATGACTAAGTATTCTGCTTTTTGACATCACCAAATCCTTAGTTCTTTTAAAGCTGGCTTTTAACAGTAAGGCGAATCATATTGTTCTTCAGTAGCAGCCAACTGAAAAACAAGTTGGTAGTGCACTTCAGTTTCACAAGAGTGAAATGACAGCTGCAAAACTGCATACTGGGATTTCCCACTCTTGCAACACTCTTATATTCTGTTGGTATTAAGTGTCTTTACTGCTTCTAAAGGAATTCTGAACAGGAAAAAAGAATGTCATCGTTGTACCATAATGTGCTATGTGTCTGTAGCAGTTTTCATTTGAGACAGTAAATACATTTTTAAAATGACTGTCAATACAAGAAATTTTAGGTTTCATTATGTGGAAAGTATCTTAGGGATTATCATGAATTGATACACATTCTGTTCTTTAAAAGTATTTTAACATAAATAGGTTAGTGAAGACTTACTGAATTCCATTGCAGTAATCTATAATAGCTACACCCAAATGAATGGTATAATACAAAATAGGCTACAAGCATAAATTCTTTTTGCAGTGATTTAGACAAGGAGTTAATAGCTTTACATGAATATTGCTATTCAGTGAAGTTGTTCTAGTTTCTTGTTAAAATTATTAAAAAGCACCAATAACTTGATTTTTAATATGAGTTTTGTAGGAAACCAGTCTCCTTTCTTCACAAAGTATTGTCTCGTGTCTAAAAATCAAATTATAAATTTGAATTATAGAACATTTTAATTTACATTTTAATTGGGTGAATGTGTTCACAAGGTAACTTTTTCTCTGCTGTGATATGCAGATAGAAGCTGTAAAAGCAATGACCTTTTTTGCTATTCAAAAGGATGTGCAATTAACATCACTAAACAGCAATAAAACCCTAGCTACTCCTTTGAGTACCCAAGCAATCCTTATTACTAAATCACCTCAGTGAAGATATAAAAATAAGCTTGGTTTAGGAACTGGAAGTAAGATCACATGCATCTCCTCACCCCTCCCAGCCAATTCCTTGTCTTACATCAATCCCCCCCCTCACTGTAATCTACGTTAGCAATGACCATTTGTAACACCAAACCTAGGTAAATGAATCATCCTTGTGCTCCAAAGGCACCTGAGAACACTGATTAAATTAGGTTGTCAAAAATGAGTTGAAGAGTGTCCCCTGCACTGGCAACAATCTAAGTCTGTAGGCCAAATACAGAGAAGAGGCAGGGGAAAATTCATGCAAGGTGAAGGACACTGATGGCCCACACACAACCCCTAAACCTAGTTTATTTTTATATCTGCAGGAGAATGAATTTCCCTTTTACCTTATTCACTAAGTTCAAAGTCCATAGCTATAAATCGAACTTCATACAAATGAGACTAACATTCATATTATAACACAAGAACTTAAGCTTGTATCCAATGCTACACCAGCGGCGTTCTGCTGGCACAATGGAACTTCTACTTCTCCTCAACCCCCAATCTGCTCTGGTGGGTCCCCTAACTCTCCAGATATGAGTTTGAGGGTGGGTGGGTGGGTATGGAGGGGACAGGTTAGAAAGAGAGACTTTGTTGTGTGACAGAAGTCCATTGCACCAGCAGAGATGCAGCGCTGGACACAAATCTTATTTTTCAATCATACACTGATGCAACAACTTGAAATTGCAAGTCAATATTCCGTGACTCTTTAGGTTTGCACTTTTATTTGCAACAAGCTATTTTTCTAATAACTAGTCTTTCATATTTTGGCATCTCTCCCCCTGCAACTATTGTGCTTAATATGTGTATCAGTCTAACCTTAACACTCAACAGCATTTTAGGGGTGTGTGGGGAAATGAATTTAACCAATTCCCCAACTGCTTAAGCTTTTATAAAACCATTATCTTATTACTCAATTTATTAACGAGACACAGCAAAAAAATTATTAACTAGGCACAGTAAAAACTATCAATTTAGTGTTGTGTGTTCCAAGTGAAAAAATGTGCTAATCTGCCTAATAAATTTGGATCACAGTTCTGAAGCTACTTCCACTTACTCTCGTAACAGGAATTTTGCAGATTTGTAGCATTACAATACATTTAGTCAGAAATGCACATTATTTAAACCCTTAGTCATGACAACCCAGTTCAATGCACAAAAATACTCTCATTAAGGGTTTGCTATAAAAGCCATTTTCCCTTTTGCATATGTCACAATTTAGTTATAGTCTACTTTATATATATATATGTTCACACTGAGGCATGACAAAGACTAGTATAACTCAGACTGCAACAAGTAAAATGGTGAATACACAAGTTTCTTTGTTAAAAAAAAACAAAACACAATTTGTTCTCAAACCACAATAAACAAGAGTTTCAGGCCAGGTCACTTCCCAAATAAAGTTTCCCAACAACTTCAATACCCTGCCATCACAAAAATTAAGCCACTTCAAACCAGAAAGGATTGAGGGTCTTCAATACAGCTTCTTGTACATCTACTGAACAAAGTAATTTGTACTAACTAACGATTATGAAAAACAGACAATGAGGAAACTGGATTTTCATGAAGCCCATAACACAAACTTAACAGCAAATTTTAACACGTTGGGGATTATGCACTATACCAGTAAGTACTTATTTATTTCACAATTAACACTAAAAATTTGTCAGAAATGGTAGGTGGTTTTATCTGCATAATGAATTATTTACTGTGCAAATGCAATTTGTAACCTATGAGCTCCAAATAGCAGCAGTGCAATCAATACTATAAATAAATGTGTTACAGCAAAAATGATGTTAACCATATGGCCTCCTACAATGAGTTTCAAAAAACAATGCGAGTTTCAAATACAAATAGCAACATGTATTTTAGGAATGAGGATTTTTAAAACCAAGGAAAATATTCTGGATTATAACAGGGAGAAAGAGAAACATAGCCCTTGCTGTTTTGTCACTTTGCAAATAAACCTTTTTAACCTTTTTAGAATAATCACTGCCTCTTTAAAAAGCGGTAGTAATACAGTGGTACCTCGGGTTAAGAAGTTAATTTGTTCTGGAGGTCTGTATCGACTAGTCCAGCAGAGGTGCCCATCTATACAAAAGTAGGACTTACTAGTCTCATGAACAGAAACTTCCTCATAATATTGTTGCATTCTTTTGATACACAACATATAATTGCCCTATTTCAATGCCTTAATGTGTATAGAGTGTATGCACAGTGCAAAGTTGGCCTGGAGTGGTGTGACCTTCACTGCTTGTTTTTGAGAGGCTGGGATCTCACAGATTTGACCTATGGGCTTAGATTTCATACCTGCATAATGTCCAATGAGTGGATGGAAGGCGGGCTCAGGAAAGGTAAACCATGTTCACAAACACTACACATTTTCAACACACATCACAGGGTGTGAACAGGAGCATTCACTCAATTACCTCTCATGAACACAGACTTGTAACAATATTTTTTTCAGTATTCTTACTACACATATAAAAGACAGCTTGTGAACACACTTAAAAAAGAACAACAAATCACTTTTTATACAAACCGGCCTCTTGGTTGGCACGCTAAAACAACTCTTAGCATTTGAAGAGTTTTGCTTATGGTGGTTTGAGAACAGAATACAGAAAAGTGTTATGTCAAAAAAGGGGCTCAAACTCAACATACAGGGCAATCAACATTAGGGTGCTTCATTCTTTTTCAATTCCATACCAACCTACTTTGACTTTAAAAACTTTAATAACCACAAATTAACAAATAGTATGTAGCATTTAGACTTCTAAAAACTGACAGTTTAGCTGATGTATTATTTTATTCACACCAGAGCCTAAGATCAATCATTATGAATTTCCTACAGAAGAGCACTTGCTTAGGATAAAGCATGAGATCAGTATGTACCTTATCGCATGTGATTATTTAGTTTTCATGTCTGAAGCAGTCCTAAGATTGTTACTGTTCTATCGCTACACATTCAACCTTTGCTGCTAACGTTTGCTCTAAATATGACCCAACACAAACATGTTCATGATCTGCTTGTGGTTTGCACATAAGTTGCCAAAATTTCTAGCAGATCAGTACAAGAAAATAGGTACATCTGAAAATATTCACAATTTTCTTGTACTTTTATACTGACATTATACAAAAGACATAACAAAAAATGATAAGAGTTTCATGAACACGTTCAAAATAACCCAATAGCTAGAAATATGTTGTCAATTCACACATCATGAAGTATAAGCATATTAAAGGAAGAGAAACCCCACTATGGGATCATTCAGTGCACCATTCAATAACCACCAAACAAGAAGGATGGAATGGTACATCTGATTTCAGAGATTCAGCTCATCTCTATGAATATACTAAGTGAGGGTGACAATGGATTGGATCCAATATATTGTGAGGAAAAACAACATGCATTTGCACTGTTCCATGGACTTTCTTGCAAAAGAAGTAGTGCAAAACTTCTCACAGTGCTCCCCAATGTGACTGATCAAAATATCTGACTGTTCCACTACAGATAAAATTTAGTGAATTGCTACAAATATTCAACAATAAATTCTACTTTGGGTTGGATTTGGAGAAATGTGTAAATAATGGGGCTGGTGGAAGATGACCTCTCCACCCTCTGCCACCCCCCACCCCAGGCTCCCCTGCCAGTTGTGGGATATTTTGCAATGGAATAGGTTGTGGCGTGGGGGGCAGAGAGGAAAGAGGGAGCCCAGTAATCTGGGCAGAAGTAACCTTCATAAGCAAGAGCTCCCACTTACAAAGTCATCTCTGCCTGTTTTTTGGACATTCCTTCTTTGGTCCCAGCTTGTCATGCTAGAACTCACCCCATTCAGTGAAGACCCTTGACCCCTTCCCACAAGGGGTGGGGTGGAAGCTTCCACCAGCTATGATACATGGACATTTCTCTGGATTCAACCGTTCATAAACTACCTTCACATCATTCACCAATTCAACAAATAATAGGGAGAAAAGTTATGTCATTCTGCTGCCGGAAGCACAGTGTATCTACTTAAATCTTTAGTCACTAGAGAACACAGACAATAGTTCATCAGATTATAGCAATAAAGTGACTAGCCTGCACAACAGTGTCTAGGTTTAAAGGGGCATAGATGTGGGTAAAAATCGAATTATGATTTTTAAATTGTCACCTTTACCCTTCCAACGTTATAAAAGTATAATCTTTAAGACAGTGTAATGGAATTTTAGATGAACATACAAATTGGAATGGAAAGTTGTATCTCTCACATAAGTAGTGAAAAATAAACCTTATAAGCTTAACTGTGTGTTTGTGTGTGTCTATAAAAGTAAATTAAGCTAACTGTTCTATGGTCACCTCAGAATATGACTGTTTCCTCAACTTTCTTTATATTAATTTTGCACCATATAGCACAGATTGTACAAGTACAATAAGTACATGAAATTTAAAGCTTTGCCCAAAATAAACATCTACAAGAGAACATAGGTTTTACTTTACAGAAACAAAAGACCATTTGAAGGAACAGATTCTTTTTTTTACAGTGATGTGATTAAAACACAACACTTCATTTAAATCCTATCTCCTTTTAGCAGACATTTAGCATCCCAATGTCTTTTCAAATCAAAATCAAATACTGCTTATTTTGTTATGGGACCAATTTGACTTATATCCATCTGTGTAGCATACAAGTACACAAACATGAAAATGTATCTATTCCAAAACAAAACCCAACACTGCTTTAGGGTTTTAACATTCCACGGTTCTTCAATCACCCTCACAATACCCTAGTATTCATGCAAATTAATTCCTCCAGAGTTAAAAGATTGGGACATCAAATTTTATGCTTAGAAATGATGGTGTATACTGGTCTGTGACTGTGAAGGTAATTTCATATTTCTGGCACTGATTTCTAAACAGGTAACACATTCTTTTGGTTTTAAGTGTCTGTGATAAGAACTCCCATCATCAAATTGAAGATTCCCATTGTTACCATATGGGCAATGTCATCACTGATTATAACCAAAGAAAATGTATTCTGTCTTAACAGTAACATCAAGAGTTAATGAGAAAAGCTTGGATGTGCTATAAATTGTGTAACTGAAAGATTTATATAAAATAGTAATTTCAGCTTCATGCTAGTTATAAAACTCAAAGGACACAAAATATTTTAGACCAATTATAAAACTTATTCAAAACTATTATGTTTCCCTTTTAACTGACACCTAGGCCAGGATCCAAAGCTATACTTTAGAAGCCTAATGGAATGAGCAGGCCAGTGGGATTTTTGTTTTTCTTTTAAAAGCAAACCACCCTTACCATAAAAAGGGCTTGCCATATCACATTAGGAGGCTACTGTAACAAGAAAGAAATTCAAAGCTACTCCCCCTTGGAAATGCATTAGTATTTTCCTTTGAATCTTGGTACTAGGCTTTCCAATAAAAAAATACAAAACAGCTAGAACTTCATTCAATATCTATTAATTTGAATATGCAACTGTATAACCTGCATTCTGGAAACTACAGTTAAGAGGAACAGGAAACCCTAGCGTAACAGCCACACCTAAGGTCTGAATACGTGGGTTTGATGTATACTGTGGGCAACTGAAAATGGGCTATGATCCATGTGTTAAATAATCCATAAAGTTGAGATATACAGGAATTTAGGTACCGATTACACAATTTGTGTAATCTTATTTCCTCTGACTATGATTAATATAAAACAAAGGCCAAATGCTTGGATTAAAGCAATTTAAAATAGACTTGTGGACTAACTATGTGATTCTGTTTCAAATAATGCAGCACCTCATAGGACTATATACTAGATTCCACTATCAGTGCAATGTCACAACATGTTGCACTACAATAGTGGCGGCAATTTACCCCAGTCACTAGTGCCATCAAAAACCTTCCCAGTAGCCACCTTTGGCATGTTGTTACCATGCAAAGATATATGTAGGCAAGACCACTGTGCTAAATGGTACCTCAAAGCCTGAAAGAAAGTTCATGTAAATTTGAACTGCTAAATTTAATGAGTACCAGGCTGCCATTAAAACAGCAAAATCACAAACACATTTCACACACCAGAAGGTATTTCTTCAGTTAGCAAAGGGAGGGAGAGAGGAGAGAAGAGAAATGACAAGATATTAACACTTACCTGAATATAACATCAATATCAGGAAAGTGTTCAATATAACATACCACAAACCTTTATTCTATAAAACTATAAAAAGTTTTTTAAAGCCTCATTAAAAGATGAATATACCTACCTCTTAACGATGACGATACTCCCGTTCTCTATCGCGCTCTCTGTCGCGGTCTCTATCGCGATCACGATGTCTCTCACGTTCACGGCTTCTTTCCCGGTAATAATCATCATGACGATCTCTGCTACGAGATTTGTGGCGCCGGCTCTTCTCTCTTGACCTGCTGTGGTCTCTCTCTCTTGATCGCTCACGTCTTCTAAAAGGAATTACTTCATTAATTCTCTCAAAATGCAACATTTTGCTGCGATAAACACAACACACTGAATTTGTTTACTTCCTTGGGTATGAAGAACCCTGTCTCAATACAAAGAAATTGTTTAGATGAACTCTGGCAATTAGGTTCACTGTGATATTATCATCAAGTAATAGTTCTGCTGCTAATGTTTATATGATTTCATGACTTTTATTCTATTTTTGTCTTTTAAATCTTGAAGCTACGTTAGGAGCCTTTGCAAAGCCAAAAGGCAGGACAGAAAATTCCTTTAATGATAGTGTGGTACAGGTGTACAGAATTGAAATTTATTCCATTCCAAGTCCAGCTGATGTTCAAGATAATGGAATTTCTATGCTTTTCCTACTCTTAACTTTCCTACCAGCTGTTGTAATTTGAGTCGCTCCTTGATAAAAGTCACTTTAAGAACTTACAATGGTTTTTTCAACAGTTTAATTAGGTTTTAAGATACTGTGAAGTCGTTCAACCGTGGTTTCATTAGAAACTAACCTTCCAATTATATCTGCATTTTCCTAACCATGAAATTAAGCTTTACAAAAACTAGAGCTACATCAAGTTAATTATTTTAAGTGATATCCAAGACACACACTGAATAGACCCACTAAAATCCATAGACTTACCGTATTTTTCGCCCCATAGGACGCACCTTTTCCCCTCCAAAAATGAAGGGGAAATGTGCGTGCGTCCTATGGGGCGAATGCAGGCTTTCGCTGAAGCCTGGAGAGCGAGAGGCGTCGGTGCGCACCGACCCCTCTCGCTCTCCAGGCTTCCCGCAGATCTCCGCAAGCTTTGGGAGCCCGCTGCTTGCAGAGAGTTGCCTGCATGACGAAGGCTGGGCGCGCTGAGCCCAGCGCTCCCAGACTTTGCGCACCTCTCCGCAAGGCGCAGAAGACCTGCACTGGGCTCCCGCTGCTTGCGGAGAGTTGCCTGTTCTGGGGGCTGGGGTCAGGGGAAGCTCGGGCTTCCCCCGCCCCAGCCCCGCACCTGGGGGGGGGGAAATAAATTCCCCCCCCCAAAAAAACTAGGTGCGCCTTATGGGACGGTGCGTCCTATAGGGCGAAAAATATGGTAAGTACATTGCATGACTTAAAAAGGTCCATTCCCTCATATAGCCCCACAACTCTTATCTGGAACTTTATTCAAAACTTTCCCCCATTTTTATACAAAAGGTTTACCTTGACCCAGAACCATAAGACTTGGACTCAATTCCATGGAGGCAATCTTGCAGAGAGCTAATAAGTACTTTGCAACGATCATCAGCAGATACTTTGGACTGTTTAATTAATGAAATTGCAGTCACCAAGGTTTCTATAGCACTTCCATACTCCGCTGAAAATTGATAAAACAATGTGAATGAACAGTTTAATTAATCCTTAACATCAGAATATCCCTTCCCTTTGTCCAGCCTTCTTCAACTGTTCAAACATAGATTGTTCAACTTCATACTGACCTGGTCCGCACATTACAATAAGCCACAGTTTAAAAATAAACTACGGTTTAATGTGAACGAGTAGTGTGTGAGTTCATGCCATTCAAAAGTTCCCATGACACCTTTCCCCTACGTCCTCAGCTGCCATGCCACAGACAAAACAACTAAACTCTTTTGACTTGTCACATTGCCTAAACTTAAGATCATGGTTTGTTTCTCTCTGAATGAACCACAAGCAACATGACAAGCCAAACACTTGCTTGTTTCATCTGTGGTGCAGCTGTAGCAAAAGTGGAAAAGAGGAATGCCACAGGAACTTCTGAGCAGCGTGTACAAGCATGCTGCTTGTTCATATTAAACCAGAGTTTCAAACGATGGTTTAATGTGATGGGTGAGCTAGACTACTATAGCAGGAGGCTAATATGACTAAATAGTCCTCCATACAGTATGTGACCATCTACATTAGAAAAAATAGAATGGAAAAGTGTTCTTGCTCTAGCATTTTCATGATATACTACTTTTCTCTGTGTACTTCGTTTTTTGGTAGGGGAGCGTTCAATTATGCAGGCCCCACATTCAGTCGGAAGTGGTATAAACCACACATTTACTGCTGTTTGATGGATCTAGGCACATGCTCTATATTAGACCTTTCCAATTCCAAAAGGAAGTGCTCAGGTGGCATTCATAACTAAAGTAAGTTACAATAATGTCAATAATCAGCAAAAGAAAGCAAAGCTACAAAGCAGCTATAGAAAAATAGCCCATAAAGCTAAGAAAAGTATTATTTTAAGCAACAGATAGTTAAAAGTGTGCTGAAAGGGTAATCTTTTAGCTGATGGCAGAACACAAAGATAAGGGAGAGGAATTAACGTCCAATGGCAGTGAATTCACTTTCTGGGTGCTCCCAACACCTGTATTTTAGAAAGTGGAAACACACAGAAGGGCTTCATCAGATTATTTTAGTGGATAGGCATATGTATGTATGCATGCAGAGAAAGTCCTAGATATCACATCAGACAATCATAAAGAAAATATACTGACCAGCACTTGCATCTGATACAGCTCTTGAAATGGCACTGCTAGAGATAGCTCTGTTTCTATTCATGATTTCTTCAAATTCTGCTTCACTTAAAGGCGTCCTTGCAGCATCTATTTCTCTGCAAACACACACAAGTTCAAAACATTTACCTCCAGTGAGTTTGGGAAGTACAACTGTTTTAACAATTCTAGTATGCAATTTTAAGCAAAACAACAAATCAGAGGAAGCTTTTTCTAAACCAAGATATTTACAATGCAAAACCTGCAGGCTAGAGAGAAAAAGTACACTACCACAGCAGCAACAACTCTGTTATTAGTGTGAAATGTCAGATAATCTACTTATGTTCTGCTTTCCATCTTCAGAAAGCTCCAACAGATAATTACAAATCTGTCAAGCATGTATATGTATCACTGAGGCAGAGAGATCTGTAGCCTGCTCAAATCAGTAAATGAGTCTTTCAAAGAGTTCTGTCCTCAACATATACTCTAATCTGTCATAGTGAACATAATGAATAAATGTTGCCAAGCATTAAGAATGCTCTGTTCTCTAAAGATATTCATGCTTTTAACATAAGCATAATGTGCCAGTAGTTAACTATTTACTTAACTGAAGTTAGTGACAGAAATATACTTATTCTTCTTATGCCCCCTTGAGCTCTGCAACATCTGCCAGTCTCTGCTTTAAACAGAACATCTGGAGAATGACAACAAGACTAGAGAAGGCCTTTCTCCTCCTACAGGCACCTCTACTATGCCTCAGGATGTACCACCCAACTTCCTCCTCCAGTTTCTTTGTGGCACACACTAATCTAGATAATGTAATATATTTGACTGAAGCTAGAAAGGAAGTCATGCCTTAGGATGAGATTTTAATCTTTGCTGGTGGTAACCAGTTGCTGTTCACCTGCTGATGGAAGACATCTGCCAGATGAATGGGAAGGAAATTAATTATCAGCCAGTCTTCAATTCACCAACCCTCTGAAGAAGATGGGGAGGCAGCAGCTCTAAGGAGTGAGGAGGAATTGCCAAAAGTTGCCTCTCTTCCTGTTCTGCTGATGGATACCTCCAATCAGCAGGGGAACACCAACTGGACTATGTTCTCCATATTCCTTCCAGCACTATAAAATTATATGGCTTTACGTGCTTTTAAGAAATGTTTTCTTGCGAGTGTTAGTTCTTTTGGTAGAAAGAAAATGCAGAATGATAAGCAATGCTATCCTCTTAAGAGCAAGAAGTGGATCAAGATCCTATAGCTGATTTAGCATAAGAGGAAATGTCTAAAAATTCATACCTCCCTGCGTTTTGAGTATTATTTTTCGTTTGTCTCCAATACAATGGCATATGTAATTGTTCTCTTATGGGCATGTTATTTCCAGTGAAACGCCTATGATATATAATTGACAATTTAAATATAGTTATGGACTGTAGTTGAGATCATCATGAAAATATTGGACATTATGTGCAGAGATTCTACTTCTGCTTTCAACCCCCTCAGCCCTCCCTTGTTTATTAGAGTATTATCTTGATATACAAAATATTAAAAAGTTTGGTTTTATAAACTATGGGTTCTCAGCATAGTCTTCCAAGTTATTATGCCAAATGCTCTAAATTTCTAAAAAGCTGAATGATAACATTTTAAATTTTAGACAGTAATTCCATGAACCAATTAACAAAGCTAGAAACAATGTTCTCAAGTAAAAGACTAGGAAGTTTATTTGACAAAAAAATTATCCCAACAAAGCCTCTGTTATATGCCACAACATGCAAGTAGATTCTTATATATCACAATCTATCAACGTCTAAAAATGTGGTATAACATGAACATAAGACAAACAGCAACAAAGGGAAATGAGCAGCAAAGGGTAAGCCAACAGGAGTTTATTATGTAAGTCTGGAAAAGAAAAGGTGGATGTAGACAACTGATACAGCAGCTGACATTAAGGTCATCATGGGATTTCTAAGCATTTCACCCATAATGATAACTCGCAAGTTGAGTGAAGACACAGAATTTAACTATCTCCTGAATAAAACTTGATCAACAATCGGGGTTCCTCTTTCAGTTAAAAAACAACTCAATGATTCCTCATATTGTCTGCCATCTGATATGGTTGTCTGAATCCATCAGAGTAGTCATACAAAGATTACTCTAGGTCACTGGAGGTGCAAGGAAGATGTAGGTTAAGCAGAAAGTAAAGCAGGACATCTCAAGCTGACACACAGAGTGTTTTCTTATTAGAGACCAAAATTTGTTCACTTAAAAGAACGTACATTTATATTAATCTTTACACTGTGATTTACTTTAAAGGAACTAAATTGCAACTTTCAGCTGGTGAAGAAAACTTGAATAGCTGAACATTAAAAAGTTAATTATACATACACATACACATACACACACAGGTATGGGGAGCTTACAAATGTAGCATTTGTTTAAAGACATAAAAGAAGCCACCAATGAAAACAAAATGAAACAAATACTGTACATAGCTGATGGAAATGAGGAAGGTCTAAGTACTGTTTTTAAAACACTGGTTCTCAAACTGTGCAGTCACCCACACCCCTTGGGAGTTCACAAAACACCTGCAGGGGAGAACATAGGATTGGATCTGAAGCCTTCTTTCCTTTGTCAGTCAAGATGTTGGTAGGTTAAATATCCTTTAGCAAAGGATACATTTTGCACTGGATTTGTGGGCAGGATTTGGCAAAAGCTGCTGCTATGTTCCAATGATGCTTTCTTGGGGTGTAGCTTTAGGATGTACAATCATATAGTCGTACCTTGGAAGCTGAACAGAATCCTTGGAAGTTGAACAGAATCCGTTCGACTTCCAAAATTTTCAGAAAACAAAGGGCAGCTTCTGCAGCCAATCGGAAGCCACAGAAGGCCTGTTGGATGTTTGGGTTCTAAAGAACGTTCGCAAACTGGAACACTCACTTCCGGGTTTGCGGCGTTTGGGAGCCAAAATGTCTGAGTACCAAGGTGTTTGGGATCCAAGGTACGACTGTATATTGTTCTATTCTGTTTCCTAACGCCTGGGTTGGATCAGTTCTCCACTTCACAGATCTTTGCACACAGCAGCAAGCTACGTACACTGCAGCAATCAATCATCTCTATACGGTCTGTTGTGGAACTGATGGTTTTTGGGCCCCTAGAAAGCATGCATTCATAAGAGGGGAGCCAAGCTCAAAACATTTAAGGAACACTGGTTTAATGTTATTCCCACATTTGAGAAACACTTTTCTGATGTAACCTTACTTCCTTGAAGGAAATCAAGCCTCCTTATTAAGACTCTTGAAGCGTTTTTAAAGAGGAATAAAGATGCTATCAATGAGGAAAGCAACTCACCTGCCTGGTGGACCATAATCACCTCTGTCATAAGGTGGAGGCCGGCCATATGGGTCTGAAGGTGGTGGACCACGGCTGTCTGATGTAGGTATGCCACTGTTGGCTGGCGGGGGGAAGAAAGCTGGATTCACGTGTGGAGCTGGTGGGGGAGCACCTGGTGGAGGCCCAGGTAAGTGAGGAGGAGGAGCCAATGTCAGGGGTGGCCCTAGCGGACCAGGTGGACGAGGGGGGAAAGGACCTGGAGGTGGAGGAGGGCCCTGTTGTGGGGGTGGAGGACCTGGTGGAGGACCATAGCCTGGAACTGGAGGTGGAGGGCCAGGGGGAAGTGGGCCCAGTGGAGGTTGACCAAAGGGTTGCCCAGGAAACAGAACTGGAGGAGGGGGACGGTCACCACGATTAGGGGGACCCGTTAGTGGAGGAGGTAGAACCTGGCCAGGTGGAGGAGGACCTGGAGGGCCTGGAGGACCTAGGGGTGGACGTGGAGGTGTCTGTCCAGCTAAATGGGAAGGAAGAAAGAAAGAATAATGCCTTCTACTACTTCTAGCAAAACTTTCTCCAAATTTACAGAAACATTTGTAAAGAGCATTGAGAAAGCTTACTTGGCATATGGATATGAATATTAAATATGACAAGAATCCACATGTTATCAAATAGTCTGGCAATTCTCATGGTGGAAAGGTAAGAGGTGTCATCTACCCCATCTACCTGCATTCCACAACACGCCAATGCTAAAAACTACCATAGGTTTTTAATGTTTTACAATAAAGCTTATAACTTTTGAGTATAGACTTAGGGGAGAGAGGGACTAATGAAAATGTCCAATATTGCAGCAACAATTATCAACAAAACTAACACTATACACTTGTGGTTCTGTTTTATTATAGTGTTCTTTTATACTGTGTGTGTTTTAACTTAAGTTTTTTTTATTCAGTATAGAATGTATGTCAATATAAAATAATCCTACTGTCCAGAAACAAAGTGCAGTAACTGGCAAGTCAAATTTCAGTATCTTCAACTATACATAAAGGCAGCAATGTATAACACAAAACATTTTACCTGGAAAAGGTGGTGGGGGTCCTCCTGGTCCAGCTGGTCCAGGAAATCTATCCCCTCCTGGAAGGGCGCCAGGAAAACGACCCCTCCCTCTGTTACTTGGTGGAAACGTTGCCCGTGAACTGCCTCCAGGAGGACCAGCTTTGCCTTCACCAGACATCTGGCCTGACTGTGTAGCTGAAAGAAGAAAACAAAAGTGTTCAATATACAACACTTGGCTTATTTTTATGCTGTTCTTATATTTTATTATAGTTATGCTTTTGTTAGCTAGTTTGAATAGGTCCAGGATTCACCAGTTACATGATGCTTTATCAATGTGATGTTTCAAATGTATAGGAACTCAAATTAGCTGGCATCATTCATGTTTTTATCACTAAAAAAATAAGTAGTACTAGAGAAAGTAAGATCCATGTCTTTCTACAATATTCTTAAAACGTCTACAGAATCTATAGTTTGAGCAGTGTTATTTCATTTCAGTAAACCAAGCCTTAGTCAGCAGATTCTCAGCACTTAATAGCCAAATACAAACACATCCACAATTGCAAAATGGTAATTTCTCTGTCCAAAACATGCTCTTTCACTTCACTGTGAGTAGCTGGGAGCAACACTTACTTTTTCTGGACTGCAGCTCAAATTGACTCAGAAACTGCTTATTACAAGGAGTAACAACAGGATTTTGACCATGCAATTCTCGTTTAGGCAACAGATCCATTAGTTTTTTGGAAGATGCCTCAGATCCCACACCTACAAGAGCAAACCTGAAAAGAAATAGATGGGGGAATTATGTATGGTGGTTATGGGGCCCTGAGAAAGTGTCACTTAACTGAAATGTTTTACAATAATTTTAGAAGGAAGACTTGTCAGTTTTTGATTCAAGAATTACCTAATTCTCCCACCCCCAAATAAGCAAACTGTAATAGGCTACCATACATTTCCTAATAATTTACTCTGTGAAGTGTAACCCTCATTTACTATTAGCAAGACACCCCAAACCTTCTAGCAAACCAGCTTTCATTTTTGTCTCTTAAGCCTGCTTTTATGCCTTACTCAGAACCAGTTGCTTCACCAATTCCTTTTCTTGACCAACACAGTCTCAGCTTCCTTTATGGTCTGTCCAGTTAAACTCACTACTCCTCCCTTAAATCTTGTTCTAGTCCTGTCCCATCTTCTTAAGCTACATTCTCTCAAGCAAAAAAACAGTGTCCTGTACAGCCTGTCACACTGTAGAACAGAAATGGGAATTATGAATTTAAACAAAATTCTTACCCCTTAGATTGGCCATTAGCTCGGTTTTCAAAAAATTTTATCTCCAAAATATCATTTACACCAAGTGAATGAACTGCTTCAGTTAAATCTTCATCTGTGGTCCACTGGAAAATATTTGTAATTGAAATCTCATTTCTGAACATAATAGCAAAAACAAAACAGAAGCAAAGCCACATCCCAAAAACCATTCATTATCACTTTTCCACTGCACCATTCAAGGGAACAGATAATACAGCAAACGCTAAGTGCATCTGATGCATATGATATAAAAGCTTTTTTTAAGCTAAGTTGGTTTGACTTATTGTTTTCTAAAGTTACTGGAAAGATTCCTAATGCTCAGTGATATAATTCAGCAAATTATGTTTAAAATAAGCAAAGAATTTGTTAATTTACATAGACTTTAAGAAGCAATGATTACAAACTCAAAAGTCCACTTTACACTCATTACCTATAGCAAAAGAGAAAGGATCACAGCTCAGTGGTAGACAATATGCATGCAAAACATTCAGGCAGGCCTGGGAAACATGTCTGTCTGAAGCCTCTGAGGGCTGCACCTAATCCAGACAATAGTGAACTAGATAGGTCAATGGTCTGAGTTAATGCAGTTTCTTACAACTCCTATTGCAGCAGTAACTAGCGGAACACTTACCCAAGTAAGATTCCCAATGTACAATGCAATTCTCTTTCCTGTATACGTGTAGACAACATTTGGTGCTGATCCTTTGCCTACATCATCTCCAACAGATGGTGGGAGAGAGTCCATATAATCACGATCCTCTGGAGCATCGCCGTTATTGGCAGATGGAGAGATGACGTCGTCATACAGATCTATTTGATCATGCCCACCATACTCAGCCTCCTAGAAGACAGGGGTCATTGAATGTCATACTTTTAGTTCATTTTTTCTGGAGAGGCTTGAATAGAACTTCATTTATTTATTTATTTAATTAATGGTATTTATATACCATACCTTCAGAATATTTATTCCAGTGTAGTATGTATTACATTTAAAAAAAACAGTAAAATATTCAACAATTAAAAATACCAATTAACAAATAATACAAGTAAAATATAAATTAACAAAGAGTGAAAACTTCATTTCCAGTGTTTAAAAAACACAGCACCTTGAAGCTAGAGGTAACTGAAGTCAACAAAACAGTACTAAACCAAAAGAATTAAATCTATTAATCCAATGAATCTCCTACTCATCGCAATAACCAAGGCAGCTCAAAAAATTACACAGAATTCTAGAGTTTATAGTTCATTACACATGTCAAAGAGGCCATTGCATTAAAAGGTGTTAATTACTAAAGCACCACTGTTATCTTTTATTCATTTTTCACAGGCTCAATGTGGCTTACACCAATTTCATCAAAAATCTTTCTCTGGCCTCCAGAGGGCTCAATCTGAGAAACTTGTATCTAAGAGCCCAACTACACAGGATGATTTTTCCCTAAGTTTTCGGGGTTTTTACAAAGTAGCCAAAAGTAGCTTTAAACTTTCGTAGAAGACTTGAAGGGGTCATCCTCTGCCAATGGCTTGCTAACTCAGCGGAAAAGTACAGTGGATCCATTTTTTCTCCCAAATATATGAGGAAACAGCGCACACCCACCCACCTACACCCATGCATGCACGCACCCACACACGCCTCCTCTTTCCATTATTGTCATGACTACTTTCTAATTTTTGGTGAACTGCAGTTTGCTAAGTGTGATGAGACAGATAACAAAGAGACCTGTTATGTCTGCAATAGTGTAAATGAGAGGTGTAGATGCTACAACAGATGCAAATGTGTGCAGTGAACTTCAAAAACAATGTTCAATTTGCATTTCAATTTAGACAGCCAGATTACCTGATGATGACACATGAATACAGTATAGCATCTCACTGGGCAACAAATACACATACACCTCCTGCACAGATTTTTTTGGGGGTGGGGGAACAATTTATATGTACTTCCACATTACCATATGTCCATAAAGAAAGCTATGTGACCCTTTCTTTACAGAATTAAAAACAGTGAGACCACAAAGTTGAGCTTTCTATGTGATGGCGCCTACATCATGAAATGCTTTCCACACAATTTTTTTTGCTCGTCTCTCCTTGCTATGGTCTTCTGCCATCAAGTAAAACTGGCTTTTTCAAAGCGCATTTCTTGGTGCCTGAACGGATTAATTTTCAACTACTATATTGCTTTTAGTTAGCCAATGAAGTTTTAGCTGGCTGAGTTTGTAGTTTTATTAATATTTTATGCATAATAGTTACTCTGATTTAAATTGTGTACAACTTCAAGTGATTGACAGCACAGAATGTATTACCAAATTAAAAACAGAAAAATAGAATTGCAGTAGTATACACTTCTAGAACTTCTAAAAGGGTGTTTCATCACCTCACATATAAACAGATGTCATAAATTGACTATAAATTTAACTTTATAAATTTTAAGAAGAAGCAAAGCTATGTCCCCTCCAGCACATCATTTTTACATTTAATAAAGCCCTCCAGGAGTTTGAGAGCCAAGGTCAGGTATGAGGATCCAGAAACCTTCACAAGTATTAGAAACTCCCCAATTCAGACATTTGCCCTCCAATTCACGAAGGACTTTAACCTCTGTATTGATGACACACTGGAGGGATCGGACTTTTCAGTGTCCCCTTGCTTCTTCTCACATTTGCTTCTACCTGAGGAGTCTGAACACATAAATAAGGCCAAGGACTCCAATCCAATGGAGTATGTCAGTTCCACAAGCTCAGAACACTAGTTCACCTACACTCCCTTCAGGTCTTCAGTATATATAGAAGGAGGGGGAAGGAACAGGTGCACTTGCTCTATGACCCACCACCTGGGTTGTATGTTTCCATCACCAAGTCCATCAGTTGGATAGTGATTGATGTAGGGAGCCTCCTGTCCCCATAGAGGTTTCTTGCACATTTTAGAACTCTGGATTTTCCAGGGTTCTAAATAACGCAGGAATCCTCAAGAAGGACAGGGGGCTCCCCACTTTGAACAGAGCAACTGGAATGCAAATAGGGGGCAGACCTAGCATATTCATCCATGTAGTGCCCCTCCCTTTACTAAACACAACTACAGTACCTGTAATAACATGAAAAGATCAGCCTTTGAATGCAGATACTCAAGTTACTTTTCCCCTTTCCCCTTTAGTACAATTAGTTTCACCAGTTAACTTTTTTAATCCATCGCCAGCAGAAACGAAAACTAAAAAGTTTGAAACATCATTGAAATATGGGAGAAAACAAAGAATATGCTTTTAAAAGACGGCACAAGAACTACTCCAAAAGAAATAGCATAGAAATGCATTCTAGGAACACTTCCTTGCTCAATGTGAGTCTTTTCAAAATCTCCACAATACTCTTTTGAGGCTACATAAGAGAATAAGGACAAAAATGGGTGAACAGATGACTACGCAGAATGGTGGAAGCTAAACCAAACCTTCCAGCATCAAATAGCATACTCAGTGAACTGGATGCGTCTCTACACTGATTGGCAAAACAGTTACGGGACAGAAACAACTTTCTACTTTTTTGTCTTGCTGCCCCATTTCTCATAGACTTCACAGGAATAAAAGCCTCTGCCATTTTCTAAGCTTGTAAAAAACATAAACATAGAGCCTTCAACAACCTGTGCAAACCGAGCTACTAAATGTTGAAAACGCAACGTCCGCCGTACCGTCACGCGTGTTGATCAGGAAACTGAAAAGAGGCGCGAAAGGAGGCTGTGCTGCGAAGCACCTTTCGAGGGAACTGCTTCCCCTCTCCCTCGGCGCCCGGGGCTTCTCGTAAGCCTCGTCGCCGGCGCTCCGACCGAGCCTTCCCGGAGGAGGCTAAACATCTTGTCACGCCTCCCCATCGCAGCCTCCTCCTGGGGGAAGCGGCTGCTGCCTGTGTCGGAGCCGCTGGGCTCCGGGCTCCCCCCTCCTCCTCCTCCTCCCGAGGGGGGAAAGTGGGCAACAACCAACAGCGCTGCAGGAGGCTCCGTCTCCGGGCTCATTGTTTTCCAGCGCCTGAGGCCTCGCAGGGGAGGGAAAGGAGGCGGCGGCGGCGGCGACGCGCACTCAAAGCTGGGCCGCGCCCCCTCCCTCGGCCCTTCTCTTCTTCCACACGAGCTCCCCCCCCCCCGCCCCACTCGCGAGCGCGCCAGGCGGGAAAGCGGCAGAGGCCTCTCGGCGAGCGCCGCAGACAACAATGGCGGCGGCTTCCCTCCGCTGGGCCTAGGCCTGCAGCGAGCGCAGCCAGTCAGAGCCTCCCTCTCTCTCCCTCCCTCACAGCCCAGCCAGGCCTCCCCGCCGGCCTCCTCCTCGGACCCCGGAGCCTCTCTACCTGGTTGAATTCCTCTCCCACATCGGCGTAGATATCTATGTGGTCCACGCCGTCCGCCATATTCCGCCGCCTCCTCCTCCCCGCCTCCCCGCCGCGGCCGAAAGCCCCGCCCGGCTCTACAGCTGCCGCAGCCTGCCGCCGCCGCCGCCGCCACAGAGGAGGGGGCTTAGCGCAGGGAGCGACGTGAGACGTCACTTCCGGACGCGAACGGCGCACTAGCAGCGCGTCCCCCCCTCGCTGCCACGCCCGATGTGGGGGCGGGGCCTGCTTGGGTCGTGAAAACCCCTTCAGAGCAATCGAGGGGCTTTATTTCCCCACTCTTCTGATTCGTCAGCGGTTGGGAGGCAGGTTCCTTAAAAACAAAGCGGGGGGGGGGGCGTGGTGTCTCCTATACCGTGCCCAGTCGTGGAGCTGGAGCTGCCAATATATATATATAACGGTCTGACTCGAGGTACTTTTCTGTCTGCCTAATTTATATATATATATTTATATTTATATATATCCCCCCTCGGGGGATATTCAGGGAAGTTTTTAATATGTGACATTTTAGTGTATTTTTCATCTTTGTTGGAAGCCGCCCAGAGTGGCTGGGGAAACCCAGCCAGATGGGCGGGGTACAAATAATAAATTATTATTATTATTATTATTATTATTATTGGAGGAGGATATTTATACACACACATATATATACAGTGGGTTTTTTTTTTGTGTATATATATATATATATATATATATATACATATATATTAGGCAGACAGAAAAGTACCTCGAGTCAGAGCGTTGGCCACCTTGCTCAGTAGACTCTGCAATAGCTGGCCGTTTGCAAACAGGAGTGTTTCACAGACCTTACCTGGAATGAACCCGGGACCTTCTGCTTGCGGAGCATGTGCTCTAGCAGCGAGCTGTTGGCCCTTCCCTTATTTCCCAGCTGGAGATTTGCTGGAGCAAATCGGAGGCAGTGTTAGAGAAGATCATGCAACGTTCGGAGGAGTCAGCTGCTGGATCAGACCTCCCTGTTGGCACACGGAAGAGAAAGAGAAGAGAAAGAGAAGGCGCTTTTGCAGAAAACTCTCTTGCTTTCTTGTTCGAGAACTGCGGCTCCAGAGTGCCTTCGCTCCTGCTGCAAGTCCCATGCACGGGCAGCAGGAGGAACCAGGCGTGTGCGACAGGGACTGGCAGCAAGAGGGAGGGACAAACATTATAATGATGATCGGGGACATTTGAGATCCCAGCGACAGCGGGAAGCCAGTGCTGCTGATAGGATTCAAAGGCCCACAGATACATATTAATGATATATTAAGCCTCTTGTCTCCGGAGGATATAGAAGAACTAACATTAGATCCCAGGGACTCTGTAAAGGGCATTTGTCCCATTCCTGTGTTACAATTCAATACATGCATGTGTATGTATTTACTTCAATGTCTGCTTATAAATATAAAGGAAGCTAAAGGACAATGATCCATCTTCCTGTTTCTGGAGAAGGAGTGGAAGGACCCTGTGTTGTAAGTCTACATTGTACCCAGAGAAATGATGCTGGGACCCTGGCTGGAGCAAAGAATTGTATCCAACAAAATCCTCCTGTTAGAAAAAAAGTACTTCAGCTTGTGCAACAAGATTTCCTCTCCCAGCATACCCTGTTTGGGGAATTGCCCCATCACTCTGGAGCAGATTGCAGGAGGCATGCAGAAAGAGGCAGTTCCATTGCACAAGTAGAAATCCCACCGCTAAAAGGAGGACTTAATTGGGCACGACCCAGTGTGACATTACATGTTTACTTAGAGGTCCCATTCTCTGATAGGGCTTAAGATAAAGGTAAAGGGACCCCTGACCATTAAGTCCAGTCGTGGCCGACTCTGGGGTTGTGGTGCTCATCTCGCTTTATTGGCCGAGCAAGCCGGCGTACAGCATGACTAAGCCGCGTCTGGCGAAACAGAGCAGCACACGGAAACGCCTTTTACCTTCCTGCCGGAGCGGTACCTATTTATCTACTTGAACTTTGATGTGCTTTCAAACTGCTAGGTTGGCAGGAGCAGGGACCGAGCAACGGGAGCTCGGGGATTTGAACCGCCAACCTTCTGATCGGCAAGTCCTAGGCTCTGTGGTTTAACCCACAGCGCCACCCACATCCCTCTGATAGGGCTTACTCCCACATAAATGTGTATAGGATTCCATACTGGTAACCCAGTCCTCTATGGGCTTGTAAAAAATAAGTCTCACCCCACCCACCTGTCAAAGTGGAGGACTCTGGATCTAGTCCACCAGCTCCCCACCACTACTTTACCTTATGCAGTGCACCGCCTAAAATTAATCTCCATCTTTGCTAATATAAGGACTATAAGGCATACCTTTACTCGTGCTCTGTCCCTAAGGCAGCAATCCTAATCCCACTTATTTGGGAGTAAATTCCTTTCAATTCAACATGAATTACTTCTGAGTAGATATGGTTAGGACTGTGCTGTTGTACACAAGACCTGCTTGTTATTAGAGATAGATTCAACCAGTTGTTGACTTTTTCATCCATAGAATCAGTAGTTTCTTTTTCCAAATAGTTTTTGGTACAACCTGAATTTGTGTCAGGGGAAAAAACAAACCCCTTCCAGTAACACCTTAGTGACCAACTAAGTTTGTTATCGGTAAGAGCTTTCGTGTGCATTCTGAAGAAGTGTGCATGCACACAAAAGCTCATACCAATAACAAATTTAGCTGGTCTCTAAGGTGTTACTGGAAGGATTTTTATTTATTTATTTTTATTTTGTTTTGACTATGGCAGACCAACACGGCTACCTACCTGTAACCTGAATTTGTTTGTGTGTTAAGTACAGCCTTGTCTATCATAAGTAAGAAGCAGGTTCTGTTAAGAATTATAACTGTGTCTCAGATGGATTGTAGAAAAATCCAGAGACCATAAATAGTTTAAAGAAACTGAAGGGAATGATTTTAAAAAAGGAAAAACTCTGTAAAATGGTCATACACTGTTGCCACAGTAGATGTCACTAAAGCTAAAGTAACATTAACCAACTTCAAAACTAGTATTACAAGTCCTTCCTCCAGATCATAAAGTATGAAATCTCTAGTTCTGCCAGATTAGACCAGATGTCCATTTAGTCAGCATTCTACTCTCACAGTGGCCAGCTAGATGCCTTTGGGAAACCCACAAACAGGATTTGAGCACAACAACACTCTCCCTCCTTGTTTCCCCCCAGTAACTTGTATTATAGCAGGCTTCCTCAACCTTGGCCCTTCAGATGTTTTGAGACTACAATTCCCATCATCCCTGGCCACTGGTCCTGCTAGCTAGGGATCATGGGAGTTGTAGGCAAAAAAATCTGGAGGGCCGAGGTTGAGGAAGCCTATATTATAGGCATACTGCTTCCTACACTTTCAGTAGTAGCCATTAATAGCTTCATCCTCTATATATTTATCTAATCCGCTTTTAAAGCTATACAAATTGGTAGTCATCACTACGTATTTTCTTTGCCTGTGGAGCAGAGCCTGCAAACATCAAGATCTGCAGGTCCAAAAAGGGCAAAACACAAAAACTGGACCTCCATAATAATTAAATTAGGCTGCAAAGTTAATTTTGAGCCCCTATGAAGTTGTGTCTCCATACAATTCCATGGAGTTTGAACTGCCAGGATGCTTCAGTTGTTACTTGTGTTAGCAACTTGGACAAGCTGTCCTAAAGTTAATACAGAAGTTCATTTAACGTTAGCAGTTTAACAGGTTACATTAATTTATTTGGTCAAATATACAGGAGCTTTTGCTCACTCCATATTCCCTTCTTGTGGTACAATAAGCTATAATGAGTTTGTGGTAAACCGTAAGACAATACTGTATTTCCAAGACTTGCTCAGTTTTCCAAAGGACAAAGAAAGATTCATTCCAAAACAGATGGCACTTAGGCCTCACCAAATGTATTGTTTTTAAATTTGAATGCCAAGATGAAGTGTTCATGAAAACAACTGGCTGGTTTTGTGCATTGCTACATGGCAGTTGCTCTTTTTCTTGTTTCCAGCTTTTGGGATTTGTTATTTTGTACATACTCAGGCCAAAATGAAATACTCTGAAATATTAAATATTCAGTTGAATACACATACACTAATGGGGGGTAGAGGAAATTTGGACTGTCCCACATACTGATTTATTTTAAACAAAAATAGCTTTAAAAAAAGTTACAGATACATTACAAAAATGAGACATGAATACACTTAGGCAAGAATAGCCAGCTGCACAAATGTAAGATGGAGAACACCTAGCTTGGCCATAGTTTTGCATTCAGGGTGAACAGCTTGGAGCATGCTATGCAGATGACAATGTACAATCTATTTCTGCCTGGCAGATATGAGGAATTACTAGCTGTGAATTAGTGTTGCCATGGACAGATGGAAATGTGAGAGAGCGCAATGAGAGGGCCTTATATCACATCCCTGGAATCTCTAGTGAAGGGATATCAAGTAAAAGGGCTGGGACCTGGGAGAACCTTTTTGCTTGACAGCTACTGTCACAATTCACTTTCTGTTGTTTTTTTACTGGGCCAAATGTTTAATACAATTCTATAAATCTGCTCTCCAGCAAGCAAAACAAAATGATTAGAATGTAAAACTTTATGCCGGATTCACAGTTATTTCTCAGCTTAATTCTTACACAGACTACAGTAGGGAAGAACTTCTGCATGAACCAGAACCAACTGGCTAACTAATTCAAGAAGGGAAATGCTAGTCTTGGTATACCAGTAGGGATAAATCATCAGGGTGCCAGCCTTTCTTAAGCTAACAATTGAGAGGCTGTTGCAGAAGAACAGACATTTTTCACAACTATGATGGCTCTAAACTGTGTTGGCTGTAGTCCTGCAGTGTTTGGAAAGTGTATTGACAAGGTTGCTAGGAGAAAAATGAAGAAGCCATGAACTGTGAAACAGAAGGGAAGTTTCCCCTCCAGAAGAGGGAAGGAATAGTTCAAAAGGGTCCGGTTAAACAGTTAATGAAATGTAAGGGTAGGCAGTATGTCACCCCAACACAACAGAGTGCCTTTTATAAGTCAATCAGTGGGGCATTGTCTGATGGTGACGGTATAATTTCAGACCCTACTTTCCAAACCACCATGAATGGTCTTCCCCAAAAGATATGAGAAATATCGACACCCTGTGTTGGCATAATCATGGAGCATTATAATATAGTTTATGATAGTACAGTGGTACCTCGGGTTACATATGCTTCAGGTTACATACGCTTCAGGTTACAAACTCCTCTAACCCAGAAATAGTGCTTCAGGTTAAGAACATTGCTTCAAGATGAGAACAGAAATCGGGCTCCAGCGGCGCGGCAGCAGCAGGAGGCCCCATTACCTAAAGTGGTGCTTCAGGTTAAGAATAGTTTCAGGTTAAGAATGGACCTCTGGAACGAATTAAGTACTTAACCTGAGGTACCACTGTACAGTCTAGCAGAGCAATTCTATACTTGCATTGCTCCAGGACTGGAGATGTGCCGCAACTACGCTAGTGGAACAGCCTCTGCACCCCATGCATGCTCAGCCCACATGTTGTTGGGGCCCTCATCAGGTTGGTGGGACACTGTCCAAACATCCTGGCCCTGACACAAAACTCCACAACCTTGAGGCTTGGGAAAAGAGAGACCACAACTGCTCTGTAGCCCAGCTCTCCTATCAGTGGGGGTCTAAGAAAACACTTCCTCTGACACTACAGAAGCAGATCAAGGCTGGTGAAGAGGGCTAGATTGATGTGCTTCATCTGCATCCATCTGCCTGTTTCCATCTGCTGCCCCACTGTTTCTTCTGAAGCCCTGAAGTATGTAAACCAGCCCTCCTTAGATGCCTATACAGTGGTACCTCGGGTTAAGTACTTAATTCGTTCCAGAGGTCTGCTCTAAACCTGAAACTGTTCTTAATCTGAAGCACCACTTTAGCTAATGGGGCCTCCAGCTGCCGCCGTGCCGCCGGAGCACAATTTCTGTTCTCATCCTGAAGCAAAGTTCTTAACCCAAGGTACTATTTCTGGGTTAGCGGAGTCTGTAACCGGAAGCGTATGTAACCTGAAGCATATGTAACCCGAGGTACCACTGTATATGCAAGGTGAAAGATGCAAAGCTGTGCCTAAACTGACACAAACATCATTCCTTGCTGTCATGGGAATGGTACAGTAGTTCAGTTATCATGTTAATTCAGCTCAAGGATGTCCTAACCAAAAATACTTGGACCTTGGGCCTTTTTTGCAGTGGCTCTCCGTTTGTGGAATAGCAAAATTTCCAAGGGGGAGGCGGCCCCCTCAATATTCTGTGGCCTGCAGTGGGTCTTGCTGGGCCTCCCTCCAGCTGCAACAGACTCTGTCCTGTTTCTCTGTGGCCATGGCAGGCCTTGTGGCTGGCAACATGACATCACTCACATGTCGTGCATGTGACATGACACATCACAAAGTTGGGCAGAACCCAGCACCTGTGCTCCCCAGGGAAGCTCACCTGGCAAAAATGTTCATTAACTAGGCCTTTGGCTGATTAACATTTTATATTCCTTTTAAATGTGTTTGTGGGAGGGGGCTTTATAGTTTTGCTTTGTTTTGGTTTTTATTACGTCTCTTATGTTTTCATTTTTATTTTTATGCTGTGAACTGCCCTAAGACCTTCAGACAAAGAGCGGCATGCAAATTTAAATAATAAACAAATAAATAAATACAGGATAGAAATTGAATAATTTCAAAATATAATAATAATAATAATAAATTTTATTTATAAAATGTTACATTTCTTAAGCAAAATAACTATATGTTTCAGTAGAGGGCACACAACCTAGGCTCCTAAAAAAGAGGTGCTAAGTGAGTAAATTATTTTGTCTTAATGGTTTGTTAGGACAACACAAACATCTATCGTGAGAAAAAAACATTGTCAATAGACACCATCTGTGTCATTCTTCCTGTACACATTGGTTCCGAGAAGTAGATGTTTTTCAGCTTACTTTTCATGATTTCCGTACTATCATTTTCCCAGGGGGATTTGTCTCCTATTTGCAAGATTAATTGTTTATGTGGACTTTCCCAGGGTCCCTTTCCCTTTATTCCTCTCCCACTCCATCCCTATATAATATGAATCTCTGAAGCCCAAGAGAACCTTAGCCAAATCAGCATTCCATCTCTGCCCCGTTTCCTCCAAGCTGCAGAAATGGAAAAAGTTAAGCTAGAAATGGTTCTTATAAAAAAAAGAAACAAGGCATTGTATCTTAAGAAAGACCTGTGACTTTAGGATAGTGTTTCCCCCCACTATATCACTGTGAAAAACATGTGGTATTGTAGGCATTTAGCACCCATCTATATTTTATGATCATTTATTTTTATAATACTGCAGTATCTTTATATGGTGCAGGCATTTATTTGGTGTAGACTATTATTTCAATAGCCTGTGAAGGAGCTGGGCCTTAAGGAGCAATCAAACATCAGCATTAATCATAGCAGTGTTGGCTATTTGCAGTTTAGTTGCGCTGCAGAAAGCTTGCTGGGGAGACCACGCATTACAAGGAACTCAAAAATAACTTTAACAAGGTTTTAATAACAAAAACAAAAACTGCTTTTACACTAAATGTACCAACAAGCATGACCCATCCCCCCGGGTACTGAGACAGCTAGGTGCTGCTCTTTATATACTATACCCAATTGCTGACACAGCTTAATTAACACAACTTAACAGAACCTGCTATACTCCTTCACAGCTGTAAAACTGGGTCACATTATTTGCTCTGGCCCTTAAAGACATACACATCTTGTGGAACAATAATGAACCTTCACATTTAAAGAGACCATTCAACAAGCAGGTGGCACGGCAGTTAACGAAATAAATAGGATAGATAGACATTTGCAAATACACTACAGCACTGTCCTAACCATGCCTAAGTAAAGGACCCTGACCATTAGGTCCAGTCGTGACCGACTCTGGGGTTGCGGCACTCATCTCGCTTTATTGGCTGAGGGAGCTGGTGTACAGCTTCCAGGTCATGTGGCCAGCATGACTAAGCCGCTTCTGGCGAACCAGAGCAGCACACGGAAATGCCGTTTACCTTCCCGCCGGAGCGGTACCTATTTATCTACTTGCACTTTGATGTGCTTTCGAACTGCTAGGTTGGCAGGAGCAGGGACCGAGCAACGGGAGCTCACCCCGTCGCGGGGATTTGAACCGCCGACCTTCTGATCGGCAAGTCCTAGGCTCTGTGGTTTAACCCACAGTGCCACCCATGTCCCTATTCCTAACCATGCCTACTTGGAAGTAATTCCTATTTGGTTCAGTGGAGCAATGGAATAGGGTTAGTATTGCAGCCTGTGCATTTACTATGGGAAGGATTCAGGTAATGTGCCCCACCAGCAGAAGCCCATGCAAGGGCTTCCTGCTAGTGCAATGTGGCTTTCCCATTCCTTGTACCCACCTAAATTAACTGGCAGGGGTCAGATTATTCTGTCAGGCAAGCAGAAATGCTTGGGCTGACTGAGTGAGCTGCATAGTGCTATGTTGAATTCCTCCCCATCCATTTGAAGAAGTCTGGTATAGATACAACGCACAGAAACTAGAAGTGAGAAGTTATTTTGTAGGTAACTAAAGTTTGCACCAGAGATGCCACACAATCTGTTTATAATTGGAGCACCATGTCCCATCAGTTATACTGACATATTAGTTTTGTTTTAATTGGCGAGTGTAACTAGTGGAACATTCTCATGGATATAATGTAAAAAAGAACAATTCTATCCTTAATGTAGGCTCATGTTGGGATAGGATTGTACCTAAACTTCCTTTTTCACAATGCTTGTATCCTCTTGCTTTGTTCTTTTCTGCTGAGCTATTAGCCAGGTCACAGGGCTGCTACTGATGAGTTCTTTTTTTTGGAATATAGATTTTCAGAAGTATACTGAGCTTTTCACCACGTCTGGTGGCTTAAAACACAGAATATACACGATTTTGAACGTAAATTAAAACATTGAAGAATAAAACTTTAGAACATCATTCATGTCATGAGGGCCTGAAATAAAACCGTTTTAAACCTAATGGCAGAAACTTAGCAGTGAAACTTGCACTGCACACTTCCACGAGACTAGCCAGTAGTTGGGTCCGAAGAGGAAGTCAGGATCACAAGACAAATGAGGCTGTACAAAGGCCAAGCCAGGAAGCCAGAACACACCAGAGCCTGTAAAGACCTCATTGCTTGAGCAACGCTCAGCAGGAATAATTTACTCCTGGTGTCCTCCCAAAGTCATGTCTGTGGGCAAAATGGGAGGACTTCAAAGTACCGTGTGGGGTGTTTGAAAGACCCATGGTGGTAGGAGAGACAATCAGTTTCCACTGGATATTTTTCCCCCCACTTTAACAGCTGTTTCGATGGAAAGTGCTTCCCCCTCCTTGAGCAAGGGACACTTGGTGGGAGTGTGCTTTGCTCCAGCAAAGGATCCACCAGGAGCTCACTTTAAGCTCCTGGTTGTTCCTTTGAAGCCCCGTCCTTACCTGCCACACACCTGATATTACATAATCATGTCAGGTGTAGGGTGGGTGGACATGGTTTGGCCAAAATGTCCTTGCAGGTCAAATGAAGAGACCTGGCAGGCCAAATTTATCCACTGGCCTGAGGTTCTCCACCTCTGGGATAGATTATGAGACCTGAAGGTATCATATCCAGTAGCACTGCCCAGCGGATGAGATATCAGGTGTCCAATTGTTATTTATATATGCAACAGGTACAAAAAGGACTGCTAGTTTTTCATCAGAATTGCTGAAAGCACCAGAGTCTGACAAGATCAGAAGCCCCAAGATATCTCTTTCCCAACCTCTATCCTCCAGATGATGTCCTCGTCTTCCATAGGCCCACCCCACACATTTGTGTTTGCCCACACATAAAACGATATCCTACTTTTTAAACTCAGGCCCATGCACCTAAACTTACAATGCTCTGGGAACACCTGGCAATCATCTTCTGTTTATCAGGTGAGTGTGCTGGAATCATCATCTGAAGTCCATGTGGTGTGGTAGATTACCTTGTCTTCCCCATCCTGACCACAACATTAGTTAATCAAATGACCAGCTTCAAGCTGCTAGTTGAGACTTAGCAGCACTGCATTGTTTTTCTAGAACAAAATGTAGGAACACTGCACATTTGTCCAACTGCTCTATGCATTCCTTGTAATTCAGCTAGAGTGTGATTGGTTAGGCTCTCTTTGTGTGTCATGTACCTAGCTCCAAGCATGTATGCTTGCCTTAACTCATCCCTGCATGGCATGATAGTGATCCATCATTCCAAACACTAGAAAAATATTTCAATACCAGATATTTTTAGTAGGAAGTCATTTTTAATTGCTAGCCTAGCTGCAGCAAAGGGTTGTGCAATATACAAGTTGATTTTTTGCAGCTGGATTGAAACGAAGAGGTTCTACTTCAATCAGAGGGCTCTCAGTATAATCCTTTCTGGTATTTTGAGTGGTATCGGGGCAATAATATGCAAAGCTGTATCTGTTTGCTCCTCATTGTCTTGCACTAATCTGTGTGCATTTCTCCTAAGTATACGGTTCATTGGAATTTATGATAGCCTGATCTCTCCTATGAGTTCAGTTTAAGAGGAATGAATGGAAAAAACTGAACGGCGCCGCTTTCCATAGTATATCAAGGACATTTATTGAGTAAATTAAAAATTGGGTCTACACACCCTACCTTCTGTTGCTGTTTTCCAGCTGGCCAGCCTCATGCAATAGTAGCACATTGGGAAGAAGAGTCAATGGACTGTGAATTCCACCTGGTCAACCTATTCCTTAGGCAAGCTGATGAAATGGAGCTGAGTGACCTCTGAAAGAAAAGCAGAAGACTATGTAAAGTCAGAAGGAACTCCCATCAGCCCAGCAAGAAGGGTAATGGGTGATGGTGTAAGAGGTGTTCTTTACATGAAGGATGGTGACCAGTCAACTTTGTTCAGAACAAATGCTTGGCACAGATAAGGCATAAGGAAAGCCCACCAGAAATCTCTCTCTTCAGTGGCCTCAGGGCACTGGTCTCTAGGGCTCCCCGGCTTATAAAACCTTAATTAGAACTGCTCCAGGCTCTGGTGAACTGGAACACATAATACATAGACTAGTATTACAGATGGGTTTGTAGTCCAACAACATCTGGAGGGCCACAAGTTCTCCATCTCTGTCTTCACAGTCTCAGGGGATCATATGCTTTGGAACAGAGGATAAAGGGGGCCCAATGAGATTAAAATGGCATGTAAAAATAGAATCTATTAAAAAAAACAAAACACTTGTACTGCACTATAAACAATCACCCGAAAATGCCAGCGCAAAGGAAAATAGAGTTTGCAGGCCACCTCTGCTAAATGCCTACATGTTGAAGAGGTGCTGCTGAGTTAAGGGAGATGGGTGATGGGGTGTCAGTCTCTAGGTGTGTCCTAGAGACTGGTGGATCATCATTCCCAGGACCCAGAATGCTCCTCCTTTCCAGAAGCAGCACCAGCTGTCAGTGGCACCCGCTGGGAAAGCTGATGCACGAATAGGATGTGCTGGGAAGGAAGGGTAACAGAGCACATACCATGTGGAGTTTTCCGACAGCTGAAAATGTGGGAGCACTGCTGACAACATGGGAGCACTGCTCCCACAGCTGGTCTCTGGCCTCCACCTGTGGGTTCTCCATTCATGCCCTCTACCAACTGAGCGAAGGGGTTTCCTCATTCCTTCTCCAGGCATCTGGCTGTATATGTTGGCCTGGTTCTTAGTGGGGCACTGCCTACATATTTAAGTGGAAACTAGGAGCTTGTGGGTCTTTCCTTATTTAATGTGGTTTCCTCCCTGGCTACCTGATTGTGCAGAGTTCGGTGTGTGTTCTAGGTTCTTTGACAACATGGGGGAATTCTCTGGTTGCCATGAGTTCACCAGTGTGTTCTCTGCCTGGGTGATATGATATGAGGGCATCATCGGTACACAATTATATGAGTGGTAAGTGGTGCAGGAGTTACCATGGACGTTGCAAGCATGACCCATGTTGCTGCTACAGCACCTCTCATTTCTTCTGGTATGGTTTTGTTTTCTACTTTGCTGTTGGGTGAGCATAGGATTGTGTCTATGTTATGCAACAGAAGGCTGATATAGATGTGTAATATCAGCCAGTGGCTGTAATAGTAGCCAGGGACTGGCTGGATGAGGAAGAGTAGTGGGAACCACCTGGCCAAGAGTCCCCCAGGAAAGACACAGAAGAAGACAACTTAGATCCTGGTGGTGGGACACTGGAGAGCAGTCTGCAGAAGGGATGAGCTGAGAGGTGCTAGAAGCAGGAGGTTCGAGCCATCACGGGGGGAGGGGGGTCTGGAGAAGGAGGCCCTTCCAGGGCAGGGTTAGAGGCTGAAAGTCACAGTGTGAGCGCAGACTCAGATAGAGAGGAATCAGAGGTTACCCTTGCTACACAGCAGCAGAACAGTCACAGTCTTGCTGGCTCTCCTCCCCATCTGATACTCTCCTCAAGGAGAATCCTGCATGTTGCTGAGCAATGGGCTAGACAGGCCCAGAAGAGGAGCCCACTCCCTTGGCACAGCCTTCATCTGCTTTGGAGGGGTCCAGAGTGAGAGTCTAGAGGGGGCAAGGGCGGGGCTAGTGGTCAGTTTCAGCAATGTCTCAGCTGGGTTAAGATGAACCAGAGGACTCTACTGTGTTGTTATTTTCTGTTAATAAAAAGCTAATTGCATTCTGTGTCTTCCGTGCTTCCCTGCCTTGTGGTTGACCTGGGCTCGCTTGACAGCTCCTTGACACAGAGCAGGACTTTAGGTTAGCTCTGTATGTTCCGCAACTTCCCTCACTCGCAGCTACTCTCTTTTTCTGATTCATCACATGGGGACAGACATTCACCGTCAAACACAGAGATTTCTTTGGATAATAAAAGTACTTATTGTGCTAAATCCAAACATTGGCAACCTCTGCTTTGTTGGATATTAGCCTCGTATTTCCAAGCCTTAGGGCTTAGAGTATTCATGGCAGGTATTAACAACAGTAGCATGCAATCTTAGTGTTCTAAATGCATTCTAATTCTCACATGTGTTCTAATCTACAACCTTAGAAAAAAATGAAAGGCACTCTCCATCTGATAACTCTTGTATAAAAAAATTAAGTAAGGGTTAACCTTCATGTTTTGTACACAATGCATTGTGGACTAGATACTTCATACTGGGGAATGTGAACATCTGAACATTTAGTGTGCACCTTTTAAAAGTGCCTTGATATGTGTGTGACATGCAGATAAATTATTCCTCCCATTCCTCTTTCTCAAGTATGAGTTCATTGACTTAGCAAACAATCAGTGAGCCTTCTTTTCTGCTAGGATGCCTGTAGCAAATGCTGGCCCACAAACGGCTGTCGGACAGAGGATGGAGCAAGCTTGTTTTCTCCTGCTTCAGAAGCTAGGACCTGAACCAATAAAGTTACAAGAAAAGACATTCTGACTAAGCATCAGGAAGAACTTTCTGACAGCAAAAGTTGTTCACCAGTGGAACATACTCACCCTGAGATGTGATGGACTCTTCTTCCTTGAAGGTTCTTAAGCAGAGGTTGGATGGCCATTTGTCTTGTATAATTTGGTTGAGACTAGACAACCCTCAGCTGTACAGTTCCTAGGATTCATCTCCAAGAGAGAAACCTTGATTGAGGTAGTTTATTGCATGGTGGATAGCGCAATGAAAATGTCAACCCATTATAAGGCTGTTGGAATTTGCATTTTTTTTTCACGTGTTGGGGATTATTTAAAATTAAACTACCGATATCAGAATGCCCTTATACAAATGGTGTGACCTCATTTAATAATTTGCAGAGTTCTGGTCTTTGTTGTGCCTCCAAAAGGATACTGGAGATGATAAGAGGTTGATGGTGCAGGGAAAGTGGTAAGATGGAAGTTTTTCTCTCTCTCAGTACAAGAACCTGCAGTCAGCAAATAGTTAAACCAAGGAACTCACTGCCTCAAGATGAGGACATGGCCTCCAACCTGGACAGCTTCCCAAGCTTGATAAAACAAATTCATTCATTGCTGTTTATGGCAATCTAGACAGGACGGCTCTGTGCTGTATAGTTAGTGCCTCCTGCACCATCACAGCCTTGGAATGCCGGCTGCTGAGGAAGGCGATTGTGAGAGCACAGCATCCCATGCGTGTTCGGCTTGTAGGCATCTGACAAGCTTCTTTGGGAAATGGGGATGACGGACATTTTGATCTGGAGGGCCTTTGTTACGCTCTGTCATCTTTCATGTGAATCATGTGAATACTAATAACAAGGTATCATGGGGTGGACGGACGATGACACAGATTTGGCCCTGCTTGGTTTTTGTCAAGAAACTGCAACACAATCAGTGGTGGAATGTGTTTGTGACTTGTGGTGGAGCTGGGCAGCTCAGTTGGTTAGATCATAATAATAATAATTTATTATTTATACCCCGCCCATCTGGCTGGGTTTCCCCAGCCACTCTGGGCAGCTTCCAACAAAGAATTAAAATACAGTGCTGTTAATCATTAAAAACTTCCCTAAACAGGGTCCACGGCCGCAGGTTCGATCCCTGCATGGAACAACTGCATGATATCCCTGCATTGCAGGGGGTTGGACTAGATGACCCGGAGGATCCCCCTTCCAATTCTATAATCCACATTAGAGAAGAAGCGCGCCAACCCCCGGCGGCGGGGCGTGATTCAACCCTGTCGCTTGGGAGTGTGCCGGGGTGGTCTCCCTGGAGGCCTTTCCGGCGCCTGCACACGTAGCAACTTGCCCGCCGCGATCCTTTCCCCCCCCCGGGGTTTCCTTCTTGCCGACTTGCCTGCCTGCCTGCCGGGCGCATAGGCTGGTCGGAGCTTGATAAAGACGCCGTGGGAGTGAGGGGCGGGTCCCCTCTCACGCTTACTGGCTGCCTCCGGCGTCACTCAAGGAGCCGGGGCGGGGCTCGCGTGGAGGGGTTGGCCCAGCGCCTCTTCAGGAGCGCCTGGAGCAGCGCCCGGGCTCAGATTGCGCTCAGGAGCGGCGCGAGCAGCAGCTGGGAGCGTGGGTGGCGGCGGCAGCAGCAAAGCGCGCGACGAGTCCCGTCGGACTTCCAAGGAGGGAAGCGCCTTTGCTGCTGCTTCTGAGGTAAAGGAGGCGCTGCGGGGGACTTGCGTGCCACTTTTGCCTCCAGCGCTGAGGAAGAGAAGGCAAGGAGCTCCAGTGCCGCCCTAGGCTCTCTTATCTACCCTCTTCACCTCCCTCTCTTCGCACTGCCCTGACTTTCTCGCTCCTCTTGCTTCTTTCCAGAAGATGGGCATCCTCAGCCTCGTGCTCCTGCTCCCTTTGGTGCCCGCGCTGGACTTCAGCTACCACCACACGGAGGAGCTGGAAGCTTTCCTGAAGGCTGTGCAGAAGGACCACAGCAACATCGCCCACTTATATAGCATTGGCAAGTCGGTGCAAGGTACGGCTCCTGCTTCTCTCGCTCTCCTCCTCCCCAAGGGTGCCAACTTGAATAAAAAAAATTGGGGCGGGGGAGCAGGTAATTACCAACCTTGCATAGTCAATAACACCCACACCATTTCAAAAGCAATGCCCATCAAATCGGGGGGGGGTGTCTTGGACCCCTCAAATATTTTATTGGGGGGACTGAAGGGATGTTGGTCCCTAAGAGTTGGCTCCTATGCTCCCCCGTAATGCATTCGTGGACCAAAGGGGAAACTTAACTGGCCTGGGTAGGGAGAGAGGTAATAACTGCCAGTCATCTCCCACAGTCTGGTGGGCAGAAATGCCTATGGGACTTAGCGTGCCACATGTCAGTGGCTTCTTCCGACAGAGTGAGCCACGCCCAAACCCCATGAAATCTCAACAGTGGGGTTTTCGACAGGACCTACCCAAGATCAACCTTTTCTAGTCAGAGTCACCAATTTGTTTAGGGCTGAGGTGTACATTTTCTGTACGCTCGAACGCAGTATATTTTCATTTCTCTGAATGAACCGTCTGGCATTCAAACTGTTTTGGATGGGTTGGGGGATATTTCTGCCATTTAGCCCATAACTGGAATGATTAACTACTTAAAATGCACTTTGCAATACATGGGTAATACCCTGAAGCTATTTTTAACACCTCCCCAAGGACCCTTCTACATTATTATTTGTCTTTATAATGCAATCAATATGCAATTGGTACCAATTTGTTTAGAGGGATCCAGATATCTTTTCTGCAGCTAGTACAATTTGCTGTGAGGGAAAACAACACTTTCAGAATGCTCAAATTACATTTTCCTTGGCTAGTGGCTATAGATAATTTATCCCACTAGAAAACTTGCCTATTATAATTCAACATGCTACAGTGGTACCTCGGGTTACATACGCTTCAGGTTACAGACTCTGCTAACCCAGAAATAGTGCTTCAGGTTAAGAACTTTGCTTCACAATGAGAACAGAAATCGTGCTTTGGCAGCGCGACGGCAGCAGGAGGCCCCCACTAGCTAAAGTGGTGCTTTAGGTTAAGAACGGTTTCAGGTTAAGAATGGACCTCCAGAATGAATTAAGTACTTAACCCGAGGTACCACTGTATTTGGAATTATGTTGTATGATTACTGACTAGTACCTGCCCTATGATATCAATAGCTGGTAAGTGGCACCTCTCTCCATGCTATTTGAAATTTCAAAATAGCAATTGCTTAGGTTTAGGTATATTGTATACTTGTTCTGAAGGCAGTTGCTTCTACAGGTAGATGGACTGTTTGAGTATGGTACAGCTCATATACACTTTTGAGAAAGAAGGCAGAAACTGCGTGGTGACTACCTCCACTTAAGCAGTCCATCTTAATACTTGGTTAAGACGTACATTTCAATCAACATGGCAGAAACTGAGTAATCACATTTACTACCCTAGCAAACAGATGCATAAAGATCAAACCACACATTATGCTGGGAGAAGCATAGCTGATATTTCTCTCTGTGTGTATGTGTTGTTTTTTTCTGAAATGCAGCTGTGGAAGACAGGGAACCTGCATTCCCAGCACCTACCCTTACTAAAACAGAACAGATGAAAGGATTAAACCCTATAACCTAGGCTACTGCTCTGAACAAATTTGTAGCCCCACATTATGAAGTAGAAAGACAGGATATTAAATCATGGGCTTCCTTGCGTAGTGTGTTGTTTGTCCTCTAGATGTAGATTAGCTTTAGGTGGGACAGCATAATTATGACATTGTGAACAGGTGTCAGTGCCGGTCTACTTCAAAATTTGAATAATTATTCATCACAATACATAAGAAGTTTGCCAACAACTGCTCACTGACAGGTAATTATTTTTTTATTTAATGAGTTGTAACTTTTATCTCAGCAAATAAACTGCTGTCTACAGTTAATACATGGTGACTTTTTAAAAACACACTATCTAAATTGACCTCTACATAAACCGATGAGTTCTGGTAGGCAGAGTACTCTGTCTATTTGTTCCGCCACAGGAAAACCCATTTAGGACCAAGTTATTTGTACTTGTGCAAATTTATGCCATGCTCCAACAAGTGTCATAGGAAAATTAAGACCAAATACCGTAGTTTTTCCTTGCCTAATGAGTGACACAGTTATTCTAAGAGAAACAGCATAAAGTTACATTCTTGAGAAGTGCATCATCTGTCCACATAATCCTATTTAATCTGGGTTTGCTAGGAATAATCTGTAATTGCATGCACGGAGGCTTCTCAACAGGAAGAAGCAGTTACTGTGATTTTATCATTTTGGGTAGAAAATGTTAAAGGGAAATATGCACAGTGTTGTATTTTGTAACTGTTCAGAAGAACAATTGAACAAAACAACAGCAACATTCTTTTATTGTTTATACCCCGCCCATCTGGCTGAGTTTCCCCAGCCAATCTGGGCGGCTCCCAACAGAATATTAAAAACATGATAAAACATCAAACATTAAAAACTTCCCTAAACAGGGCTGCCTTCAGATGTCTTCTAAAAGTCAGAGCATTGTTTATTTCCTTCACATCTGATGGGAGGGCATTCCACAGGGCGGGCGCCACTACCGAGAAGGCCCTCTGCCTGGTTCCCTGTAACCTCACTTCTCACAGTGAGGGAACGGCCAGAAGGCCCTCAGAGCTGGACCTCAGTGTTCAGGCTGAACGATGGGAGTTTGAGACGCTCCTTCAGGTATACTGGGCTGAGGCCGTTCAGGGCTTTATAGGTCAGCACCAACACTTTGAATTGTGCTTGGAAACAGTGAGAGCCAACGTAGGTCTTTGAGGACGGGTGTTATATGGTTCTGTCGGCCGCTCCCAGTCACCAGTCTAGCTGCCACATTCTGATTAGTTGTAGTTTCTGAGCCACCTTCAAAGGTAGCCCCATGCAGAGCACATTGCAGTAGAACAAATCTTACAGTAGGATGCAGGTTCCTTTACATTTCTGAACAAGTGGCAGCTCTGTGATGGGAAACAAGGTTGAAGAGATAGTGTATCTGATTTAGGCAATGCTCTGCCAGTCACATAAGTTGGTACCTTATATTCCAAGTAAATACACATGTATGTTTCTACACTAGAAAATGCCACCATTTTATTGAAAAACACTTGAGTGCTTATATCTTTCAGTGGCTTTGAAAATTACTTGGCCTGGATGATTCTCACCCTCTGCTGCTGATTCTAAACAAAAACATGCAGAGTGGCACATAGAGTTTTATGTGTAGGGTTCTGACTTCCCTGTGCTTCAATTAGAACTTTTTAATAATTCTGACATTAGTGTTATATAGTCTAGGGATTCTGAAAAAAAGTTGGTTAATTGTAATGCAGAATCCTTCTGCTTCATGATTAATGTCTGTTGAGATCATGATACAAAAAAAAGGAGTTCATTGGAGGATTATACCATAGTCATTAAGTGAGCAACATGCGGTGCGTTAAGAAAATATGACTGTAATCTTTTCAATTGTAGTTCTGTCAATCAAAGGTGTTTGAATGCGTATATAGCAGGCATGTACCAAGTAAGATATACATATAAAATACACAGGTAATAAACAATGCAAAATTGCTCTCCAGAGGTAAAGACCAATTAACCCGCAAATAATGTATTACACTTACCTATTGTCAATAATTCAACCAAAGCACAACTTAAAAAGACATAGGCACATATCCATTTTAATTGACTTCCTTGGTGTTAATTGTTTTCGCAACAGTTTTTGGCTTCTTGTCAGAGACGGCTGTGCCAATTCATTTGCACATATTTCTTAAAATCAGTCTGGGTCCAAAGAGGCAGAAGGAACTGAACCATGCTTTGGAGGTCAAAAGTGTCATTCAACTTTTGTAAAATAAAAGCTTCCACAGATCTTTTTTCTAATTCTCGATCAATGTACTCATTAATGCATATCAGTTGATGGTGTAGCTACAGCAGGGCACAGGGAGAAGGGGATTAGGAATGACTAAGGCCCTTATCCTTTGCAAATATGCACATCCTGAATGGTAGTGTGCAGATATGGGTGAAACTCTAAATAAATGGCATATTCAGAATACATATTTTTAGTCCATCTGATTTCAAGTCCATCTTTTCAGTGAGCAAGTGACCAGCAGGAAACTCTTTATTACTGCAAGAGGGAATGCCCTTGAGATATGGGGTTGTGCTACTTCTGCTTAAATTGCAGAAGAATGGTTATGGAATGTGTGCATGAAGGCAGTTTATTTGAATGCTTCTGCATTAAAGGTTCCCCCATCATACATGAGACTTTGGCTTTGTTATGCTGGTCACACTGTGCTTCCAGTTCCTGTACCTACCTGTCCTCTAGAAGTGGCATACAAACTATTGCTTTCCTTTTCCCCATAGAAGAGAATGGCAGTGGTTCACATGATCACCAGTGTCAGGAATGGGAGGTGGGGTGTCGTTGTTTCCCAGCTGAATAAAGCACTGTAGTGTAGCATTTTGCTTTCTCCTGTTTTGTCATTCAGTTGTATGGTGGAGGCCAACCTTGCCCCTGAGCTCTGGCAGTGGGCACTCAAGCTTCCTTTGACACCTTCTTTGCATCCCTATTGCAGTTCCTGGATCCATTCCTTCTCCTCTGCCCATCGTCATGAGGTATTTTGATGTGTGTGTGCCTAAACAAAACGTTGAATTCTGTACACACGTTAAGAGCAAACTCATTTTCTATGTACAGGCCCTTTTGGAGGCAAAGCAGCACCATCCACTCAAGAGCAAGTTTTCAGCGGGCTGTGGAGATCCTAATGTTTCAGTAATACAAAAAATATTTAGCAAAACAGAGCTGTGTAAGTGAGGGCAATGGGACCTAAGAACAGCCCAGTGAGGGCTAAACATGCTTAGTGTTCACAGTGTGCTGACTAACTGTTGTGGGGGTGGAAAACGAGGGGGAGTGAGAAATAGGTTCTATTAAACAGAAGTTCTATGAAAATGCATGGCAGGTTGGAGCCTTGAACACTCAAAAAGTGTACTCCACATTGCAATAGTTTCAGGTCTCAGTTGTAGTTCATTCAATAAAGAAAGAAAGTGTGAGTTAAGTTTCCTGCAAAGCTGATCACATTCTCCTCCTTTTCCCCTCCCCACCTTTTACACCTTAATTTTAATTGCATTTACTTGGAATGAACGACCATGGAAACTGATGGGTCATAGTTCCAAATAGATATGGCTGGAATTGAGCTGCGACTCAGATGAACCTTGCTAAAACAACTTGTACACCTAGCTGGACCCTGTAGTAGGTAGAGGACGGATGTAATCTAGGTATGATTGCACCTCTAATGTTTTGGTGCCCATAAATATTCATTACACACCCATTTGCTTTGAGAAACAGTACATTACTTTTACCCCTCATATCAGCTCAAGAAACCATTACAATCTGACCCAGATAACGAACTGTCTGTGTCTCTGCTAAGTACAGGGTGTTGTCTGGCTGCATTAACTGTTTCACGATGAAGCGTCGTTTCAGCTTCTCTTTGTTACTGCTGAATTTATATGCGTGATTTACGAAGATTGCATTTTATTACTGCTGCCGTGCCCTTGGTATGGAATGAGCAGAGAAGCAGGCAAAATTTAAAACATTTCAAGGGTTCCTCCTATAACCTGGCTAGCTTCCTTTTTCCCATTAAAGGGAATTGTGGAAATGCTACTTTTGGTTGTTACACCAAATGCTGCTAAAATAATAATATAAATATTGGATTAACAAGAGTTTGTTCATTTTAGTACTGGAGTGTTGAAGGTGAATTTTAATATGTTCCGTTTTGATCATGGGACATCATTACAAGGCGATACATCTTTACTATTCTTCTATTGTCTTGTGAAAGTTACTACCAGTACAATGTACTGAAAGCATGGTGTGTGCAAAGGTGTCCCAAAATCTATAATGGGGGGGGGGGGGAAATACCTTTATTAGAACCAACCAAAACATCACAAAATAGTGAGCAAACTTCCAGGTTATCCAGATCCCTTCATCAGGCTGGATGAGATCTGCAAAATACTAGGAGGGGTACATAATATAGTGGCATTGTGTTAGAAGAACAAAAGTTTGCAGTGGAGCCTCTGCTAAGTCTGAAAAACTCGTCCCAGGACTTTGTAGAAAAAGAAAAGTGAGGGTTGACTCCAACAAAGTTACTAGATTCTTTGATAGAAGGGACTTTTGCTCATCCGACAGAATTTTCCCTTCACCTGCTCTTTCCCAACCCCCTCAAAATCCCTGCCAGTGCTACAGAGCAGTGTGGGAAACCCCAAGCAGATTTGGGGAAGGGGAGAGAGGGAAAGTTTCGTTGTGTGAGCTAAATTTATTCTGTAACTCCAGTGACTTTGTTCAACACAACTAGAGTGCTTACCTGTTGTGGCATATATACACTCATGTTTCTCTTGAAAAGGTGAGAGGGGTAGATTGTCCACTCCTCTCTGTAGCAGTATGTAAGCCTTTCCTTTTTAAAGAAGTTATTTTGCCAGCTTTGAATAATAATCTGTCTCCAGCACTGGGGATTACACATCTTCAAACAAGGGCCAAAAGGCTTTTCCACATCTCAAAGCTTTCTCTTCCCATTCCATCTGTGCAGCCAAAGCACTGCTACTTGGAATTGGTTGGCTGATCCTATTAGTTAAGAAACCAAGTCTATACAAGTTCTAATTGCTGGTCATAGGTGCTGTGTATGAATGTTGAAAACCCATCTCTCTTACCAAGAGCCAGAAGGATGCAAAACAGAGAGAGGGTCTTGCGTGACTACATAGCGAAGGTTTACGTCCTTGGCTTAGCAGGCACTAACATATTGTGAACATCCTTAACTGGCCATATTCCTTCCACAGTAGCCGGGGAGTTAAGTCCTATGGAATTCAGTGGGACTTACTTCTTAGAAGACATGCATAGAATTGTTCTATAAACTGGGCTGAGGTTGGGCAAGCTTTTTAAACCTAAACCTGGTCATGAAAATTGCATAGAGTTTTAATATAGAAAATGCCAAAGCAGATCCACACTCTGGGACTGAAGATCTGTGTCAAACTTTCTCTATACTTTCTCAACGGGTGCCTTCTGTGTCACACTTTTTAATGCCTGCTAAGAGCTTTTCCATTCCAGGAAGCTTATGCAGGCAATTAAGGGTACATTCCCCACAATGATCTGTTGATGTTTGTTTTTAATTTCCTTTTGCTTCTAACTTGTTTTTAACTTTTTATGATGCTATTGTTTGGTTTGGTTTTTATATTGCAAACTGCTGTGATATATTTTTATGATACAGCGGTATGTAATTTATTTAAAAAAATGAATACATATAATTACTGCTGTCTTTGGAAGCAGGCAGAGTACATTCGCTTAAGAATCTTCACCACTCTCTGCAAGATATTTTAAAACGTCTGTTGGCTTATTAGGTACAAAATGAGCCAGCAGAGTAAAAAAAAAGTTGGTAATATGTTTACTCATACATAAATTTCTGACTTATCCAAGGAATCTTCTGTAAATCAGAGGAAGTAGATGTTGTTTTTGAAAACAACTTTTAATTTATGTACAACTGTAGCCTAATTGTAAGGAATTGGGGTTATTTCACTGCCCACATGCCTTTACCACGTCCATCCTAGAGCCTATGTTTAGTTTCCAGTGGCTAAAGTATATATATATAGAGAGAGAGTGTGTTATAGAACATTATGCCATTTTTCCTTTTCATAGCAGATTGGTTCTTCTTCCCCTTTTATCGTTGTAACTGCTTTGAGGTCTTTTATTGACCAAGCAGTACATACATTTTGTTAAATGAACAAATGGTTAAATAAATCTGTAATGGAAGCAAAACTCCCATTGACACCAAGTGGGAGCTTTCCTTTGGCTGCAAATAGCAGTTGTGGAGGTTAAGTTGCTTCAGGGATGCAAGCTGTTTCTTTGCTGCTTGTTCTTTTGCTGACACCATCATTTCCCCAGCCCCCTCCGTTTCCCCTCTTGTGACAGGGACGACTTTTGCCTGTTTTGCATAAGGGTTTTCTGCCCTATTGAGTCAAACAACGGCAGAGTGACAAACCTTTTTTAAGGCGTAGGAAGGAATTGAGAGCAGAGCACATGGGGTGGTGAGGTTTAATCTTTCACATCCCAGTTGCAATTCTAACAAAAATCTCTTCCCACATTCCTCTTAGGGCTTTCCAAGAGGAATCTCCCTTTTTCTAAAACTTTTCTAAAACTCATAGCCACATGGATGAGGATGAGTTTTTAGGGCAGGGGAATTGTGGTAGTGGGGAGTTTAAATCTTTAATCTCACACAGACACTGCAGTTCTGATTAAACTAACCATGCCCTGCTCTTACTGTTTTTTACACCCTAATGTTCTTTCTAATTACAAGTTTAGCATGGCATCTGCCTTAGCGTTTATAGCACGATAGCCAATTATAATCTATCTACTCTCTTTTCTCTTATGTCAGCAAGCTTCTAGTATTGATATAAATGACTGTCACTCCTCAGTAACCTTTCTGGAAGTATCTTAGATTTCAGGTCACCGTGTATGTTATGGTAGTTTCACTTACAAAAACCACCTTATCCCTATGACCACTCCTGTGTCTTGTCTGTTTCCTTAGCACAACAGAATCCTCTTTTGGTGATAAGGACTACATAGATATTGAAATAGGTAAACATGCTTAGTAAACTTAGGTAAATAAGTAAACATGCATCAGATTAGGGTAGATGTAAAGGGATGAAGACCCTCATAAAGTATTCTGGAGACTCTCAAGCTGATTTGCAGACAGTTTCATTGTGACAGGAAAGTTTGGTAATAAAAACTAATAAGTAGCTGAATGGTTAGGAAAGTTACATCTCTACCAAATACACTAATGACTAATGAAACATTCTCACTGCACAAACAGCGGCCCGTAGTTCCTTTCAGTTATAGATAGAACTTAATGCTAGATCAACATTGCTATTTTCAGTGCTATTTTCAGGACAAAGTTTGTCCTGATGTCTGAAAGAACATCATGTTTCAGGTGTCTCACTCCTTCTAGCTTAATAGATACAGAATGAGCCAGCAAAAAAAGAAGAAGAAAAGTTGGTGATATGTTTACTCATACATAAATTTCTGACTTAGCCCAGGAATCTTCTGTAAATCAGAGGAAGTAGATGTTTGTTTTTGTTCACATAGCCTGTATGTGAACTTTTTAAAATCAACAGCAATACATGTACTGAAAACTGCTAAACAACACAGCATTCACATGGGCTCCGGATCCTGACGGAAGGCAATCACAAAAGTTTAAATATAAAAAAGCAGTGCAATAATCCTGTTTATGTCCCTTCAAAACGAAGTCTCATTTGTTTCTTTTGGGTTTACTCCTTCCCAGATATGAGTTCAGAATTGCAGCCTAACTGTCTGATACAACCAAGTGAAGCTTAATATTATTTAGCTAAGTGTTTTGGCTTCCTCTGTCAGCAAAATGTAACATAGTCCAATGCATGTTTACTCCAATGTATACAATAGGTCACACTCCCAGTTAAGCATGTGTAGGATTGGAGCCTCTGAGAGATAGAGGGAGCCAAAATTCCATGTTATTTAATTCACACTTTTTACAAAATAGTCACTTTTTGGGGGGTGGGAGACAGCCACATGGCCCTGTATGGGAATGTGCTCCTGATCTGGGCCCCTTCCTAGTTTGTTGCTGCTATTTTCCAGCTGCTGTTTGCCCCCAGAGGTGTTGGTTGCTCCCAAAGGCACAGTTTTCTGCAAAAGCAGCTGGGCAAGTGAATTGGTCAGCAGTTGGGTGGCAATTACTAAGTGGGAAATTACCAAGAAAGCCCAGACAGTCACATCTGATTTCGAAAGAGAAAACTTGAAAAAGAATATGAAAGGGATAGGCTGAAATTTAGAGTCGGGATATTCAAATCCAGGGATAGCTAACATGACACCCTCCAAATGTTGCTGGACTCCCAACTCCCATCAGTCCTACTATGGTGCTGGGAATTGTAGTTCAGTAACATGTGGCGAGCAGCACATTGGCTACCCCAGGTCAAATCTCTTCAGGATGCTTAGAGGTTATTTAGGATATAATATTGTATTATATTTAAAACTCCAATAAAACATTTGCTATGTTCAGCAGAAGTACAGATAACAGAATAGCAGTGTGGATCTTGCGGAGAGTCAAGAAATGCAATGCTTCTTTTAGAAAGTGGAACTTTTACTCAAATGAGGGTAGGGGGGAGGAAGAGAGACTCTTGCAAAACTAATGCAAGTTGCCAGTAAAACTAAAAATAGAAAATGAGGACGTGTTGTTAAAAGCATCCATACAGTGGTACCTTGGTTGTTGAGCAAATCGGCTCCTGAATGCCGCAAACCGGACTGTTCCGGTTTGTGAACGTTTTTTGGAAGCTGAACGTCTGGTGTGGCTTCTGCTTGAGTGCAGGAAGCTCCTGCAGCCAATCAGAAGCCGTGCCTTGGTTTCCGAACTGTTGCGGGAGTAGAACGGACTCCCGCAACGTTTTAAGTTCCACAACCAAGATACCACTGTACATCAGAAGCAGAAACAAGACAGGGAGGCAGTTGCACTATTACATGGAAAAGGTGGGAAACGATTAAGGAACAAGGATTGGTAGGTTCCAGAGATGAAATTCTTGTTACTGATCTATGTAAGATTTTCGATAAGTACCCACACCAAAACCACTTTCTATGAAGAGAGACTCTGAAGAACCCAGGTGACAAAAGATAAACTCAAGGACTGGTTGACAAAATGAAATCAATGAGACACCAGACCTAGAGCTCAAATGGGAAATTAAGCATTTTCTAACAAATAAGTTCCTTTCCATTAAATCTCCTTGCTGGAGCATTGGCAGGTAGCTAAGGGCTGCATTCACACATTACCATTGTGTGAAGCCAAGGTTTACTCATGGCTTCTTGATCACGGTTTGTTCCAATGAAGCAAACCATGATCCTTTGTTTGGACTTTAAACTATGTTTGTGGTTTGTGGTACTTAGGGTAGAGCAAAGCAGAAGTGATTTCCATGTTTGCACAAAAGCATTAATTATGATTTATCATGAAGTATGAATGTGGTTGGTGTAACAGCTTTTTTTGTTTTGTTGTAATGTTATATTGGGGGAACCTAGGAAATCAGCCTAACCTCTTGCTGAAAAGCATTATGAAACCAATAATTACATTAAAAAAAGAAATGTTACTGAGATAGAAACAGCATGGCTTCTGCAAAGGGAAGTCTTGCATCATCAGGATTTTAGAAATTTTAAATGGGTGGCAGCAAATATATAGGGCAATCTGATATAATTTATTTGGAGTTCTGAACAGTAGTCTTGAGAGACAATGGAGTGCGCCTCCAGAGGTGAAGTCAAACCATTGCATTAGCAGCACTGAAGTGACCGCCCTGGAGCGCAAGCCTGGGCAGAGTGTATGGAGGTCCTGGGCAGCTCAGTCCGCCTCGTAGTCTGACCCTGTGGTTGCCTTTAGCTAAATTTGGTTTTCTGGTTTCTGACCAAAAATTCATGCCAGTTTTTGTTTGTTAAGAAAGTTAATTCTCGTGCCTTATATGATATTCTGTTGCTTTTTAGTAAGCTCCTTTTTTTTGCTTTACTTTTCCCCATTATTCCTTTGCAGCTGATTTCCTGTTGATATATTTTTAAAGTCGTCTTCTGTTAAATAAGTCTTTGTTTGTAGAAGTGGGTTAAGCTTTTAAGACTAAGGAAACATTTCTGACAGTTTTTATTTAATAATATTGTTTATGTTTTATTTTTGGCTTGAGCTAAAAAGCAATGTTTGGGTTGCAATTCTGTACATAGTTACTCACCCTTGAATCCCAATAATTGCACCAAAAAATTCCATGGTGAATTGCAGCCCAACTGCTTATCAGTCAGGAAGATCCTATGCCTATTATTCTAGGAAGGGTTTTTTTGGTGGGGGGGGGGGTTTCAATTGAGCCAAAGGAGATATAGCCCTTCATTTGTTTACTTTGCATTATTTTGCCATGGTGTATATATAAAAAAATTTCTTTTCCACTTAAAGGTAGAGACCTGTGGGTTCTTGCTTTGGGAAGGTTTCCAACCCAACATAGGATTGGCATACCAGAGTTCAACTATGTTGCTAATATGCATGGGGATGAGGTACGTCTACTACTTCAATTGTTGTGGTTTCCTTTACAGCATTGTTTGCCTGATATCTTGGAAGCAGCTGAGATCATATACTCATGGAAGTCTTAAGTTTTTGCCAAATTGCTAGAGATGCATTTAACATTTCTCTCTTTAGGGATTCAGAATCGAAGGATGGAAGTGTCGTGGTGGAATTGAAGAGAGAGAGAGATGTGCTAAATATTATCAAAGGGCCTGTCACACATAATATTTAGAAGGTCCATCTGTTTCGATCATTCCTCAAGACTGGGTTTTAGTCTTTCTTTACCTCAGTTGATAACAGCTGAAGAAAACAATAAAGGAGAGAATGATCCATATGATCTTCCTGGTGAATTTCCTGGGACCCCTAGGAAACAAACAAATGACAGAAAAAGCCATAATCTGACTTACTTTGTGTATTTTTGGCAGCCTTCAGTAATAATTCGAAAGAGCATACCAAACAATAATTGTCCCGCTAAGTTCTCCAAGGCTAGTTTTATCTTGTTGCCAAAGCTGAATGCTGATAACATCAATGTGGTTGAGACAGCGTCTCAAATGGCAGCATGAAAAGAATGATACATTATGAAAATAATGTGTTAATAGTAATCAGAGCTTTTTTGTAATGATAGTCCCTGGTGCAGATTACCATCAGCTCTTTCTCTTTGCTGCCTATGGATTGGAACCATTGCGTGCTAGCATTTATCAAGATATTAGTACTGGCACCTCATTAAATTTTTTTTTTAAAAAATAGCACTTAATTGTACTTGGATATTATGTGTGCAGGCCTTCTGTAGTATGATTATAGTAATAGCTAGTGTTTCCTCTATTTTAACCTGGAGTGGACTGGAGCTTTTCTTGTCTCATTCTTTTCTACTTTAACTCCTTTTCTCTTCAGATGTATTTCTTTCCTTTAAAGCAGGGGTCAGCAAACTTTTTCAGCAGGGGGACGGTCCACTGTCCCTCAGACCTTGTGGGGGGACCGGACTATATTTTTTTGGGGGGGGAATAATGAACGAATTCATATGCCCCACAAATAACCCAGAGATGCATTTTAAATAAAAGGGAACATTCTACTCATGTAAAAACATGCTGATTCCCGGACTGTCCACAGGCCGGATATAGAAGGCGATTGGGCTGGATCTGGCCCCCATACCTTAGTTTGCCTACCCATACTTTAAAGTCATCCAGGAACAAATAATGTCAGCAGGCTTTATGCCCAACGTATTTCATATGGACTGGCTGGAATTTGAAAGTAAAGGCCCATACAACCATATGGGATCAGATGCAATTTAAAGAACTACATTAAATTTGTTGTGTTTTAGTAGAACTGAATGGCACTTGATGTTGCTGATTACCTTTCTGTCTCCCCTTCCGCTGAACTCCCCCCCTTCTTCTACAAATGTGGAAAGAAATAAGTGTATATTATAATGCTGACTTCACTCAGCTCCAGTCTTTCCTTAAAAGTTTATTTGAACTATCATGCATTGACTTTGTTGGCAATTTTTATTTTAGAAAGGTCAAACTTTTAAGTGGGGTGGATTATTCTATTTTGTCAGTAATCCTGGAGTTTTTCTGTGCTTTGATCCATTTGCATAATAATTTATTTATAAGACATATCTAAACATTAGAGGAATGCCTATACAGTAGAAGATAATTATTTTAATTTAATGGAAATATCTCCAACAGCATCACAATAATAATGAAAATCCAGACTTTTTGGCAAAGTTGATGAAGGTTTTTTTTTTTTAGTTTTGGCAAAAGTTGTTGAGCTTTTTGGGCAAAATTGCTTCTTAAAAATATGTTTTTTAAGAGATTTTTTTTATGGAAAAACATGGGTTGCCATACGTCCAGATTTTCCCGGACACTTGCCCGATTTCCACCCGGACACTGCTGCTTCCCAGATATCCAGGAAAATCCAGACGTATTTGGGCATGGAAGACAATGGATTTTGGGGCAAATTTTTAAACAAATTTCTTAAAAATGTTAGGGGGAAATATTGACAGATCCTTATCTACACTCTGAAGTGCAGCATGTATATATTGGTCAGTGCAGTAAGGAATAATTGTGGAACGTCTGGGGTTGACTGTGGAGGAGAGAGAGGTTAAGCATTTTGGCTACACAATGGTTCCTTTCTGTGTTCAGTTCATTCTCAAGTTTCAGTCTCAATTCAAGTGGCTTGACTGAAGTGATGCATTTTGCAGGTAGAAAAAGCTTTAACAGTCGCACAATGCTAATACTGGAAGGGAAAGCAGAATATTTTGCATACTGTATTTAAAGAGAGAAATACTGTACAAGTAGTTGGTTCCTCAAGTAAGGAATTTGGAAGGGACGGGGAAAGAAGGATCGAGAGCTGACCTGGCAGCACTAATAAATCCATTAAAATTATAACCAGGAAGCCCTTTTCTAGTGTTTAGGCCTTCACCAGGTTTTCACCATGATCCAAACAAGCGGTGACAGAGCTTTCCCAGTGGCTGCTGTGGAACACCTTGGCATTTGTGTTTTGCTTTTTAACTTTCCATAACCATCTGTATAACTCAAGTACTTATGTGGCTTGTCTGGTTGCAGTTGCTTCTTAACCCTACAGACTTAGTAGCTGGGGCTTTGGCCACTTCATTCATTTTGGGAGCGAACCAGTCCACATGGCACACTCTGGACTTCGTTCATCAAGATTATTGATTGATTGATTGAATTTATATACCACCCCTATACCCTCAGGTCTCAGGGTGGTTCACAAAATAAAATCAAAATATAAAACCATAAAATGCATAATCAAAATAACAACAATGACAATAACCCAATAACACCCACCCCCCTGAGATCTTCAGGTGTGCAGCAATTCCACACATACATCTTATGCGCAGAGAGTTCTTAATCCTGTTGGGTGCCTAAAGATTTTGGATTCTCTTCCTGCAATAGCGAGGACTAAACCCCCCCCCCCCCTCTCTCTCTCTCTATGCTCAATACTGGTTTATTATATGGATGTGATGTCACCTATACAGCTAACTTCATATGCTGCTAGCCAGGGAAAGCTTCATAATAAGGGGACTGTGTCTTACTGAGGGTACCAGGAAGGCAAAGAGAAGTTACCGTGGTTGCCTGCTTCCAGTGAATTCTGGCAATTCACTCTTCACAGGTTGAGGGATAGCCTTTGAGGAGTTTGCAGGTTACAGAAAAGAAGATAAGAGACTGGCTAGCTCAGGGTAAGAGGTTGAGGATGTGAATTTATACAGGTAGGTGCCACAATAACAGAAAACAACCTGCTGCCGTAACAAAATGCTATCTTAATATGGATTGCAGCCCCTTCTCTTCCAAGGCACACTTCTCTTTCATCCAGACCCGGGAAAAGGAGATCCCAGCATGTAAATCATTGTGTACTCCAAAAAACAAATTCTAGTCTGATTAAAAAATAAAAATAAGGACAAACTCTCTCTTGACAGCAGTGAAGCAATAGCATTGTTCTAAGTTGTTGCTGATGGGGAGAGGCCTGACTGCGCTAACAAAGAAGCATTATTTTTAGCAGCGCTTGACAGTGCCAATATGAGCATGGCTTTTTTTAAGCAAACAAACAAAACCACATATGACCCATATCAGGGTGGGTTGTGGGGAACAACAGGACGAAGCCTTTTGGGAAGTGTCTGCTTGTCTGCTGTGAGATATTTATTTATATTTATTTTACTTTGCAATGATGATATTCAATTTGCATTACTGATGGGCTTACCAAAGGCTAATTTTATTACTTGGTGGTGTGTGGTTTTAATTATTTCCATAACATGAAACTTGTGTAAAACTATAAATTAGTTCTATGCAAATCGAACAATACCATATTATGAGTCTGTGGCACGGGTGAAGTAGGCTAACCTTGTTTAAATGTGAAAAATGAAGTGAAAAGGAAGGTAAGCCAAATAGTGCATTAGACAGCCCCCCCCCAATTCAATAGACATGTTTATGAATTCACTGTTGGGGGGGGGATAGATCTCTTTTCCCGCTACAATTAAGGGAGTAGAAAGAGGGACCAAGGAGCCATCAGATCCACTCACCACCCCAGGCAGGACCATTCACCCTACTTTCCCCACACAGAGTACACTGTGCAATTCACACCACACTGCATTCTGAGGAAAGAGAAGGTGCACTGCAAAGCCAGTAGTTTCAGATAAGGATTTCACCTGATGCCAGGCGATTGACAGAGGCCTGTGGGAGTTGGTGGTGGTAAGGCACTCTAGTTCAGAAAGGTTCCCCAGTCCTAGTCTCGCCATTCATAAAATACTAACCTATTGATTTCCTTGTGCTAATTCTCACTTCTGTACGGTACTTTCCTCATGTGTGGGGCCTGGCTTTTCATTAATTCCTCCTCCACCCCACTCCCCGCTGATTTAGTATGTTGAATACTTACTTTAATTGCTGTTTTATGGCTTGGCCTAGTTTAGTTGCTGCTGTTTCTGTTGATGTTGTTTTACCTTTGAATGTTTATTCCATAGTTTTACTCTTTTCACTGTGCATGTGTTGCTCTGCGAGATTATGCTAAAGGGTAATTATGAATAGATACCTGCCAACCTTTCTTTTCATCCTCCTTTAAGGACTCATGTCTTCTCTTGCATTTCCCTCTTGATGAGGCACTGCTTCCTCTGAATAATTTTTATTGTCAGCTAATTGTAGTATAGGTTTAATTGTAAACCCTTTAGTTATGCCTAGCCAAGTTTTCCTTATTCTGCCTATCTCGTTCTTGTGAGCACTGCAAGCAGCAACCCGTGCATTTTGTTCATATACAGCACATAGTATATGTTTGGTGCTTTAATAAATAACTGTTGCTGCTGATCCCCACAACATCTCACATTATTTCCTTGAGGTTGCAGTTTGACACAGAACAACTGCTTCAGGAGCAAATAGGCATTAGATCCCTACTTTATCATTCATGTCTGAATACAAATACTACAAAGTTCCTCAGCTGAAGTGAGATCATGACGGTACCAACAGGACAAAAATGACTTATATCTAACAAACTTTATAATTAGGCTTGGGGAAATTGGCTGCAAGGGGAGCCTGTTTTCAAGCCTAATTGCTGTGCATGGCGGACATTTTCAGAGGAGATGAGCCTCTCTTCCCTCTGTGCTTTAACTCTCCTGCTGAACTGTATGACACCGGCAATTAGAATTGCAAAAAAGTAATTGGAAAAAAGCCTTTCATGATTAAATGCTAACTAGAATATGCTCATCATCGCCTAGGAAAAGTGTCAGAGATCCCACAATAGGAAAAAACCTAGAACATCTCCCTTTGTTTTTTTGTGCACCGTGGAATGTGACTAGATACATGTTGAAGAGCTATGGTGACATTTATAAGTGGGTAGGGTGGTGATGTTCTGTTTTTGCAATAGGAACTATTTTTACGATGCAACATTATGTCATTGCTAATCCTATTTAAAATGTTGAGACGGAAGCAAACATCCATGGAACTATGTATTATCCTATTATGTCTCTGAGTGCCTACTTTGCTGGCTTGCTTGGGCCTGCCCAGCGCTGGCATTCAGCATTTGGAAGGTTTACCAGTTCTGCTCCATAGTAATAGACAGAACGGGACATTTTTAGCTTGTGATATCAAAGTGCTTTCTGACCCTTTGCCTTTTCCTCTCTTGTCTCATTTCTGCTTTTGTCTCCATCCTTTGGCCTAACATAGCTTTGCTTACAAACTTGGATGACGCCTTACTAAGGGGCTGCTTCCTCAAAGTGTGCACATATAATTCAGTAGCTGAGTTGGTTGTCTTATCATCCTGCCAGGTAGTAAATAAAGTTGTTTCCAGTTAACACATAGGTGAGTGTGGAAACTCTTGCCTGAATCTACCTTTGGTCTTTTAGTAGGATTCAGTCATTAGGGAATCAGTCAGGAGAGTCATTTAATCCAGAGAGACTATGACATGCTTATTAAACTTTTGCCATATTCTCTGTTTTATTTTCCTGCTGAAGTTTCCCTTCCTTTTAGGCATAGCAATTTCTGAAATGTGTCCCATTTCATTAAAGATCTGCATTCAAGGTCATTCTGATTTGGTCATGAGCAATATTGAACGAAGTAGAGCTATGTATTTTACAAAACCATTCCAGCTCAACTAGAAAATAAAAATAAAAATACATAGTCTTCCTCTTGCCTCTCTGTTCCAGAAACCAGATCTCATCTGGCAGTAGCTAAAGTGCTGAACTTGTAGGAAGTCTACAGCATTCCAAACTTTCAGAGTTGGACACTTTATTACGCAGGATAGTTTTCACTGTAACAACACAGTGTCTGTAGTATAGACAAAAGAGAATAGAATGTGCTGGTTTAAGGAATGTCCAGGGTACATAGCAATACATTATGATATTTATCTGTGAAGTCCCCAAGAGCGAAAAAAATTATGCTCTTAAATTTGCTCTTAAATCTGTAGTTAAAGAAGTTAGATTAGCTTCAACCAGAGCCCAGGGCCTTTTCAACACTGGCTCTGGCCTGGTGGAACGCTCTCTCATGAGACCAGGGCCCTGCAGGATCTGATTTCTTTCCGCAGGGTCTGTAAGACAGAGTTTTTCCGCCTGGCCTTTGGCTTGGAGCCAATTTGATTCCCTCCCCCTCTTTCTTTTTCCTTCTCCTCCTGTGATGAGGCTGCATTTTAATATTTTAATGTTTCAATATTTTAATCTTGTATTTTAATCTTGTTTTTTTTAGTTGTATTCATTCAATTTGTTTTTATTGTTGCTTGTTAGCCGCCCTGAGCCCAGCCTTGGCTGGGGAGGGCGGGGTATAAATAAAAATTATTATTATTATTATTATTATTATTATTATTATTAGTTGGGCTACAACTCCAGTAAGCTCCAGCTACCATGACCAATGGTCAGGGGTGATGGTTGTTGTGGTATAAAACCTCTGAAGGGCATCAGGTTGGGGAAGGCTAGGCTATAACATCTAATTCTCAGGCTTGTGGTCCTTGCTGAAAACTGCTGCTTACTGTGATAGGGCCAGCTCACACTGTGAAAATGTTTCCATTCAATGTGTTTTGGTTGTCTGTTGCCATATGTGTGCATATGATTGTGCGGGGAATGTAAACAAATACAGCTACAGGGATTTTTCCACTCACTGGTGCTTTTCTCCAGCTGCAGTGATTGGGAGGGAAAACTCATTGTTCGCTAGCTGTGCCTGTGTCTGCGTCCTGTCTGGTTCACTTTCCACATGGATAGCATTGCTTGGGCAACGGGTATTTTGGCTGGAACTGGTTTTCAGTGGGAAGCCTCACCCAGGCCCCAAAAGCATTCACTGGCACAGTTTTTGCTCAAGCCATAAGAAAAGTATCACTGTGTTTTTCTTGGCTGTTTGATTTCTGGGGGAAATATATTTTAACCCAATTCACGTTGGCCATCATATTCTGCTTGCTAGTTTTAGGAACACGGTGCTTTGTATTATGTATTACCTTATGTATTACCTTTGTACCTTGGGCAAACTAAGATCTGTGCTGCACCTTATTGACCATTGCATTTAAAACACACACAACTCTGTGCTTCTTAAAACAGGCGGTCGGGAGGGAGTTGCTGCTCCATCTTATAGAGTTTTTGGTAACCAGTGATCAGCATGATCCGGTCATTACAAAACTCCTTGACAGCACCCGAATACACATCCTGCCTTCAATGAACCCTGACGGATTTGAATCAGTAATAAATGCCAGCTGCGAGCCTCTTTTTGGCAGGTGAGAACAGAGCGAAAATTGTTATGGGGAGCACCTTAGGGTTTGCTTTCAATATGTTTCAGAACCCCACATTACATTTGCCCAAAGGCCTTCACCTTCTGTTCCTGGTTGCAGGACCTCAAACTCCAAGTTGTCTTGAATCTGGGTCCTTCTAGGATGGGGGTGAGAAAACATTTCTTTATTTCTCCTTCTCCTTCTTCCCTGTTAAAAAAAAATAAAACGATGGAAGAAAGAGAAAGAGAAAGAAAGAAGAGAAAAAATAGCATATACAAGGATACAATATAGTACACTAAATATACCATATTGGCCCGAATATAAGCTGCACCCGAATATTAGCCGCACCTTTAAAATTGGAGGGGGGAAAAGAAAAAGAGAAAAAATCTCCAAATATAAGCTGCCCCATTCCTCGCTACTCCTGGCTACGTACTTGGGGGGGGGGGCATGCTACGTTGCCGGCGGCCTTTCCCCGTCCTTGCTCTCTCCCTTCCTAGCCTTGGAGAGGATGGGGAATGACATGCGGGGCGGGCACTGCTTTGCTGCGCTCCTGGCTGCACACCGCAAGGTTGCAAATATAAGCCTCACTGTAACTTTTCACGCTCGGAATTTGGGGGAAAAGTGAGGCTTCTATTCAGGCCAATATGGTAATAAGTTACATTTTCATACATTATTCAGCTTTTAAAGGACATCTGCAGGCAGCCCTGTATCAGGAAGTTTTTAATGTTTGATGTTTTATTATGTTTTTATAATAATAATTTATTATTTATACCCCGCCCATCTGGCTGGGTCCCCCCAGCCACTCTGGGCGGCTTCCAACAAAACTCTAAAATACAATAACCTATTAAACATTAAAAGCTTCCCTAAGCAGGGCTGCCTTTAGATGTCTTCTAAAAGTTTGGTAGTTATTTTTCCCTTTGACATCTGGTGGGAGGGCGTTCCACAGGGCGGGCGCCACTACCAAGAAGGCCCTCTGCCTGGTTCCCTGTAACTTGGCTTCTCACAGCAAGGGAACCGCCAGAAGGCCCCCGGCGCTGGACCTCAGTGTCTGGGCAGAATGTTGTTTTTATGTGTGTTGGAAACCACCCAGGGTGGCTGAGGCAACCCAGCCAGATGGGTGTGGTATAAATAATAAAATGTGTTGTTGTTAGGCTGCATTTTTCATATCTTCAGGTGCTCTAGTGGCATGGGTGCTACAAATGCTACCATGCACTGCAGGGGTGTTTGAGTAGCACCTAGGGGTGGTTGTTTAATTCAACCTCTGCTTACTCAACCACCTTTCCCAATCCTTGAAAAGTATGGCTAGAGGTTATAGCTGTTTTAGTTTCTGTATCAGCAGTTCATTAATTCTTTCAACTGGACCAGATGCTTCAAGGATAATGAGGACTATGAGGTACCCACTGGATACTCCATTCATTAGCCTACCTGTTAAGTGAGGCCAATAATTGATTAACTAATCCTGAAACTGTACTATTGCTGGTGGTCACTCAGCTTTCAGCTGACCCTCATGCTGCTGATATTTATTCCTGGAGCACAAACAGTAAATCAAGACAACAAAGCAGGCAAGCAAACAAACAAAAAAACTCTGACAGAGTGTTCCATTAAACAAAAAGGAAGAATTCTGCAAATGATTAAGCTATCTCCTTGAAATACAAGATTCTTCTGCAATAGGCTTCCCGTATGCAAGGGTGGGGAGATCTTTCAGCCTGAAGGCCATGTATCCTGGTGAAAGAGACCAGAGGCAAAAACAGGCAGAACAACATATGAAATGTTTACCTTTGTACAGTAGGCTAGTCTGCATCTATCCTCCATTTAGGCAAGCAGAAGGCATTAGTAGGATTCAAAGATACAAAAAGTTTGAGAACCCCTGCCATAGACAGCTTAAAACTATGTCTGAATAGCCAACAGTATTCTAGGGCCCTACTAAAAGAGGCCCTAAACAGACAAATTGCAACCAAACATTTGTATCCTAAACTCACTCATTTGAAAGTATGTTCTAGATAACAGCCTAATATATTTTTTTTATCCCTCTTAAGATTCAATGCTAATAATAAAGATCTGAACAGGAACTTCCCGGATGCCTTTATCCTAAATACTCATGACATCCAGCCAGAGACTGAAGCTATAATGAACTGGTTAAAGAATGAAAGCTTTGTCCTCTCTGCTAATCTGCATGGCGGATCACTGGTTGCAAGTTACCCTTTCGATAATGGCAATTCAGGTAAGCTATTGCTTGAGTGTAGGGTCACTAAACCTATTGGCAACCCATAGCTGATGTTGCACGATATACAGGCAAAGGCAGGTCTTCAATTCTGTCTATAATACAAAGTATTTGAAGCATTTGATCTCGATCATATAGACCTATTTTGAACTCCCATCAGCCCCAGCCAGCATAGCCAATAGTCAGAGCTGATTATTTACATTCAAAACAGGAATTCATAACATGGAGTCTACATCGTCGCACCGGCCAACACTCCCACAGACATTCAGCCAAGCCACAACAGGGCACAGTTACAGTGGTACTTGCTTTCCAGCGGTTCTCAACCTGTGGGTCCCCAGTTATTGGCTACAACTCCCATCATCCCTGAGCTCTGGCCTTGCTACTTAGGGGTGATGGGAGTTGTAGTTCAACAACATCTGGGGACCCACAGGTTGAGAAAGGCTGCTTTACACTGCCTTTGATCTAGTCTAGAGGGAATTTGCTGTGCCAGTAATGTAAGTTTGAAAATTTGGCAAGCTATACATGCAGCAGGGACGCGGGTGGCGCTGCGGGTTAAACCACAGAGCCTAGAACTTGCCGATCAGAAGGTTGGCAGTTCGAATCCCCGTGCCGGGGTGAGCTCCCGTTGCTCGGTCCCTGCTCCTGCCAACCTAGCAGTTCGAAAGCATGTCAAAGTGCAAGTAGATAAATAGGTACCACTCCGGCGGGAAGGTAAATGGCGTTTCCGTGCGCTGCTCTGGTTTGCCAGAAGCGGCTTAGTCATGCTGGCCACATGACCCGGAAGCTGTACGCCGGCTCCCTCGGCCAATAAAGCAAGATGAGCGCCGCAAGCCCAGAGTCGGCCACGACTGGACCTAATGGTCAGGGGTCCCTTTACCTTTACCTTTTATACATGCGACAAATAGTGGCAGGAGTGGTCCGTCCCGCTTTGCCACCTGAGATGTTGTGGAACTCACCAGAAACCACCACCACGCTTCTTCTCACTTCTCTGGCAGCGGGCAGAGCACACTGGGGGGTTCCACCACTTGAGGCAGCTGCCTCAGTTTGCCTCATGGGTGAGCCAGCCCACATTTTTTAGCAATCCTTGTACTGGGAAGGATTTCTAGCGGTAGCCAGAAACGTGCCTATGCTTTTATGTTGCAAACTATACTTATTAGTTGTGATATGTGTGTGCAGAAACCCAGGCAAACGCAATCTACACTGTAACCAAATTTCCACTGTGGTTACTTTCTTTCCACAGTTACTGTTAATTTTCTGGATGAGAGCCGAACTGTGGATAATGATGTTTTCATGCACCTGGCGAGAACATACTCCGAGAAACATGCCACGATGCATAAAGGGAATGCGTGTAACTCTGTAGAATACTTCCCAGACGGCATTACAAATGGATATCAGTGGTACATGCTTCAAGGTAAGAAATTCCCCCATTGTTCCTAAGCGCTCTCCTCCTTTTTTTGTATATTCTACGCTGCGTACACAGGTATAAAAACAAACGAAGCAATTTAAAACAGTAAAAATCCACAAAGCAATAAAAAAATACTGCAGCGACCCAGTGCAAAGCAATACATAATACATTGCAATCAAACACAGTGAACACCTGCAAGATCAGTAGGCCATGGTGGGGGAGACAGGATCCAACTGACAAGCCAAATCCTGAGCTCTTCCGCTCCCCTTTCCCAGCCATTTTGACTGGCTTGTTGGACCACCCACTTGTCATTATCACGGTGTCAGGTGGTCCAACAGAGCTTGCTGAAAGCACTGCTTAACCAATGGGAGCTTAGTGCAAGCCCTGTTTTGGGCAGAGATTGGCTACACTATGGAGTTCCCAACTTGGGAACTTGGTAGTGCAGCTGATTCCTGTGGGGGCCTGCTGTCAGTGCGTACAAGGCCTTGCTTGCCAAGGAGGAATCAGGAGCACATTTAAGGCACATTTTGCAGCTGTTTCCTTACCTGCTCCGCTCCTAATCTCTGCTTAGGCCCTCTGCCAGACCCTATTTTGCCCATGAGTAGGGGATTCTCCACTACTATTTTGGACCAATTTCCTGGCAAAAATTCAGAACTTTTGAAGTTCTTCAGTCTTAAGCTAGGTGATGGGGGGGGGGTGAAGTGAGATGAGGTGCCAAGTGACATTTGCATTCCAAAGTGGGTGCCCAACACACTTATAGGCATTGAAAGTCTTTTTGTATTGATATGTGTGTGTGTAAGTGGCTTGGGGGTGTGGAGAATAAATTTTATGAGGATTGTGCCTATTGTGTGCATAGGTTGGATAACTCAGGAAAGTAATCCTACATTGTAGTTGGTTGCCACTCAACCAGAGAAAAAAATGTCCTACCCATATACCTTTTGCAGTCTTCTTGTTGGAAAAGTGAGCGGAAAGGTGTTTCCTTCTTACTTCATTGACATGAGCTTTTAAGCTGCATGCAGCTGTGTAGTGGGAGTAGGAGACCAAGAAAAAGTGGGGACAGCCTAGTGCCAGTGTAATAATAATAATAATAATAATAATAATAATAATAATAATTTATTATTTATATCCCACCCATCTGGCTGGGCTTCCCTAGCGACTCTGGGCGGCTTCCAACCAAATATTGAAATACAGTAATAATAATGGCTTAAGACAATGGTTTTCAACCAGTGTGCCGTGGCACCCTGGATGCCTTGAATGATGCTCAGGGGTGCTGCAGGCAACACTGGCCTCTGTCCCTCTTTCCTTCCCTCCCTCCTCGGATGCCGTCTTACGTTTTTGCCTCCCAAAGGCTTGCAGAACTGTTTGTTGCAGCAGCCCTGGCTATGAGCTCCCCAGGCAAATTGTGCCTCTGGGGCTGGCCAGGGGGTGCTTACCAGGCCAGTGTGGGGTGGTATGAGGAGGCACCTCTCTTTGGGGTGGGGGGTGGGCAGCTCAGAGACCAGGGGCGGCAGCTGGGGCTGCATGGAGGACCCCCAAGGAGAGGGATGAGGAGAGGAGGCTGAGGGAGCACTCAACAAGGAATGGTGCTTGAAAAAGGGTGAGAGGCTGCCAGCTCTGCAGGCAAGGGGTGACATAACTGGGCTCCTGAGCCCCACAGGGGTGCAGCAGAAAGAATGTAGCTGCGTCAAGGGAGCTGTGGACTCAAATATGTTGAAAATTTATGACTTAAGAGAAAACTGTCCATGCTTAGTCATTTGCCACTGGCAGATTTTACAGGACAGTCTAGGGAGGAAGAAGCAGTGGGCAGCGGTAGCAGAACAACAAACTGAAGTGGCAGTGGCGGTGGCTGGAGGACTGGAACAATGCTGACTTTTCTGCTGACAAGCTGTTTACTGCTCACATGCCAAATCAGCTTCCTGGGGACATTTGTACCAAGGCTGATGAGTTGAGGCACCTGGCAAAGGAGTTTAGGAGAGTATTTAAAATGCTAACTTTTTCTTAACGGCATTAATGCACACTATGCATTTAAATATATACTTTAGGTGGGATGCAGGATTATAGCTACGTCTGGGGACAGTGCTTCGACATTACTCTGGAAGTATCGTGTTGTAAATTTCCACAAAAAGATGAGCTTCCATTCTTCTGGAATGACAATAAAAATGCTTTGATTGAATACATTAAACAAGTTCATCTAGGTAAGATGGCTCTACTCAGTTTTCTTTTATCATAGCTAATATTCTGGTTTTCATGTGTTGTAAACAAAATCTGCCCTTATGCCAGTATGGGGTACACAAGAGCCCTTATAGAGTCCTTTGTAGGTTCTCCATCGGTAGAAGAAAATAACAGAGGCCAACCAGAGAATATTGAGAATCAAAGCAGCTAGTAAGCCTGATCTTTATTAAACTGTTGCAGCAGGAAAGAGTTGCACACACAGGAAAGAGGAGGAGGACCATGAACCATGTGTGCTTGCCTTTATATAGCCATTTTGAAATTCCCTGCCCTGGAGCTCAAGACCACCCCTCCATACATCATACCTACATCACAAAAAGGTGGTCTACAACAGAAATTTGAATGTTGTTGTTTTTCCTGTCTGCCAGGTTATCTGATAACGCCTTATCTGATTGCCTTTCCTGGTAGTCTGGCCATTCCTTTGAGATGGTAATTACCCAATTCCTGAGACAATGGGAAGGTTCCCTCACCCCCCTCCCTCCTTGCAGAGAAACATTTGGTCAGTTTGGGAGTCAAAATGGTTTCAGGACTGTCTTCCTGTGCTGCTTCAGACATGTGGTTTATATATGTATGTATGTGTTTGCTTGGTACATTTATGGACATTTATTATATATATAAGACCTTAAAATTTTTATTACACATGTTGTGTAATAAGTTCCTTAAAGAACAATGAAGAAAACATCTCTGATAAATATTGTTTACTGTAATAGGAGTTTTTACAGATCTGCATGCAAGCGCTTTAGCGTTCTAATTAGTATGGTAATTGCTCAGGAAGGGGGCTAACAGTAAAAGATTTCTGAGAATGTGCTGCCAGAAAGCGACGGAAAAGGTTTCAGTTCTGTTTTGAAGAACAAAGCAATTTTACCCAGTGAAAATAGTATGAGGATTGGTAGTGTTCAAGGAAGAGAGGAAGGAGTCAGTGACTCTGCCCATCAACTAGGGGACAGATGGGGAACCTGTGGCCCTCTGAATATAGTTGGGCTACAGCTCAAGTACTGAGCTAGTTGGGCTAATGGGAAACAGACAGCGACCGAAGTGAAAACAGATCAAACTGATGTGTACCAGGATTTGCAAAATCGAATTGAAACACAGCTGTTTTTTCAAAGCATGTTATGTGTACATACCTTTAGTGTTACAGAAGAGTACACTCCAGTGGCAATGTTCACGCATGACCCCCTATTTACACGAGCAGGAAGCCATGTTTGCATGCTATGTAGTGAAGCAACACTGCCCTCCCATGGATTGCCAGGGGCAAAACTTTTAAGCAGGCTAATACATCAAGTTCACTTCCAGACATGGCCTGTTCATTGAGCATTGAGTTCTGATTCATTTTCAGAGGCAGTCATATGCACTCACATCAAGCATTTCCCTGTCACTCTCCTTATTTAATTTTTACGAATTGTTTTGTTGTGCAGATCCAGTTTAATTGTCCAACTTGGGTTTGCCACTGTGTGGTTGAATCCCACCCACAAAAGAGCAACAGTCTGGAATCATCTTAATTCTGCTAATCCTAATATTCAGAATAAGGTTCTCCCCTCCTACAAAAACAAGTTTCTTCAAGTTCCCTTAATTTAAAACTAGGTTTTCTCTTCTGGCAGTGGTGGCTAACTTCTGGCAGTTTATTAGTATTATTGCAATTTAAAAACATACAGATCACCATATTTTCTTCTTTAACGTACAAAACATACACAAATTCTGTTCATTCATCTATCTAATCTCATTTCACTAATAGTCGACTTCCTCCTACCCCTATTACAGCTTCTTCATTTCTTTTTATTTCCTTATCTTTGTATTGCATTCTAACATGCTTTCATCCTTTTCCTTATAAATTATATTCCTCTTATTTTTTCTAATTCCATTTTGTAAATACAAATCTATACACATCCAAATATTGCTTTGAGAACCATATTTACACAGATAATTTTAAAAACAATCCCATTCTTTTTTTATTTTTGTATTCGAGTGGTTTCTTACTACCTCTATCAATTTGGCCAGCTCCACATATTAATATAATTTCATTTGCCACTCTTCCTTCATTGGCACCCGTTCTCCTTTCCAGTATTTGGCAACTAGAACTCTAGCCACTGTGGTTGCGTCCAGAAACACTCTTTGGGGGTTTTTTAAAAAGATATTTATGGTCATGATGCCCAGTAAGAAGGCCTCTGGCTTTTTAATAAATGTTTGTTTGAGCATTTTATTTACCTCTTTATAGACTATGTTCCAATTTTTTTAAATTTGGGGATAGGTCCACCACATGTGGAAAAAGGTTCCTTCTTTTTGTTTACATCTCCAACATGTGTCCGTGTTGTTTATATATATTTTAGCCAATTCGCATGGGGTTATATACCACCGGTATATCATCTTCATAAAATTTTCTTTTATTAAATAACAGACCATGAAATTTAGGTCTGTTTTCCATAGTTTTTCCCAATTTTCCATTAATATTGGATAGCCAAAGCCTTGTGCCCATTTCACCATAACCTCCTACACTTCTTCATCTTTAAGTTGCCAACCTAAGAATAATTTATGTTTTTGATAATATTTTCCTATTGTTTATTAATACTTCTTTCTCCAGTTTTGATATCTGTTTCTCAAATCCATTTTCTTGTCTGATTTGAAGATTTCCTTTAATTGATAACACTGTTGCCAAGCCAATCCTACTTCAAGAAGTTATTTGTTTTGTTATTACATAACATTTTTTTTAATGGTTCCTGTGTTCCCTACTTTGATGCCAAGTTTTTTCGTGCCCCTCCCATTTGTACATTAAAAAAGAGACCATACCCACATTGATATGCTCTCTGCAGGGGATTGTGGATCAACAAAGCCCTTGGCCCATAAAAGGTTAATTGCCCTTATGTTACTGTGTTTTGAGTCTGTACATTTCCCCCATACTTTGAATTTACAAATTTAATAAATTGGATAGTCAAGCTTTTTTCCTAATAAACAACAAAAAATATCCTAACCAGTACAAGCAGTAGATAGTTCTTCCACTTCAGTGCTCCATACATGCATTGCCATGGCTTTTGTCCAGAACTTCATTGGAATTGTAGAGGCATGTGCTAGTCTTGTTCTAGACTTCTAAGGAAGAATAGTGATTTTGCCTCCACTCAAAAGAAGTGTTTTGGTTCTTGTGTGAATATGTTGAGGAGAGGCAAGTTTCCCCCCTGTTCATCTACACAAATTCACTATATCCATTATTATTCTTAAAGTAGCTAAAGGTAAATTTCCTTCCCCAATAAAAATCAAAACATCAGCCAAACATTTCTTCTTTTGGAGAATGTGCATCCAATACCTTAGCAAGTGTTTAAACATGTTACTATAGAATGCATTCTGTGACAAAGGGCTGTTACTAGATTGCGAGTGGCTGTGCCATTTGCTCCTGTTGCTGTACTTCCTTGGCAGAAAACTTTTCTAGTTACGTGCCAAAATTGAAAAGAAATGGCTTCTTCCTCTTTTGACTTCTTGCCATAGGTGTAAAAGGTCGTGTTTTGGATGAGAATGACGAACCTGTTCCAGGTGTGATAGTGGAAGCTGTCGGAAGGAGACACATATGTCCTTACAGAACCAACAAAAATGGAGAATATTATCTTCTCCTCCTGCCTGGCACCTACGCACTTAATGTAAGTCATCCTGTCTTAGACCTGCAAGCTGCTGTTCTGCTAAACATGGCCAAAATCCCTAGACATTTATGCATGCAGGTTCTGTGCTCTTGTGGAGGGTGGGCTAGTTTTTCCTTCTGGTGCTAGTCCCCTTACACCTCATATGGGGACCAGGGCCTTAGGAGAGAAAGGGAACTGAAAACTCCTATGCAGCATTTTAGATCCTCAGAATGTGCAATTTAAGATAGGGTAGGACTGCTGTGCTGATATGGCATCACATACGGTACTTCTCTGCAATGTGGACATGGAATTCTAGGCTCCATGACGGATTCAGCAAACACATGTCCAAAAGTCAATTTATGAATTAAAAAGGTAATGCCATCCTTCCAAAAGCTTACCTTAGTGTTTAAGGGAGTGACTCGCTTACACTCTCACTGAGGTCCTTTCCACAATTACATTAGGAGGGAAGAAATTTATATATATTCAGATTCCACTGTGAAATTAAAATGGTCTACATATTGACAAACTGCAAACATTTTTTTCTATCTTTATTGGTCTTTAGGCAACAGCACCTGGCTCTAGCTCATTGCTACAGGAACTGCATATACCAGACGGCAGAGCAAAGTTCAGTGCCCTCACGTATGACTTTGTTGTCCCCCATTTACAGACCAGACCCGAGCCTGCTTCATGCCCCACAGAGCCCCTTTATTCTTCAGATTATGATAAAAACCAATCTGCCACACTGAAGCCTGCTATTACCTCCTTGGTTTTAGTTAATATCTTTTATGCAGTGTTGAGATGAAACTTTTATGTGCATATATATTTTCATTCAAATGGACTATACAATCTTCTCTTGACAATCAAAAATTGGTTATTTCAGCGTAATGTAATAAAGTACTGTATTACATAAAGTATACGTTTCTTAAAGAGAGAACTAAATGTGCTTTGTGCTTGCACAAAACTATGCAACAGAATTTGATTAGCATATTGCTGGATAGTGAATTGTAATAATTTTTTATTAAGACATTTATGAACCACTTGGTTTCAATGTGTAAATTTTGAAGTTTGATTCTACCAGTGGACTAAGCTACCTTCTTTTTCCAATTAGCACCTCATAAAAATGCATGAAGGCCTCCTAATGAGGATACCAAATTAGTACCATGAGGTTTCAAACCTAAACACAAGGGGGAGGGGCCCTACTGGACACTACAAGATTAACTTCTGAGTACAGCTGGCTGGACTCTGTGTTTGGTTATAATTACAACAAACTCCCATGCACGTTTATTCTGCCATTGCTAAAGCAGCATGGGGGGTACAGTGGCCCCTCCAGGTGTCAATTCCTTCAGCTCCAGCCAGTACTCAGCTATGAACAGGGTATCAATTTTCAGCGATTTACTAAAAAGATACAATACTGGTATTCAGTGCCATTGTTATGGTAGCCAAAGTTGGAGAAATCTCATGTGCAAAACCTTTGTAATAGTGTTTTGGATGCCCTCCTGATGATACAGAAACAGGTGGTTGGGAGAGATCATGACCCATTCCTGCCCCTATACAAGATGACACAGTGCATAAAAATAAGGAACCAAAATAAGCAAACTGCTATGCTCAAGTCCTGCTTGGCAACCATGGGAACAAGATGCTGACCAGATGGGACCTTTGGTGTGATCCAGCAGGCTCATGCCCTTAACATAAAATACAAAATGTTTTGATCGCATGATTTAAATACAGAAGGTAACAAGCCAGTCAGAGAAAGCAAACCAGCGAGATTTACTGAAAACCGGGGATTTGTTAGTTTAATTCAAAGTTTGTACATTTATTGCACTGAATTTCAATATTTTACGTTTTGTTCAAATGAACTAAACCCATTACAATGGCGAAAATGGAATGTTAAGCCTCTTGCCAATGAGACTTAGAATATACATTTAAAAATCTGCTTTTTGACCAAGTTTTCACATAATATTTGAGGATGAAAACAAAATTTAATTTCAGTTTAACAGACTTTTAAACCTTTACCAGAGAAATGCAGATATGGTGGCTATGATTCAAATAACCCCTTTAAACACACTTCACTGGATTTTGCAGACTAGCTACTATTTTCCATCTTTCAGGGAATACTGATTTCCCCTATTAACACTTCTGTCTTTGTTGCAGGCCTGGCAAAAGCATGTAGGCTTCCAGAAAGGGAAACTAGAGATTTAATGCTGGAGATCTGTTAACTCTTCATTTAAAATGCTGCTGCTCTACCTAGCCCCAGAGCAAATTTATTCCTCCTGCCTTAACCATGTATGTGCGAACACTGGCATTAACACTAACAAAGCTGCACTGGCGCACAACCTGCCACCCCAAACTGCAAAGGACTGCACAGTCTTCATATACACAAATGGAGGCAAAAACTGTGGGCTGTAGCACATATGAAGAAGATAAAGCAAATAAAAGGGGGAATGAAACTAGGTTAATTTGTATTCTTGAAAACCTAAGTAAAATATTTATTTAAAAAAGAGAGACTAACCAGGCTTCCATCTACCTTGGATTCAAACCATGCTTAAGAGACAAAAATGTTCTGTTTCTGCTAATAAACAGTTACAGTACAATGGATTCCAGAGAAGAGGCGAAAGAAATACCCACAATCCCACAGCTTGCTTCTGATCCCTTAACCAGAGTTAAAAGATTATCAGTCTCTCTGCGCAGAGTTTGCCCTACAGCTTTTTGACTAAAATCATTTTTCTGTAAATGCAAGATGTATCTAGTCTTCAAGCATGGTTGAAAACAGTGGAAGCTAGTACACTTTTTTAAAAATGCTGTAATTTCAATCTCTTTTCTGAATAAAGAATGCAATTTTTAGACACAGAAGATTTGGACTGGAAGAATAAGACTAAAAAGACCTCACCACAAACACTAAATCCCTTCATTTGTTGCCATGCTTCCATACACCACTTTGCTTGGGCTAACTGTTTGCTACTGGGGCTAAAAAGGAGGTTGTGAACATTACAATTAAACCTATTGGCTTCAGCGCAATGTTAAGTCTCTTGTAGGAAAATCCTGTGATGAAGGTATAAAAACTTTTGTAAACTTTCAATACTTTTTGTACAAAATTTTATTTTAGGGCTGTAAGGTTTCTTGAAGCAATTCTGCTTGTATCTCAGTTAGCAAAAATAAGTTAGCAGGATCATCTCAATTGGCTGCCTGCAGACCAAACAAGGCTTGTTCCGCTTCTTTAGCTTTTTTGCACATGTGAAACATGACAGGAGGTGTCCTGTCCTTCCGTGAACTATGCAACCATTTTTGGGCCGAGTTTGGCATATGACACAGGGCTCCACACCAGAAAGGGGTAAAACAAAATCAGTGCTTTCTTCTTTGACTTCAGCCTCTTCCTTCTCAGGTTCTTTATAGTCTTCTTGGCTTCCACAAAGCATACTGCTAGATGTAGAGGGCTGAGAATAGTCCTCACTTTTCTGAGAGTCAGAGCTCTGTTCTGAGTCGTCCTCTGCTTCATCTTCAGGTGTTTTCCCTTTCTTACAGTCAGGAACATCAAAGCCCTCCTCAGGATCCAGTGGTGTGTCATCTTCAATTTTGCCCTCTACAGACTTTTCCGTCTTCTTCTCAGGAAGCCAGTCTTCCTGAAGAGCCCAGCATTTGGGGCAATGGCGTGGAAGAGGCGGGTTCATTTTATTGCACTTGGAGCACTTCCAATAATCCTAGAGTCAATTAGACATGAAACAGTTAAGCTACCATTTACCAAAATAATAAAAAAAAGCAAAGATCAACCATTTTTCTCCTCTGCACAGTCAAGAAACATGGGTGATATCATCAGATTAAGACATACTGAAATCAGTGTGCTTAGGTCCACTGATTTTAGTGACTCTACTTCAGGTATTATGAATACCGGATATCATCTGCAGATATTACTACACCAAGGGAAGGAGCAGGGATGCTCAAGATAGGAAGCATGGGCTGCAATCCCACTAGCCTTCAGCATCATATAAATATTGATTGTGCAGACTATGGGCTATCAGGTCTATCAGTTTATGTTGCTCAACAGAGGAACAGTTGCACTAGCAGAAAATTGTTTTGCAAGATGTGCAACAAAGTTACCAGCAACTTGCTTATAGTTTTGTGCAACAACGTTCCATTGGTGCAAACCATTTCACCTGTGCTATACAGTGGTACCTCAGGTTACATACGCTTCAGGTTACAGACTCTGCTAACCCAGAAATAGTACCTCGGGTTAAGAACTTTGCTTCAGGATGAGAACAGAAATCGTGCTCCGGTGGCGCAGTGGCAGCAGGAGGCCCCATTAGCTAAAGTGGTGCTTCAGGTTAAGAACAGTTTCAGGTTAAGAACGGACCTCTGGAACGAATTAAGTACTTAACCCGAGGTACCACTGTTCTGTACTGCCAAGCAACTTAATGCTACAGTCAAATCTCAGCTCCTGAACGCCAAAAAAATGGAAGTAAATGCTCCAGTTTTCGAATGTTTTTTGGAAGCCAAACATCCAACGCGGCTTTCACTTGAGAGCAGGAAGCTCCTGCAACCAATCGGAAGCTGTGCCTTGGTTGTTGAACATTTCGGAAGCCAAACGGGCTTCTGGAACAGATTACATTCGACAACAGAGGTTTGACTGTAGTACATTGCATAAAACCCTTTGTCTAGCTGGCATCTACTGGGGAAAAGTTGCATGACTAGTTGGCTCTTGTGCATTGCCTGGTTAAATCTGACCTATCTCATTGGTATGACACCCATAAATTATAAGAGATCAACAGTCTATTCCTACTGTCCAACACACCCAGTATTCCTAATGTTAGCTGCTTTGATCTGCTATTTTACTGTTTTTTGCTTTGGACGTACCCATTTTCCAGCATAGCCTACCCACTAAAGCAACCTTTCCCAACCTTGCAGTCCAAAACATCTGGAATGCACAACTCCTATCAGCCTCAGCCAGCATGGTCATGCGGTCTGTGGCCAATGGGAATTGTAGTCAAACATTCAGAAGGCACCAGGTTGGGGAATGTTGCTCTAGCATATACAAAAACATCTAATTTTAAAAGCTGCAATTTACTCTAAATGAAGAAGTTACTTACACCTGCTGAAATTTCAGGATCATCATCAAATGAATCCACATCACTGTCTTCAGTTTGATATATAGTTACCTCATACATCTGATGGAAGAAAATATTTAGATTCCAATTATACAAATATGCAAGGCGTTAGAACTCCAAAGAGACAAATTGTACTAGTGTAAACGTTGTATTTCTCTTCCATGAATTACTGAGGTTCCAACTGATTCCAACACTGCAAAAGATCACTGTGATCCTCTCTACCATTAAAATCTGCCTGGAATACAGACAATACTATATCAACAGGACAACATAATTTACCCTGTTGAGAAATTATGCAACTTTTTTTTTGCAAAAACAATTAACAGTAAAAACTGGAGAGGGGAAAGAGGATGGTATGAAAAATTGTCGGAAAGCTTAACAAGGACTTCAAGTCAGTCTCTATAATCATCATCTTTTTTAAACCATTTATCAGATAACAATTTGTGCTTCTCAGAAACTTTTAGGAACTATAACTGTTAGGGGGGAAACTTACAAGAAAACCCATAAAGCATATTTGGAAAAGGTCCACAGGACAGTGCCAGTCAGAGCACATATTCTGATTCAATCCCAGGTAAATGGATGTCATTGGAAAGGCTTTGGTCTAAGATGCGAGTGGCTGCCAGTCTGAGTCAAGCGTTCATAGATTTTCTTCACTACCATTCCAATTAACTTTAATTCTCCTACCTCATCATCTTCTTCTGTAAGCTCAGATTCTTCTTCATTGATACTGTAGTTTTCTGAACAGATGGATTCAACCTCAAACTCAACACTGAATTGATCTGAAACAGAATCCTCATCCAGCCAGTCTGCTGTTTCACTTAAACTGTCATGATCCTGGAAGAGGCCAAGGTGTAATAATGTCCTTTTAGTCAAGTTTGTAACTAGAACTAACAGTAATGAAATTAATGGCTTTGAATTCCATAGATAGCCACCTATTCCTGTAAAATACATTGATGCAATAATCATGGAAATAAGGGAAGAGCTGCTTAAAATAACAGAAATAAACCTGTGTCAATATGGGGAGACAAATCAATTGCAGCAAAATTCTGTGTAACCGGTTTGCATTTTCCAACCAGACTAGTTTGTTACCGGTCAGAGATGAATGAGCTGAGGCAGAATTCCAGCGCAAGAAAAGCTGATCTTTTATTATCTGTTGCAACAGAGTCTTTCTCTCCCCGTCCCCCACCCCTTGTCAGGAGGTGAAGGACCCAGAACAAGGAAAACCCCATCTTTTTAAAGGTTTGCATTTTTGGCATGGAGGAGGACACCCTCTTCTGCAAGTGTCAGGGTCACCTGGGATAAGTGTCATGGTTACATCACATACTAGGTGGAGTCAGGTAGAGCGGAGTGTCAAATGCCTGAAGATCAGCATGTTTCACACAGTTCCAGAAAGAGTTTACACAAAGTATTGACATTGAAAATAGAACTTGGGGTAGTCAACATGGTAACAGCTGTGCTCAGCAGGATCCGGAGATTGATTATGTAGAGTACCTGAGCAAACAGGGCAACCTTCTAGGGCGACTAACACGTTGCAGATTCTGGGAGCTTCCCTGATGGGCATCCTGCCAACATTTTTTTTTTTTTTTTTTTTAATAAATTTTTATTAATTTTCCAAACATAAGATAAGAAAGCAAACAATACACAAAACACCGACATACAAACATATAAACATGTATAATTTCATAGCCATTTTTCATAAACCTTACTTTCCGGACTTCCCCATACCTCCCTTTTCTGCATCCTTGTTTTATATTTCTTCAGCAACTCCTCAATCAACTAATTATTCAATTCAATTTCTTTTAAGTTCTTCTAATATTATTAGTTACAGCTGCAGTTCTCTGTTTCCCAACCCCTTGACATTTTAACATTCCTGAATTTTACAACAAGTTCTAAGATAAACTTTAAATTTCTTCCAATCTTCTTCCACTGTCTCTTTCCCCTGGTCACGGATTCTGCCAGTCAATTCGGCCAGTCCCATATAGTCGATCACCTTCGTCTGCCATTCTTCCAGTGTGGGTAGTTGTTGTGTCTTCCAATACTTTGCTAGAAGAATCCTTGCTGCTGTTGTCGCATACATAAAAAACGTCCTGTCCTTCCTTCTCACCAATTGGCCGACAATGCCCAAGAGAAAAGCCTCTGGTTTTTAGGGAAGGTCCATTTAAGAACCTTCTTAATTTCATTATAGATCATTTCCCAAAAAGCTTTTATCCTCGGGCAGGTCCACCAAAGGTGATAAAAGTACCTTCAGTCTCATTACATTTCCAACATTTGTTATTGGGCAGATGATAAATTTTTGCAAGCTTGACTGGGGTCATGTACCACCTATACATCATTTTCATAATGTTTTCTCTTAAGGCATTACATGCCGTAAATTTAATACCGGTGGTCCACAACTGTTCCCAGTCAGCAAACATAATGTTATGACCGATATCTTGTGCCCATTTTATCATAGCTGATTTCACCGTTTCATCCTGTGTATTCCATTTCAACAGCAGATTATACATTCTCGACAGATTCTTAGTATTGGGTTCTAACAGTTCTGTTTCCAATTTTGACCTCTCCATCTGGAAACCTATTTTCCTGTCCTGTTTAAATGTCTCGTTTATCTGAAGGTAGTGCAACCAATCTCGCACTTTGGACTTTAATTTCTCATAGCTCTGTAATTTAACTTTTTCCCCATCTTGTTCTAGAATTTCACAATATTTTGGCCATTTAGACTCCATATTAAGTTTTTTCACCTCTTTAGCTTCCATTGGTGACAACCACCTGGGAGTTTTACTTTCCAATAGATCTTTATACCGCATCCAAACATTGTATAATGCTTTCCTAACAATATGGTTTTTGAAACCTTTATGCTGTTTTACCTTATCATACCATATATATGCATGCCAACCAAATCTATTATCAAACCCTTCTAGATCCAAAATATCTGTATTCTCAAGAAGTAGCCACTGTTTCAACCAGCAGAAAGCCGCCGATTCATAGTAGAGTCTTAAGTCCGGCAGGGCAAACCCCCCTCTATCTTTAGCATCAGTTAGATTCTTAAATTTTATTCTGGGCTTTTTGCCCTGCCAGACAAATTTAGATATATCTTTCTGCCACTTCTTGAAACAGTCCATCTTGTCCAAAATCTGCAATGTCTGAAATAAAAACAACATTCTAGGCAATACATTCATCTTGATAACAGCAATTCGGCCTAACAAAGAAAGTTTCAACCTTGACCATATTTCTAGATCCTTCTTTACCTCTGTCCAACATTTATCATAATTGTCCTTAAATAAATTCACATTCTTAGATGTTAAGTTTACCCCCAGGTACTTTACTTTTTCGTTATCACTAGTCCTGTTTCATTCTGAAACTTCTCTTTTCGGCCAATGTTAAATTTTTATCCAACACTTTCGTTTTCTGTTTGTTCAGTTTAAATCCTGCTACTTGACCAAATATCTCAATTAGTTCTAATACTCTTTTAGTACTAGTATCTGGCTGTTGCAAGGTCAATACTAGGTCATCTGCAAATGCCCTTAACTTGTACTGTTTGGCTCCGACTTGTACTCCTTTAACCAACTGGTCTCCTCTAATCATATTTAACAAAACCTCCAGGACTAATATAAACAATAGAGGGGATATTGGGCACCCCTGTCGTGTACCTTTTTCTATAGGTATTTCTTCCGTTACCACATTGTTTACAATTAACTTTGCTTTTTGTTTAGAGTATATTGCACCTATACCATTTTCAAACCCTTGACCTACCCCCATCCCTTGGAGATTCTTCTTCATAAAACTCCAACCAATATTGTCAAAGGCTTTCTCCGCGTCCACAAAAATTAAAACAGCCTTCCTATTAATGTCCACTTCTAACAGTTCCAAAATGTCTATAATGTTCCTCACATTGTCCGACATATATCTCCCTGGAAGAAAGCCAGTTTGGTCTTTATGAATCTCCCCTACCAACACTCTCTTCAGTCTTTTTGCCATAATGTCCGCAAAAATTTTGTAATCCACATTAAGTAATGATATAGGGCGGTAGTTTTTAACCTGGTTCTTTTCAGTCTCAGTTTTCGGTATAAGTGAGATAAAAGCTTCTTTCCACGACTCTGGTGCCTTTTTCCCCTCCAAAATTTCGTTACATACTTCCTTCAGTGGTTGTACTAACCATTCCTTCAACACTTTATAGTATCTGGCGGTCAAACCATCTGGTCCTGGAGCTTTTCCCAATTGCATCTTCTGAATGGCACCCTCTATTTCTTGTCCTGTTATTTTCTCATTCAAAATCCTTCTGCTTTGCTCTGAAATTTTTGGTAATCCATGTTTCTTAACAAATTCTTCTATTTCCTGTTCATTAACTGGCCCTTGTGCATATAATTTCCTGAAATAACCTTGAAAACAATTACTTATCTCATTTGGTTTGTGGATAATCTTTCCGTCCACTTCTAAACTTGTCACAGTGTTCAATTTTTGCCTCTTTTTCAATTGCCATGACAGAAATTTCCCACATTTATCTGCTGATTCAAATGTCTTTTGTCTCATTTGCTTTATTTTCCATTCTATCTCTTGATTCATCAATTCCATATATTGCACCTGATAGTACTTTATTTCTTTCAGAATCTCATGAGACTTTGGTTTAGACCTCAATTTCTTTTCACCTTCTTTTATTTTTTCCAGAATTTTTCCTTTCCTTTCATTTTGATTTTTCCTTTTTATGGAGTTCTGTTGTATTAGGAAACCTCGCATCACGGCCTTACTTGCGTCCCAAATTATTCTTTTTCCACTTCTGTTCTCAAATTTATCTCAAAATAATCTTTCACTGTTTTTGGGCCTTCTTATAAATCTCTTCATCTCTGAATAGGGTGTCATTCATTCTCCATCTGAAGGATCCAGTTGTTGTAAGTTTCATCTCCATCTTTACAGCATTATGGTCGGAGCAAGTCTTTGAGCAGATTTCTACCTTTTTAATCCTTGGCGCCATACTGCTAGTTACCCAAATTTGGTCAATTCTTGTCCATGTCATTTTTGCTTCAGAGAAAAAGTTCCCTCTCTCTCAAGAGGGTTCCTTGTTCTCCAAATGTCAATCAAGTCCATAGTTTCAGTCATTTCAAAAAAAGTCTTTGGTAGTCTCCCTTCCTTGGAAATTACTTGTCTCTGTGCTTTGTCCATATTTGTGGAAACTACGCCATTCATGTCTCCCATCATTATAATTCTGTAGTCTAAATAGTCCATTAAAGTCTCATGCAACTTCCTAAAGAATTCCGCCTTCCCATCATTTGGTGCATAGATTCCAACTATCAAAATTTTTCTCCTTGAACTTGTATTTCAATTGCCAGGTATCTTCCTTGTTCATCTTTAAATATCATCTTTGGAGCCAATTTTTCTTTTGCATAGATCACCACGCCTCTTTTCTTAACTTTATCTGATGAAATAAATTCTTGTCCAAGTCTCTTATTTACCAATAATTTCCGATGTGTCCTGGTCACATGAGTCTCTTGTAGGCATATTAGATCTAATTGTTCTCTTTTCAAAATATGAAAAACTTGGCGTCTTTTTCGGGAAGGTTCAAACCATTACAGTTCCAGCTAAGAAGTTGCAGAGACATTTTGTTATTAAGTACCTGTTCCTCCGACTGCTCCTAACTTTTGTTCCTCTTCAGATGATGGTATGAGTCCAAATGACAAGTTTGCAATGTCTGTCACTCCTTTTTCTTGTATTGTTGTTTCTACTGTTCCTTTCTGCAAGTCCTCCTGATATCTCTCCAGAAACTGTTCTTTATCTTGAACTGTTCTTATTTTAACCTTCCTTCCTTTGAAAGTAAAAGACAATCCTTGTGGAAACTCCCACCTGAAGGGTATGATATTTTTCTTCAGCAGGTAGACCAAATCTTTATAGAAGGCTCTCACCTCCAAAATATATTTAGGGATATCTTTAAAAATTTGTACTTGACTATTTTCAATCTCCAATGCCTTTTGATAATGCAAATTCAATATCTTATCTCTTTCTCCTTTGGATCTCAATGTGATCAAACAATCCCTAGGGCATCCTGCCAACATGACCCTAGGCTTCGGGAATTATGGGAGACCCAAAGATTCTCACAATGCAACATAACACACACACACACACACACACACACACACACACACACACACTATAGGCTCACAAATAATACATTTACAAGTGATCTTATACATAGTTCCATAGAGAAATTCAGGTTTTCCTTGTTTAAGCAGGCTAGAGTTAAAGTATCTGGCCTAAATGTTGAAGAAAGGTGAGGGCATGTGTAGGGTGGTGCTTTGAGTTGAGGTAAGGATACACTTATTTCATGTGCTTCCTGGAGACGTGGCAGGGCACACAGCGATGAATAGAGGGGAAAAGGGGGATATGTAATGGGCATTTTTCTGGTAACAAGCCTCCCTTTGGGAGCATGGTAAGCTTTTCCTATGATGAGATACCTATCACTGCATATTAGTAGCTGTCCAAATATGAACAGATTCTGACAACCAAAAATATGTACCACCACGTTAAATGTTTTGCTGCAATGACAATCTCCAGAAAAAAACATTATCAATGGGGTTTGAGAGAGAGAGCAAGCAGGAGCATGGGCCTCTGCACTGAGATGAAACTGGAACACTGGTTTACATGAACAGGCTGACACAGTGGGACATTATGAGTTATGTGTCTCAATTCACCCAGGCAGCTACCAAGTGATTTTAAGCTTTCAAGTTAGATCCTTATATTTGCTTTGACTAAGGTACTATACATTTCTGAAAACACTTAGTAGTAACAATAGTACTGGAGAAACAAATGTCATCCTAAAATGTGACTTAGAGCTCATTCTGTTTTAACATTTGCTAAGCACCAGTAGATTAAGATACTGAGAACAATCAGCTCAGGCTGCTCCCACCTAAGTATTCAAACACTAATTTTGCTACATAATTGGAAGAAGGTCATCCATATGAGAAAAGTTCAAACTTTAATAGTCAGCAATTCAGAGAAACTATCTCTTTTCTGATGCTGTTATTTTTGTTCAGCAGAATTTGGTTTCATTGTTGAAAATGGTCAGAACCATTACCAAATGGAAAAGATTCAGGCTGTGACCAAAACATATTGGGCGTGGGTGCAAATAGTTTTCAGTAGTTGTTCAAGTATTCTAGACAGCTTAGCACATAAAAACCCCATTAATGGACCTTACTATTTCTGAATACATGAGATGACTGAATGCTTCCTGTATTTTGGGGTTTTGTTTTTCTTTGTTTTGCTTTTTTTTTGGGGGGGGGGAGGTGAAAAATAGCAAATTGCAGAGAAGAGTAGCCTAGAGAACTTCTCTCTGGCATACTACATTCTGGATACACGGGGACAATTCTACAGTACACTGGAAGGGCAGGTGAAAAAGAGGGCAGGGTTCCAGCTTGTTTAACAGCTGTGCAGAACAGGCAATTTCAGCAGGTAATTTGCATGACAAGCTATAACTTCTGAATTTCACTCTTCCACACAACTATGAAATGTGCAGGAGCACTGTCCTCTATTTCATCTGGTGATACAATTTTAAGATGCAACGAGGACCTAAAAAAAAAAGGGAGAGACTTAAAGAAAATACCGTAGTTTCCTCATGAAAGTCCATTACTACTTACCGGACTTGATGAAGAGCCTGTGGAAGTGCTGATGTTGCTAAGATCACAAGGTAAACCGCTTACTACACACCATGAAAGACTTTCATCAAATGTAAGGGAAATGCTGTCTGATCTATGCCGTTTCAGTCTTTCATCATTCTTATCTTCTAAAGGACTTTCTTCTGCAGGATTAAAAAAACCCAACCTCTTAGCAAATACAGTGGTACCTCAGGTTACAGACGATTCAGGTTACAGATTCCGCTAACCCAGAAGTAGTACCTCGGGTTAAGAACTTTGCTTCAGGGTGAGAACAGAAATTGTGCAGCAGCGGCGCGGCAGCAGCAGCAGCAGCAGTGGGAGGCCCCATTACCTAAAGTGGTACTTCAGTTTCATGTTAAGAACGGACCTCCGGAACGAATTAAGTTCTTAACCCGAGGTACTGCTGTACTTCTACAAGTTTTGCAGTTCCTGATTTTGGTATGGGACTTCTTGGTTCAGTCTCTCTCTCTCCCCCCCCCCCCCTTCTGCCATGTTATCCCAAAGCATCCAAAAGTACTGATGCCCCTAAGACTTCTCACTGCAATAATATAATTTTCATCACTCCGCATTTACTGTTTAGTGTTAGAAGCTTGCACAGAAGCCGCTGGCATTCCAATGTAACCAGCACAGCAATTATATAGCACAATCAGATACATATCTACTCATAAATCATTTACTTCAATGGTGCTTACACCCAGGTAAGTGAATATAGGACTGCAGCTGTAAAGATGCATAGGAAATTTTACATTTAAGGTGTTAGAAGAGATAATATTTAAATCTCTGAGTGAGGTCCATATTCTCAGTACAGCACACTTGCTTTAAATAACTTTCTCAGTCTCGGGTCCCATTTGGAAATGCAAATAATCACTTCCTCTACACTGCTATTATGGCAAATGCAAATAACTATAATGTACACAAGTACGAAAACTAACAAGCAACTCAAATACAAACAGCTAACATCAGAAGCACTTGTGGACAAGAAGATTTCAGTTTTCACAAGTTTCTTGGGTGATAAACTTAGCTGAAATAAGAATTATGTCCCCACAAAAGCTAGGGAAAAGCAGGAATCCAGAAGTGTTTTTTGCCCACACTGACATCCAGCTATATGTCTGCTCATAAAGGATGGTAAGCTATGACAAGTTATCACCCAGAACATTGGAGTGAGATGTGCAAAACAGAAGGTGTGGAACTTAGGCCATGGCTCGAAGGGTTGCTCTACTGGGATTTTCAAATAATCGCTTCCACTGAGACACCAGGAAACCAACCCTCAAGCTTGAAGCAGCAAAAAGTCACTCTTCTCACAAACATTTAACTTTGTGTGTTCTGTCACTGACTTGAGTTTTGGATACCTGAGCTACTGTAAGCACTGAAACTGATAAAGCAGAAGGCTGTGCTCACCTGTTTCACTGTGTGCTCTTCTCCTAGAAGAACTGGCTTCACTGGATTCTTGCACCGATTCCTGTTTAATTAAAAACAAACAAATAAGCCAAACCCCTCAGATATCTCTTTAATCTTTACCATTCCAGATGTTACACTTGAAAGTGTGGAAATAAAGAATGTAACATGTAATTAAAATTACCTTTATAGTATTTCCATTTTCTACTTGCCACCTGGACTGATTCACAGATGTGTTAAGATTACTAGAGCCTTCAAAAAGAAATGCATATTGGAAGTCACCAAAAAGGGACAGCAGGAGGTTCAAATACACATTTAAGAACAAACGGATTAATACACTGCAATTCCATAAATATAAATTGCTCAAAATCCTAATTCAGGAATAAAGTATGTATTGGAGTAATGCACAGACATGTGAACAGCAAAAAAATTGTAATAACCTATAAGACAAATCAATGAAGCTTATTTATTGCTTTACATGAATTAATCCTCAAATTCAAGATCCTTTCTATGTTCATCATTTAAAAACTGAATCCAACTAGAACAAATTTTGAGAAATTTGGGGATGGAAAAGGATACAACTTGAAATCACACTTATATTTTGTATGATTTGTGCATATGATTCACAAATGACAGCAACTGCATGGTGGCAAGCAGGTGCATTCTGGAAGACTGGGTTCATCCAGACATTTGGATCTGTTCAGGACCTTAATTGTGGTATTTTAATGAGTGGAATACTAGTTCTATTTTCAACCCACATATGGGTAAATCAGCTTTCTTACTAGCCACTTATTCATCACTGTCCTAACTGTTCCTATTTATAATTCTTGTGAAAAGCCCAGCAGACAGGTATCCCAATCCAAATAATCCATTTTAGGTGGGGCAGTACAAACTCCCAGCTGTTCTTTTTATAGATTGTTGGTTCTAGTCTTTCTTTTTTAAAAATATGATTTTTATTACATTTTCTATTTTACAATTTCAAATAAACATTTTACATACTTAAAGATATCAGTGACTTCTCTTCTTCTCTTTCCATGGTTCATTTTGCATATCTTATATCCCTGCATATTTTCCAAAAACTATACCAATTGTTTTTCCATTATTACATCCATCAAAACCTATTTACACTCTTGAATTTATGTACGCAATTCTTTTCCATGTAGTTTCAGTTACAGATGAAACAGTAATCCACACCAGTTAAAACTGGTGAAGGATACATGGATTATCCCATTTACTATTTATTTGTTTTCCATCATGGAACCCAGGGCAGCATACATGAAGTTCTTGGGTAGTTACCAACCCAGACACTATCCAGAAACTGACTTGCTTAGCTTCCTCAAGGTGATGTCAAACCAACCCAAATCAACCTTACTGCACAACTTAAAATTATCACATCCTTCCCTCATCCAGGATAAAGAAAAGCATCATTATAGCAAACTAGCTTACCTTGCTGACTGACTGCTGTCAGGTTTTTAGAAATCATCAAACGCAGTTGCCTAAAAAAAAAAAGTTAAAGTTTATGAACCAAATAGTTATATGCTTTCGACATCTTGGTTAAAAAAAACCTGGACCCACCCCATGCCTAATAGCAGTTCAAATTATGTGATCTTTCCCCTATCAATTACCTACCGTATTTTTCGCTCCATAAGACACTTTTTTCCTCCTAAAAAGTAAGGGGAAATGTCTGTGCGTCTTATGGAGCGAATGTGTGGTTGATCCCTTTCTGGCCCCGCCCCCTTGCCCAGGGCCCATAACATTGAATGTTCTGCAGACGGAGGCTGTTTCCCCAGCGACATGTGACTGGCTGATTAGATTATCTGTCTGGAAACTGTAGAAACCGCTCCCTTTCCTTTCCTAAAGAAGCTGCAGAACTATGAGTTGAACCCCATAAAAGCAGGATTTTTTCCCTTTGCAAAGTAAGCCCAACAACTTTGAGCTGATCCTCAAAAAAACAGGGTGTTTCCCCCTTGCAAAAGAAGCTGCACAACTTTGAGATGATCCACCTAAAAATGGGGCTTTTCCCCTTTGCAAAAGAAGCTGCAAAACTGTGAGCTGATCCTCAAAAAACCGGGGCTTTTCCCCTTTGCAAAAGAAGCTGCACAACTGTGAACTGATCACCCCAAAAATGGGGCTTCCCCCCTTTCCTCTTCTAAAAACTAGGTGCCTCTTATGGTCAGGTGCGTCTTTTGGAGCAAAATTTGTATATTAGCCTCTGATAAAATACAGATGGTCATATTACATCAAGTGACCCAATATTTTTACCCCATGTTTTCCAATTTTCTTAATATGTTGTACACTTGTTGAATGATCAAAACTAAGTTTAAATCTAAAATTTAAATGAAATGAAGTACTAACAATAATTATTTAAAAGTGTTACTTCTATCATGCAACAGCAAGCTATCCCTCTGCTTTGAAACACATTTTTAAAAGAAAAGCCTGACTAGCTTTTCAGATACCTTTTAACTGAATAATTTTCTAAAGAAATGCCTGAAGTAACTGATATTATAGTTTGAAGTCTTGTTTATTCTGTTATATTTTACTCTAAGAAGACCCATTTATCCTAAATAGAACTCAATAAGGCAAACCTGTACAAAATATTTCTTTCTTAATGTGATCCCATTGAGATCCCAAAATGAAATTTTGCAGGTAGCTCTTAGAAATATTAACTAATCAATACATTTTTGGGGAATTTTTAAATAATATTAATTTTAATCACTTATTAAATTTTTAAATGTTGTAACTTAACTTTAAAATTTAAAGTAAGCCCATCACGTGACATATCATGTTAAAGCCCATCAAGTTCTGAAGAGATTGGTATTTTTAGTTTTGAAACATCTCAATTCTGGGCTGAGTTTTAAAGGTTTTTGTGTAGTCTGGTGGCAAGGCCAAAATTGTCAAAAAACCCTCATAACTCAAACATGGTATGAAATAAAAAATTAACATTTTAGATTTAAACTTAGTTGTGATCATTCAAAAAGTGTACAAAATATTAAGAAAATTGGAAGACATGAGGTAAAAACCTGGATCATTTGATACTGATTGAACCTTAAAGGCTAGAGCCTTTTAAAAATAAAGGATTATAAAGGCTTTGCTTACTTTACATCAATGCTACTGAATGAGGACAACACAGTAAGTGGGATTCAGGTCTAAGAAATAAAGGCACAGAACTGGACATCCCAGTCATCAGGCAACTCATAGCAGCATTTAAAGGAGGAATAAGCACTCTCCAAAAGATCTTAGATACAACAGGGCTGTTTCAATATGTAGGCCTGGTTCACACATCATGGTAAGCCAAACAGAGAACAAACCTTGGCTATAGATAGTGGTTAAGGAGAGCACTTGGTGTGTTGGGGTGGAGGGTAGAAAACTGAATATCTGGCATGTAAGAATGTGCCAGTAAGATAACACATGTGCTCAGCATTTAATACCAGGCTGCAAAAAATATTTTTACCTGCATTCTTTTATAGAAAAACTCTGTACTCCAAAGATATCACCCAGAAGATCATTTGCACAGTGGACAATATGTTGCTGCTTTTCATCATACAAACGTTTAGACATAATATATTGACCAATATAGAACATTACCTGTAAGAGCAAAAATAAAACAATGCACTTTTCTGTAATACAAGATCAACTAGCACACTTCCTAGTTGAGCTCAAGAGTATTACTATACACATTTTAACTAAAATTGTTTCTCATCAAGCCGTAGCACAATCAAGAATTTGAACCTAAGGTTAAGTTATGTAGGTAAAAAGGCAGAACTTCTATTTATCTTTTAAGGAGTTGTGTTTAATTGCCGTTTCATTTTTATATGAATTTCTATTGATTGTTACAGGTTACATATTAAGTTTCACCACAATATTCTCTGCAATAACCCTAACTTACCTCCTTCATAGTAAAAGTCTCCTTTTCTGCACCAGCAAGCTTCAGAAGTTGCAGCAACAACGGCTTGGGTTTAACCTGGAAACATAAAAAGACGCAGCTCGATTTAAACGGTGATGTTCCTGTTCAAGATTTGGGGGGGGGGGGGGGGAGGCGGTAGCACCGTAACAAAACGAAACAAAAAACCCACAAAGGAAGAGGCAAATCCTTTAAATGAAACGGGTTTGCGTGGTCCTAGCAGGTTTCCTGCAAACCTAAAAATCAAACATTTGCACTAGAGTCCCCGGGGCAAAGGCTCCCCCCGAATACTGACCAACTTCTCCGGACGCGTTTGGCTGCTGCCAGATGTGCCCTCGATGGGCTGGTCGGTAGTAGAGGCCATCTTAGTCGTATTGCACGTTTCCCTGTGAGGATTAGAAGGAACTTCGGTTAGGTTCAGCGGTCACGGGTTTATGTCCGTCCCCCCCAAAGTGTCCCCAACAAGCGGAGCCGCATAAAGCCCTCCGGTCGCCCGTCTCCTCACCCGGGTTAGACCGCCGCTTCCGAAAGAAATGCAGCGAAAGGCCCCGCCTGGGGTCGAGTATGAAGAGCGTCGCCTACAACTTCGTCCGGGGCAAGTCCGGGCTTCGCTCCCCTGGCTGACCGCGGCCCGACATGCCCGAGCATGACTCGCAAGATCAACACTGAGTCAGGCGGGAGGGGAGCCCCGACGCCGCCATTGGATCCTCCTCCCCACATAAACACTCCCCACACTGCCCTTTCCCTCCTTCTCCGTACCTCAACGGGTCTCCCTCAGGAAGGGCCCTCGCCTCAGTTCTCCCAGGCAGGCTCCGCTTCACCCACCCACACGCAGGGCAGGGCACGCGTCTACCTCAACAGCCGAGGAGGCCGAATTCCACGCCGAAGGCCGCCATTTCAGGCCCGACAACACGGCCATGCCCTGCCTGGGTTTTGCCGCGGCGCCAGCAACTGGCTTCTTGGGGCGGCGTCTCTCGAGCGCCCCCGTCGGCCCTGCCCAACCCGGCAGCCGGTTCTTTGCACCAGTGGCGCGCTTGACGGCCTTTCCTGCAGTGTTTCGGGGGCCGTTTCCCCCCGCTTGGTAGGGTGCGTGTTGAAGAGGGCCTATTCCGAAGGAACTGTCGAATACATTGTTCGTGAAATGCCGCCGCGGCCTTGTCTTTCAAGGAGCCTGTGCCGACAGGCGGGCAGGCTGGTTCCTCCTTGGCGCCACCCCAGGAAGGAGCGGGGCGCCTCGCGGGATGGGAGGGTGGCGACGCGGTGCCTCTGCCGCAAGGCGGCCTCCTTACTGCCACGCTGCGCTTATACCAGAGACAGTAATTGGCTGGGCTCTTCACTTGTAGTGGCGGTGTGTGTGTGGAGGTTTAAAGTCCTGGGTATGTGTGTTTTTTACAACGCTGAACATTCCTGCGGTTGGGACCCCGCTACGCAGGTGAGACTCCTCTTCCGACCTATATTCGCATCTCTAGCCCAGATCAAACCATTAAAGTGATACATGCAGCTGCATATGCGCCACAGCCATATATACACACACGCTCAAACCCTCAAACTGATTCTGTGCGTTTGTTTTGTGTTACCAGAAAAATGCCCATTGCATGCCCCCCCCCCACTTTCTGGTTCCTATACATCTTGTTTTGTGCCGCCCTGCGTCCCACCACATGTCCCCAGGATGCACATAAAGTGCGCCCTTATGTCGCCCAAAGCACCACACTACATATGCTCTCCAAGGAATCCACCCTGCTCTCCCTTACCTGTTTGTCTGGTTCTAATGGAGGCATGGATCCCCCCCCCTTCTTCGTCATTTAAGCCAGATACTTTCACTCTAGCCTTATTAAAAACAAGGGAAAGTTTAATTTCTCTATGGAACAATGTATAGAATTGTTTAATAAATGTCTACACCCTCCATAATCCCCCTTGCCTGAGATCATGTAGGCTGCTACCTGTTGGCTTAATTAAGGTTGCAAACCTGCACCTAGTTTCCTTAAGTAAGCTCCACTGCGTTCAGTGGGAATTACTTTTGAGTAGACAGTGCAGAAGACTGCAGTGTAATTGTACTATTATCAGCTAAAGAGAGGAGCGGGTAGTATGCCCCAAACAGTCAAGATCCGCTAATGGTTAGCAAGAGTTGATTCCCAAAGACAACGACCACACTTCTAGCAGGTTCAGGTTAGACATGGACACTGTGCAAACACTACATCCAAAACAAACTAGGTTATATGGATAAAAAGGGGATGGGGCAGATAGAACAGGGAGAATGCAAAATTAGAACGAGAAATAATACTTTTGTACTTTTTTACTTCCATTTAAAACCTGTTCATGACTCACCTCATTAGCCCTTATCAGCCAACATTCATAGAAACATTGAATTGTAGAGTATGGATCCCAATGGTCATATAGTCCAACCCCCTGCAATGCAGAAATTCTGCCCACAGCCATCCCTGGGTGGGATTGAACCACCAACCTTCTGGTTAACAGTGACATACTGACCCATTGCGCCAGGCTTAATTATGGGCAAGTGTTCTTCTAACCTCTGCCCTTTCCTCCAGCAGCCCTTGAGATTTTATCAAGTTGGAAAAACTAGCTTACTTTTGAAACGGGATTTAAAAGGAGGAAGTTGGAAGGTGGGGCAATAAATTATATCGCTTCTGCGAGCAGAATGCTGAAGGCTATAGCTTGTGAAAGAAGTCACAAGGTCTTAAAAAAAAAAAAAAAAGAGCTGTCCCAGCTAAGTCACACACCAGGCTAAACGGCATTTCAGAAATTATTAAGATGTTTTTGCTTTTTAAAAACCCCCAGCAGTCATGTTGTCAATGAGGAAGTTAGCTTTCTGAACAAATTGGCATCTTGTAGAAACAAGACATGAAAACAAAGTCAGTGAATTGAGAGAGAAATGCTAGTTACTTAAGCATAGTTACCCACCAACCACTAAAAGTACTAAAGTTGCTTGTAACATAATGAACACTCCTCATTTTGGCGTATCTCCAGTGGAAAACCACCATGGTGACAGTGTGCTTGCTTTAGTGTTACCCTAAGTGCGCACAGTACCCAAGCATAAGCCATGCAAACTCGAGTCCATGTCATACATAATGGATTGTGCAGTTTTCAACTGTTTGTACAGGTGAAGGGATAGCAATAGGAGGCAAAGGTATTGTTTGCGAGTTAAAAGGTAAAAGATAAAGGACCCCTGGACAATAAAGTCCAGTCAAAGGCGATTATGGGGTTGTGGCACTCATCTTGCTTTCAGGCTGAGGGAGCCAGTGTTTGTCCACAGACAGCTTTCTGGGTCATGACTAAACCACTTCTGGTGCAACGGAACACCGTGACAGAAACCAGAGTGCATGGAAACACCATTTACCTTCCTGCCACAGCAATACCTATTTATCTATTTGCACTGGCGTGCTTTTGAACTGCTAGGTTGGCAGGAGCTGGGAAAGAGCAACAGGAGCTCACCCCATTGTGGGGATTTGAACCAACCTTCCGATCGGCAAGCCCAAGAGGCTCTGTGGTTTAGACCACAGCGCCACCCGCGTCCCAGTAAATCAGGATACCCAAGAGTTGCAGATCAGATAATCCTACTCTGATGCATAATAATAATAATAATAATAATAATTTGTTGGAAGCCGCCCAGAGTGACTGGGGAAACCCAGCCAGATGGGTGGGGTATAAATTCATTATTATTATTATTAATGAAACAAGTTTCTGGCAAGGTTGATTAAACAGCTGAGTTTCACAAGGGATCCATGAAGAAAGTTTAGACAAATTTCCCAAACAAAGCTGAAGACATAAACACATTAGGAGCACACTCTGTTCTAATAAGTGCATCAAGTAGATTAGGTAAAATAGTGGAAAAGTGCCATGTATTTAATTGGGTGCGAAATCATGTCATTTGTACTGACATCTGATTCCAAATATTTATTGTGTCTTATAACATCAGGCTCAATTCACTTAGATTTCCAAACCCCCAACCCATCATGGGTTTTGACCCATGTTAGATGGGGATTCAGTTCCCTAATTCTTAATTTCTGAAGCAAATTCCAGAGATTTCCCCTCAACTCATCACCTCACTCCCCATGCTTACTGTTTTTATACTTCACTGAACCACTCCTCCAATCCACTCTCTAATCTGGGAAATACACAGTAACTCACCTTCCACAAAACCCAGCAGTGAAGGAACAGAGATTAATGAGGTTAGCTGGACATAGCAACAGGAGAGGCAATCATCTCTGTCTTTGGAAGTCTAAGCTTCATAACCTCAGGATAGCTCAGAGGGAGTTTAACGGTGTTTGTGGCCATGAAGAATTTGGTAAATTACAGTGGGGAAAATGTGCAATGTGCCTTAAGTATTTTCTCCCTCATACATTCTAAACATTTGCACCAGGCAGTAAGACATTAAGGAATGTAGGTTGCTTCTGTTCTGATGAAAGAGGCCTGTGTGTCTCTTAAGACAGAGATCTGATTCAACAGAAAAGCGTAGTGCCTCTACTATTTATGGTTAATGTACAACCAAAACAAAGTGCAGAACAGAGCTGAGATGTACAAGTTTTTGATAAAGATTGGGAAGACAAGATGTCAATTTTGCACTAGTGGAATGGTTAGAAATCTGTTTATGGCAAAGTGAGCATATGACTCATAACTTCTCATCCTATGATTATGAAAAATATATAGGGGAACATCAGATATAGAATTGCAGAAGTGCACATAATATTAGTTTTGCATTGTAGAGGCAACCTTTAACAATACTGTTCTCTTAAATGAAAGCACCACCACCATATCCATAGCTCTTAAATAACTTAAAAGGGAGACAAATTATACTGTTTCAAAGAAAGTCCTTAGGCAAGGCTAATAATTAAGAACTCTTTTATTCAATCAGCGAAACCAAGAATTTAAATAAAACCTCTCTTCATTCTAACTACAGGATGCGTACATTTGGGTTCTTGGTTTGTGCATTTCATTTACATTTTCTGCCACTGAGAAGACCAACTCCAGCTTTCAGCGCCATTTGTACCTTATACATTCTTATTGTACACTGTATTTACAGTAATATCCTACAACTTCAAACCATGTTACAGTTGAATGAGATAGAGAGTTTAACCATTTTATGCTACCTTTTCAGACACAGAATTGACTTGCAGGAACATTATACCTCTTGAATCTACGTTGTTAGAGGCTACTTTGTGTCTTTATAAAGGCATCTGAATTAGTCTTTTGTTTTAATTAAACAGATCCTTGTGGTGTATTTATCTTACAGAAAAGCTTGTGCACAGCACAAAATTAGTGCAAAATTGTTTTGTCAGTGCATACATTGGAACAATACGCACTTCAAGATCATGATGTTCTGAACATATTTTTCTGCAGCCTATTTTTAACGCTAATTACAAATATTTAAGAAAGTAACTAATTTTGTAAAGTATCTAAAACTGTTAGACATGAAATGAAATGGTCTATCAAAATACAAGACCCCCCCTGGGGTATATTAGGCTACTGAAGGATTTGGGCTACAAACACAACCAAAACATTTGAGAACTGAATAATCATTGAACACTGGCCCTTTTCTGAGGTGGTTGTTTCTACACTGTATTGCTCAAATCACTAAAAGAATTTGGGATCTAAGATTTGCATCATAGTTGTGAAGAGACACCTTTATCAAAAGAAATTAGTATGCAGTTCATTTTACAGGAGTTGCAGAATTCAGTTATTTGTTCTTGGTCATATCTTCCTAAAACTACAGACAGAAATAAAATACAGGCAGTATATAAAGTTCTGCTTTTGATCATACAAGGCGGGGGTTTTTTACAAACAAAAAAAACCCAACCAACCAAACAGCATTTTAATGTATTTATCAAATGAACTTTGTAGCTTGTGAGGCAAAAACTACACACCCTTTCAAAGCAAATTTCTTTTTGGAATCACAGTCTTCTAGTTTTACAACTCAGGCTTACAGTTTCAGTCTTTTATCAAAACTAGCAGCTGTTCGTAACAGTGGAACAAATGACCAGGCTATTCAGATAGATTGCAAGGCCCTTTGGACACAAATTAGCCTGTTTCTTTTTTTTATTAAAAGTGTTACATCATATTTTATTGTTCCATAAGTGAACAGCTCTGCTGGCATTTTGAAAAATATGAACTTACTGCTCAGACATTTTATTAAATGGTTATATAAAAAATTCTTTTAAAATACATGTAGTTTGGTTTAGACAGCAACTAACTACTATAGATGCTTTATTTTCCTTTCCATAAAGTTTTCCCCCCTCCTAAAAGGCTTTACCACCTGACTTCAAAATTTTGCAGAAATCTTTATTTGTTAGTTAAGACATAATCTGCAAATGTCTGGAAGCATTCCCATCTTCCTGTTCAACCCCATGTATTTCTATTATAAGAGGCTGGAGCAGACTGAATCCCTTATGTTAAGGGACCTGAGGATCTTAAGTGCCACCCTACTAGCTCCCCCCCCCGCAAAGCAAAGCCTCCTACTGCTTAATTGTCAACTTTACTCTGGGTTAATCTTAACCAGCAGTTGAAACCCAAGAACTGAAACTGATTAAAAATCATGGTTATTTATCAAATGCTGCTTGGCATTAGCCATGGTTAACCCTGGTACAGATGCAATTCTTAATCATGCTTAAAGCTTGAGGATGGATAGGGGGCATTACACAAACTTGGGAGAAGTACACAAACTCAGTTCAGGAACAGAAAATACTATATCCATACTGGCCGAAGGTGGCTGACTAAGGAATCCGCCCTCTTCTATGAAAAATTCTAGGACCTTAAACGTGGGTATGAAGAAAAGCATTTCAGATTACAGGAGCCAGCCCTGCAGCCAGTTACATTTTTAAAGAGTTTAGAAATCTGATCACGCTGCAAAGGATCAGACCATTTTAGGTGTCTTAATAATACTAGAATACCGTAATTTTGCTTAACTGTAAATGAAGAAAATCTAATTCTCAGAAACAAATGCTTTCTATTGGATTGTTAAAAATAAATCTATGCATGATTATGTTATACAATATTTCATTCAAAAACAAAATACAAGAAAAAACAAACAAAAACAAAATTTGATTTTCCATTCTTTACCAGATCAAGAAGATACAATGTTCATTTGACTTCACATTATCAGCAGACAGCCTCCTTTCTAGAAATGGTAATACTGACATAATCAAAAGGGCAGAATGAATTCCTTTGGCAATTAATGTCACATCTAACTTGATGAGTCCATTTGGTATGAAATAGTTGAATTCTCTTATCTTAGAATTGCCACTGTAATTATGAACCATATTTTAAATATAGAAATCACTTAATAGAATAGAAAAAAACACCATAGGCCAAGATTGTAGATGATGAGTTTTTGTAGTGCTTGTTTTTTAAAAAACTGATCCTTTATATAAAAATAACAGAAATGCACTTCCTTAACAGCAACTGGGCGCATCTATTTCCTTATTTTGCTTGTTTCAAAACTAGTGCATATTAAAAGGACTCATTCACCATCCATATCAGTACTTGTTCTATGGACGCTGAACCAGCTTGCTCTTGCCCCCTTCTTGTTCACTAAGTTTGAAGTGGGTATAAGCTAAAATTCCAAACAATGTGCATGTAATTCCAAGGCCTTGATTAATTGATAAAGGATCCTTAAACAAGAGGTACCCTCCCATGAGGGTGATGCAGAATTTGAAGTGTCCGAACATATTATAGCTATGCAGATCTGTTAAGGAGCATATACTTGTCAAATGCAAAACATGCAAAGTTCATTTATCCACTTACTTGTATGTTGATACAATCCTGTGGAAAGTTTGGCTGCTTAAATCCTATTGCAGTCAATAGGCTTAATAAGCTGCCTAAAAGTGCACAAGGTTGCAGCCCATGCCTGCTACCTAGGTATCCCCATCACCTGCTTAATCCAACTTCTGATTATTTTGTTTCTATACCTCTTAATAGATCAAAAATATCTGTAAGTGGTGCACAGCACACTGAAGCAACAACAGACAACTTAAACAAGCCTGAGTTCTTACTCAGCTGCATTTTGGGTTTTTAGCTACATCTCAGCTACTATAATCAACACTTTTATGCTTTATGTATAGCAGATCATTACCTACAAACTAAAAATTCATTATCGTGATTTAATTACTATGAAACGATAAATGCATATCCAAGCACTTGAGCACTGAAAAGTTGTGCTAGTAGAATGCAATGCAACTGCTTTCTGGGCACAATTTAAGGGGTTGGTTTTTACCTATAAATCAGACTGTTCCACCATGCTGGCCACTTCTGCCTCCAGTTAAAAAGGATCTCAAGTAGCAGAGCTGGGGGAGACCAGTCTGAAATACTGGAGGATGCTGCCAGTCAGAACAGACAATGCTGGACTTACATGGGCCAATAGTCTGACCTGGTATAAAAAGGCTTCTTATGGCTGGTGGGTTGGAGGATTCTCCATAGCAACTTTTGTGACCAGTGAGGGGTGCGGACAGGAGAGGGTAGAGTAACAGTTACATTCCCCCACCACAGCTGAAGTAGCAGGACTGTGGTTACAAGCCACTGCATTTTTGCAGTCTTGTAATCAGAACAAAACATGTTCGTTATTAGTTGGCTGGCACGCTAATTTCTTTATTAAATATACCAGTGTGAATACTGAAGATATATTTTTTTCAACTGAAAGTGAGAAATAGGACTAAAAAAGAGAAAAGGATACGTGACTGGTGAAGTATTCCCAATGATCCAGTAAATAGATAAGTTCACCATAAAGGCTATGATTCCAGACAGCAGCACCATAAACTGTGGGTAAGTAATAGACACACAAAACCAAACCAAACAAAACAAAATATGAGCACTGCAACGTGTTTTAAGGCATCACTACATTAAAACGTTTGAACAGCTGTACAACATAATACAGTACAGTATAGCAAATTCACAATCAAATAAGCAAATATGGATTGTAAACAAACAAAACCCATACTGGTTTGCAAAGCACAGTGTTCTTCCTGGAAGTGGTTTGAACAGTTACTACAGGAGGCATGAATTCTCTTTGACCCTGGCAGACAACTTTGGGCCTTGATTGGGCCAGAAGCCACAATGCCATTTTTTCATTCCCAATAATTCCACATTAACATAATGGATTCTTATGTTGTTGGCATATACATTGTACAGATGTTAGCTGCCTTGGGAGTTTCAATTGTTTTATGTCACTGCTGGGAAAGGTTTTATTTTTTTATACTGATTTTTATTATTACAGCATTATACTGTATTTTGTATTACTGTATGCTTATATTTTTTTTCCAAGCTGCCTAGAGAATCTTACGTATTGGGAACCACCTAGAATAAATAAATAAATAAATAAATCTAATTCAAATGGAATATTTTATTTTATTTTAAAGTTTTTGTTAAGATTTTTTTCTTTGAAGAGTCTGACATACCTATTCCCAAGGAGGATAGAACCATCAACTTAGCAGCCTTATTACTAGAGAGCATAATGCAGTTCTATCCTATGTTTACTCAGAAGTAAACTCCCATTATATTTGGTACAGTTCCCTCCATGTAAATTCATACAGGATTACAATATGAGATAGGAAGAGCAATACTAACCGGGCAGATACACTAGGGGCAGATATGTTGGCATATCTTCTGTGTAAATCAAGCCCCACTGCTTCTGCCCAAGAGGTCTGTGGCTGGGGAAGGGTAAACATTACTTTACTGCCCTTCCATCAACTCCTATAGAGTGAATTTAATTACACCTGTATTTTGAGTGGTATAAGCTGCACTGACCTCTATGGGCTTTAGAGTTCATGAGTAGCTGGACCTTCTTCATAAAATTCCCCATGATTTCAGTAACTGCATGTCCAGATTTACTTACTTAGGCCAGACTGTAACTGCAAAACTTGGGACACTCCCCCACCCTCTATTTGAAGTGGATGCTCCATAAATTATATTTGGCTAAGTGGTTTCTACTTGGAGCACCACTGTTACTATGGATTATCATTTTGAAGATACTACTCAAATATGCAGGCTCAAACTTTAATTTTTTTTTTTAAAAAGCAGACACAAAACAAAGGCTTACCACAGCAGAAAGTGTCCAGGGACCAAATATTCCACCATCGCCAAATACTGGTTCAAAGAAGGGAACGACACACAACAGCATGCCACAAGACATGGGAGCTTGATAGTACAGCAACTGCATAGAGTTTACCTGTAGCTCATGTTGCTTCGCTCCTACCCACTAAAATCAAGAAAAATACGTTAATAACCTGTGACATCCAAGTGTAATAAGTTGTAAGGAATCTTTTAGCGCCTTCTACAAAAATGATAACGTAGATATATACATTAACAAAAATCTATATGTACATTAGAGGACAGCTAAGCCCAATTTATCCAAATTTGGGAGGAAAGCTGAAACATTTGGAACTTCAAAGGATTTTTCTTTACACAGGCTTAAATGACACAGGGTTGGGGTTTCTGAGAGATTCAGCATAGGTTTAGATCATCAAGAAAAAAATGCCATGTTTAACTACGGAGTCAAATTACTTCCTGAACAAGCATTAATTTTAACTGGTGGTTATAACAAAAGATATTGGTTTGCAACTACTTCATATAATTTATTTATTTTTTTAATCTTGCAGTACACAGAAGCTGCAAAATTGTAGCTGCTTAGAGAGCAGAAAACTATCTGTTTGAATCTCTTCATATGCAATGATATGAATCAAGATGGTGCTTGGAGGCCAAGACTTCTAAATAAGCTTGGAAACATGGCTGGGCTCTGAATTTAATTTATTCATGTATATACTGCTTAGTGTCAAAATAGGCTTCTAAGTAGTTTGCAAAGTATAAAAACTATTTATACAAACACCCACAATTAAATACAAAAGAAAATAATTCAATTAAAACTCCACAGCAATTAAAACAGGTGACTTGGGTCAAGAGACCAAGGGGATGCCTGTGCACTTTCAAAAGCTAGCAGAACACTAACACAAATGGAACCTCTTGTATTTCAGCATAGAGTGCATTCCATAACACTGGTGCCACTAGTGAAAAAACCCACCTCAGCAGCACCACAAACTATCAGACCAGGACAAGATTAACCAGTTTCCATTTGTTGATTTTAAAGCTGTTACTAGGCAATGGAGGGGAAGTCTGTCTCAGGTAACCTCGTCCAGAGTTGTACAGGGTTTTATATTCAATGCGCCTAAATTCCTTGTTCCCTGTACAAGATCAGAACAGAGACTCCTTCCTTTTAGAAAAAAGCAACCTAAATTCAAGTATCCCCTCTCTCATCCCCATTGTGTCTGGTACCTCTTTTGGCCTCTTAATCCTAGCCAGTTTATTCAGAAGTTAACCCACACTGGGTTCTTTGGGCCTTCCTCCCTAGTAAGTATGTTTAGGGCTATAAGCTCCATATATCACTTATAAGACCTAACTTCAGACATTTCCCCGTATTTCTTTTTACATAGAAAAGTAGCCTTTAAATCAATGTGTTTGAGAGATGGCCATGATTGAGTTTTATGAGACTGTAAGCGTAAAAATGTTAATATGTTGGTTTGTTTAAAATCCAGATTTCACTTTGAATAAATATTGCATATTTAACCCCAAAATAAAGAATGTAGCCACATAATACACATTTGCCTACTGCTTGCAGACAAATAGTTTGGTGTCAATGACCACGGTTTCGTATTTTACAGTTGTCAAGAGTGGTAAATGCACAACAATATATTAGTGGAGGACCTGCCATCTGAGATAGCCAGAAAAAAGGTAGAAGATTTAGGTGTGTTACATCAAGACAGTTATTATTTTGAATCAAAAACTGCATATGATAGTAGAAGGTCATTTTTTTTACTTACCACTTGATAAAGAGATGTCACTAAAACACCGAGGGAAGCAAATACCATGCCAAGAAAGTTAAATTTCACATCATAATAGGAATTTAGGAAAACGCCTAAAGTAATAGGAATCTGTAAAGGAAAGGAAAAAGAATGTTACATGTTCTATGCATTTGCTGCTCATACAATTCAACAGAACAAAACTTTTCTTATCTATAAGCCTCAAAGTCCAAGCTTCAGCTGTCACGTCCAGAGATGCTGTATCAATATATAATTTGATGGAAGCAAAAGAATACTACCAATAAAAGTCACACATAAGCAATGCTATTGAAATGAAAGCAGTTACCACTAAAAATGCATCTCCTACTCAGAACATTGGGCAAGTTTCTGGTGAGATACAAGATTTTCTTCAAGAAACAGCCTAAAAGACCAGTATTTTGCACAAGTGCTGTAGCAATTGCATCACATGCAGCTCACAAATATATTGGCTATGATACATCTGAGGAAATAAACATACAACTCAAGTGTAATTTTTGTTTCAATGCCAATTTTTTTTGCTCTTATGGAAGTTTATGCAAATTCAACCCACATATTAATTTACTACAACCCAAACAATTAAGATTCATTTAATCAGGGAACAGCCCTAACTGGGGGGGGGGGGTGCTTAATATGCTTTTCTAGTTTTTTATGCCTCTATTGTATGGTTTTTATCTTTTCAGTGTTGTAAGCTGCTCCGATATGTTTTGTGCTTTAGCGACATATACTTTTATAAATAAAAAAAATTAACAGCATGGTTAGCAATTCTTAACTGAAATGCACTGATATTGAAAATGCAGACATCTCACTACTTCCTATCCTTTCTTATCTCCTATACTTCACAACCTCAGCTGTCCACCTTCTCCATGAGCTTCAGAAGACCAGCATACTGCACTATGCTTTTGAAAAAGGGAAGGGTCACCCCTTATTTAACAGGACTGGACCAAGAAGGCATTTGCCTTCCCGGAACATCACTTCCCTGCATTAGAAACGGGCAATCCGATTCTTTCACTCAGAACCAGCGAGCAGGGTCGTCTGCGCCAGGCCCTCCTATTCGGCAGCAAGCCTGTCTAGGGCAAACGCAGTAAGAAAAAGAAAGGGCCTCTGAGCCTGTGCAGAATGAATTAACGGCCTTCATAAACTGGGACAGGAAAAAAGGCGGGAGAGGCTTCCGGGTAGCCCTTCAGTAGCCAAAGCTCTGGTTTTTTGTGCGTAGGGGTGCCAACTTGAATAAAATTATGGGGGGGGGGCAGGTAAGCCCCACCCCACATAATGGATCACATGATCACTATTTGAATGGCAATGCCTATTAAATGGGGGGGGGGCTCAAATATTTCATTGGGTGGGGGACGAAGACCCCCTCGGCCCCTAGGAGTTGGCTCAAAGTGTTTGAGGGCAGCGATCGCCTCGACGTGCGAGAGCGGCTGGCTCCCCTTTCCCTCCCCCCGGGCCTGAGGAAGGGTTTCGGGGGCCGCTCTGCCGGTGCGCAATGGCCCCCCTCCCGCCCTGGCTCTCTGGCTCCCGCCCTTCTCCTCACCAGGGTGAGCTTGATGCGGGCGGGGAAAGTCTTTCCGTAAGCCACGCTCTGGATGAGGACGATAACCGGCGTGGTCATGGCCTTGGCCAGCTGGTAGGTGCCGATGGTGTTGTTCTGCAGGGACAGATTGGTGAAGACCACGAAGCCGCAGAAGCTGAGCGCCAGGGGCAGCACCTGGCGGGGCCGCAGGCTCTTCGGGGAGAAGATGCCCAGCGCCTGGCACACGTACAGCCCCAGCCAGGTGACGGCGAAGTGCACCAGCGTCAGCGTCAGGTTGGGGAAGCCCATCCGCACGTACAGCCACTTGTTCAGGAACACGATGCAGATGGACGCCGCCAAGTTCACCAGCAGACCCGCCGCCAGGCGGCCCCGCTCCAACGCCGGGCCCATGCTGCCGCCGGCCTCCGGGCCCAGCTCCTCGTCCGCAACCGGCGAGGCAGCCGCAGTAGCCACCGCTGCTGGGTGGTAGGCGGCGGCGGCAGCAGCAGCAGCAGCAGCACTGGCCGCCGCCGCCACCACCACTACCACCGCCTCGCCCGCCCACTACCGGGCCACGTGGCTCCGGCGTAGGATCTTCCGGGGCCAACAGGCCGCCGGCTCCGCCCTGGCGAAGAAGCAGCTCGCCTTACGGCGGCCTCTTTCCCCTCAGACACTCACACGGGGAGGAGTCCCGCCCCTCTGGCAGGCTTAGCGGAGAAGAGCCCTCGCCTCTCCCTCCGTAAGAACAGAAAGAAAGGAATCCTTACTTTTCCCTTTAGCTCGGGAGAAAGGGGGCGCCTGTGCATAGCTGTCAACGTTTCCCTTTTTTAAGGAAAATTCCCTTGTTCCGAATAGGATTCCTCGCAAGAAAAGGGAAAAGTTGACAGTCATGCGCCTGTGCCGAATTGCGAACCCGCCTCGAAGGATTCGAGCGGGACCGTTGCCGCCCCTGAGGTGAGCTCGCGCGTTCGAACGACGTTTCGAATGCCACGCCCTTAACGGCTGTTTAACGGCTACGCACTGCAGAAGGCGCCTTAACGCAGCCCTGTTGTGCCGCAGTTGCTGGCTCTCGGGCAAATGAGTGACCGGGACGACTGAAAAGCGTTGGACTAGTGGGGGGACAACGGAAAAATAACGGCTCCTTCCCCGTTTGACAGCGTAGCCAGCAAAGGTGGTGCATGGCTGAAACTCTGAAGATGTATTTATTTTATAGCGGCCTTCCAGATTTCCCCCGCCCCCAAACTCCCGTCCTGACCATTAGGAGTTGGCTGTCCAAAAGAAGCTGGAAGGTCCCAAGCTGAGAGGTTGCTTCAGGCATTGCAGAATCTTCTAGCTCCAGGCAATGGCGTAAGAGACAAAATACTGGAGGCATTTCCATGGGCTGAATTGCCAGGAACGATTTGGAAGGGCACAAGTCCGTATCAGGCTGTTGTTTTTTAATATATATATTTTACACACATACATACACCCCCCCTATATGTAAATAGGTCTGGTTCTTTGTTTCCAAACTGATAGGCACTCAACTACTCAAGGTCATTATTAGAGGGATTACTGAAGAAATACCAAAATTTGAGGGTGAGCTGAGCTAAGACCGCCTCATACATAAGATCCTTTGGGCTTGCAACAATACAAGTTGTCTGCATAAATATACACACTCACTGGCACCTACCAGTCATTTTGTGTTTATAATGAGACTTGTAGGCAAGAACAGCATTTGTGAACTAGAAAAACAATAATTTTTTTTCCTACAATAGATTTTGTCATATCCTTGTCCCTGTCTGGAGCAAAATGTGAGATATAAATAAACATAACGGTATTCTAGCAGAGTCCACATTGTTTCCATTATCAAATGGAACTATGTTTGCTTGTAGTTGCTCAGTTGGTAGAGCATGCGATTCCTAATCTCAGGGTCATGGGTTTGAGCCCCACACTGGGCAGAAAAATTCCTGCATTGTAGGTTAGACTAGATGATTCTTAGGGTCCCTTCCAACTTACAGTTCTATGAGTCTATGAATTAACAGTGTGAGGTGTGTTAATCTGAATTTATATGGTTTATCTCTGTAGATCATGGCATAAGGTTGACATAATTCTAATATGACATGAGACCTTCCATGATGAGTTTTGGTGACCGTGGAACAAGCCTGAGTCCAGCTCCCTACTGAAAGGCATTCAGGAATATCCTGAGTTCACACACATCTGACTTAAGGATTAACACATGCAAATTTAGTTGTCAAGTACAGTATACTCAACTCAATGACATTGTGGAGAGATGGTCAGGTTCAAATAATGGTTTACTATCAAAAGTCTTTCGCCCTTTTGTTAAGCAAACAGGATGGCCAGTTTAAACTATTTCTCACCAATTATGGAAATTGTAGGAACCACTCATTTCACAGCCCTGTCCCTTCCCCACCAACAGCAAATAGACCACCACACCACATCCCCACAAGGCACTCCAGGGGCAGGGCCTAAGGACTGAGCCACTTCAGGATCTTGACAGCACTGGGCCAAAGTGCTATGCCAGCTCCAAGCTGGTGTGCCTGCCTCCTCACCCTCTTTCCCAGCTAGCATGCTCGGCAGAGCTGCCAGTGTGGTGCTCCAAACTCCAGTAAACCCCACTGGGAAGTGGTGTGAGCTAGGGTTGCACCCTAAATTTTCAATCTGTCCTTGCAATGGATTATGGGTACTTTTTCTTGATAATCAGAAATTCTGTCAAGTAAGTAGCCCGACACTAAGGCTGGAATCCCAGTGATGTTTGTATCCTAAGCCTCCATTGTTTTAAGCAGCAGTGTTTTATATAAATACATGTATATATCTGGAATGCTTCACTCTCACTTGAAAGTCACACAAAGCCTTTGGTTGTCAGGCTGAATATGGAGAAAGGGCTTCTGTTCTGAGAAAAGGTGCACAGGCAACAGGATTTTTACCTGGAAGACAGTAAGCTGTACTCATGAACAGCTGTGAAGGTTTAACCATGTGATCTAGCAAACAAGAGGCATCTATTTATAGTGCATTTTGAACATTTATGTGCTAAAGATACTTATTTCCTAGTAAACGAGTCATTTCAAATTTTATTGGAAAAAAATACAAATGTCAAAACGGTTTGTCATTTTACATACATAGAAAGTCATTTTGCTAGTGTCAATGCACTGCAACATCTTTAAAACAAAAATTCTATGCCAAACTTCGTGCGTTGAATCAAAGGTTTCCTTCCCCTTTCACCTGGAGTCTGAGAACCTTTGGGCCCAACCTTACATTTACTTGTGCCACCGTTCAACATTTTTATAACCTAGAATGGTGGAACTAAGACTGGATTTCATATCCAAGAGGATCAAGACCTTGATCCAAAAGCATGAGGGAAGACTCCCTTAGCTTCTGCAGCAGCTTCTGGAGTTCATCCTTAGAAAATACCTGAAGAGGAAGATAAGAATAACTTAAGGGTATAGATACAGATACCACTGTAAGCATTTATTATATGAGGAAAAAAGTTAAACAGTCTAAGTACAGGAAAGGGTGGTGGTATTTTATCTAAAATAATCCTAAAACATGGGGCTGACAATTTTAATTCAGTTCAGAAATGCTTTTTTAAAAAAGATACTCTCCCAAAAATATACAACCGGGGCCCCACCTGTGCATTCCCTAACTAGAAAGTTGGCTTTCTCGAAAAACCCCCCATTAAAGTACATAGTCATAAGGACTGTTCACTCTCATGGGTGCTATACTGACTGGGACTGTCTGTTCCTTTATTCTGTTAGTGTACTAGTGTCCTGCATTATTCCAATTTATTTTGGAAGTGCTAAAAGAAAGCCCCTAAATAAACATACAGTGTTGTATCCAGTACTGCACCAGCAGGGTTCCACTAGTGCTATAAGACTTAGGTTGCCCTGCACCCCCTCCAGATTTGCTCTGAAAGGTCAACCAACTCTTCACAGCTAATTTTGAGGGCATGCAAGTGTCTGGAGAGGAAGTTCTGTTATGCGCACCTAACCTCTTTGTGCCAGCAGAGCTGCAGTGTTGGATGTGTGCCACACCCAATTTCTTCCCAGAAATTTTAAACACTATTTGATAGTGTGACTAATGTATTGTGTGCTTTGGAATTTGACAAATACAGACAATAAGACAAAAGAGCTTGTTACAGTGTGGATTATTTCAGCTAGATAGGCAAGCAGAGTATTTAAAACTTAAAGCAAATGAACTTACCATGTAGAGTTTATGTCGATCTGATGAAATCAAGTCAGCAAGCCTTAGGTCTTCCTGATACTGTCTTGTGCTATGCAATACAGTATGAAGGAGGAAGCACATCATTGGCAAACAGAGTTTTCGCAGCATGATCATCTGATGGGTACGCTCAGGGTCATCTTCAGCACCCTTGGTAAGAAAATGTGGAATAGTCTTAACCAGAAGTGTCACATTCAGTTTTAAGAAACTCTACTCTAGTGTTTAACAATCATATGGAAACTCAAAATTGAAACATAATGCTAAATCCTGCACCAACACAACCGTCATGGGAGGTTATCAGTGGCAACTAGTCATGAAGATTATATTATCTCCAGTGTCAATGGCAGTATGCCTCTGAATACCAGTTGCTGGGAATCACAACCAGGACAGTGCTGTTGCGCTCATGTCCTGCTTGTGGGCTTCCCATAGGTAGATAATTGGTCAATGAGATAACAGAACATTGGATGAGATAGGCCTTTGGTCTGACCCAACAGGGCTCTTTGTATAGTCTTAGGATGCTGACCTCCAAAAACTAGCCAAATTAGAAGATAGTGCAATAATTCAAATTTACAGTTTGAATAAAGTATTAGCATTTTAAAACCATAGTTGTCATCTTTCAGTTATTTCTTAAATAAATCTTAAATATTCCTAGGTTTTCCACGGAACAAGCATTACCAAATCAGCAATCAAGCCATAGGTAAACGAAAACTAAGCAACGGCACTGCAGCATGTTAGCCTGGGAAGCAATACTGCTATCCTATTACTGGGTAGGGGCAGCTTCACAGTCTACTTCAAATATGTATGCACTACCTCTCTGACATCAACCATCCATCCTCCATCAACGAACAGCAAGACATTGTACATTTTTTCTTTCACATCAGCTGTAAGGGCATCCAGGAGACCTTTCCAAATACCATAGTCCATCTGAAAAAGAAAAGTCAAAGTGAATCTTTCAAATCTTCATAACACACATTGTTTCTTCACCACAATGTATTGCATGCTTTTCCATTAATTTAGGAATAAGCTCAGAGTGGGAGTGTTACAGCACAGGTTGTTCCAGAGTAAGTGGTGCAGCTGACATTCTTCTACACTGCACAGTTTTAACAGTTTGCCTCTCTTCTGCAAAAGAGCAGCAGATTGCTGGTTATTTAACTGCAGTTGTCAATGTGCAGTTAAATTTGCCAATGAAGTGGAACCCAGAGTTTTGTCTTACCCGCTTGTTAATATTATGAACTGGGTCTATCCAGTTTAATTAGATGACTTCCATTAGTCCTAAGCTGGCACAGCCGATCATTCAAGGTTGATATGAGTTGTCATCCAACATCTGGATGGAATCACATATGTGATCTCACTAGCACAGGGTTAGCCAATTGGCAAGATAGAAGGATGGGAGAATTTTACCTTTCCTTTCTATTTACCTCATATTTCTTCTCTTTAAGTTCATAGGCAACTTCTTCAGTGAAACTTGCTTGTAAAAGCTGACCAGGCTTCTGTGGCACCGAGTTCATGTGTTTAAACCATTCATTGAAGGCTTCATGGGCTTCCTAAATTGGGTTGGAAATGTTTAGACATTTTCATGTAGGTAAGTGTACACAGTTAGGCATAGTAATGGGTTTGTTGACATCCTGATCCTTGACAGACTATTAAATATGCATCTGAAGACCATTGATTTAGAGGAGATGGGGCCTGGCTCTAGAATGTTAGGGTCTTTTTTTAAAAAAAATGGGTCCATATGCTTGAATAGAGTGCATTCCTCTCATGTCTGAGTAAGATTAGCCCACACTCAACATATCTGATTAGAAGGCAGGTCTTCTAGGTATCTCTTTTTGGGACCTAAGTCACAGTCTTACCAGGTAAGCTCTAATACATAAATGCTCTCTAATAGCGTTGTCATCTTCAGCTGGAAGTGGACTATCCATTCCTTGCTCTTCCCATTGATTGTATATTTCTGCTATAGAGTCTTGTGGAATCTTTATAAACACATCCTTGGCTGCTTCATGTTTCTTTGATGCTGTATTTAAAGAGTATCAGTAAGTCATTTTCAGATTCATCATACTTCCTTAATATTTTCTCTAGTTTCAAACTGATGGCTAATATTGTAGTACCTAAGAATTTCCTCATTATAGCATTGCTTTGTTTTAGTGCTTCAGCCCTCTGAGCAGGATTGAATACCAGCCAGTCAATTACATCAATCTTCAGCTGATCTTCCTAGAAAAAAAAGTTCTCTATTCAGTATATATAGTAAACAAATTTACTAGTCAGCTTTTGAGGATACAAAACAAATTAAAGACAGTGGTCACAATCTAGAAAACTACATGACTCGCTTAGCATGGCAAGCAGAGCACTAGACCTATGCTTCTCTAACAGCAGATTTCCATCATTGCGACAAAATGCATTTAAATCTTCAGTGTTTCAAGAACAATTTGTGACTAAGGCATGAGTATTACTGTTCCAAGAAAAAGCTTTGTTTGACTTTCAAACACTCTATGGTATGTCCAAAGTACCTCTCTGGGTGGTAACCACAGATTTCACAATATAAAATCTAATATAATGTTACTTTCATAGTAACTTTTCCATGGATGCCTATCAAAATCTTTACTTTCAAACAGTGGAAGTATTTAAAAAATTAGCAGTTCACTATTAGCCAGCCTCATCCACAATTCATTTGGAACATAAAATTTGAGTTATTCATCCGTAATCTTGGCACAAATAATGTTTAAGTACTGGTGAAAAGCCATACAAATGTGTATTTTGGTGGACAGCAGAAATTACAATTAAACACTCTCAAGAATTGCAACATGAGAAAATAATCCCAACTCTCCCCTTTTACCATAGCTTTGGTCTGAATCCATGTCAATACTAATACTATGAGCAGTACTTGGCACATACTGCGGTCAACAGAATACAAGGGATACAATTTATTTTAGAATTATGAGTATCTCTTCCACAGCTGCTGATTTCCCCCTCCCCGCGTCTTCTCTATTTGGGGAAAAAGTGTTAAGAAACACAGTTAGCACCACCGTTCACCTCTGTTGTGCCTGTATCTATTGCAAGATCATGATGAGTGAACTCGCTAGCATCTTTCTTGCGAATATTTTCAACAACCGTTTTAGTGATAGTTGCTACTTCCAGACCTTTAAATAGAAAAATATACAAGAGTTAGATATGAGGAAACAGGAGGACTTTATAGGAGGAAATTTTGGTTTTAAATAAATGTCACGAAAGGAAAAAAGAAGGGCACATCCACTGAGCAGGAGTACCAATAAGGATACATCAGCAATATTGATAAATATGCTCAGTTCGGTTAGATTGGTATTTTTCAAGAACAAAGGGTTGTAGAAAATGGTGGTGAGGATTTCATAGCAGGGCAGAGTCTCTCTTTAAAAAATTAAAACAAGTTTATGGGTGCTTCAAAACTAAATCCAATGCTGAACAAATTTAAAGTTATTATTTATAGTTTTGTATTCAACTAACTATTACTCAGAGTGGACCCGTGACTAACTTAGGTGTATTAATTTAATTTTGTGTTCTTAGACTAAAAGTTAGTTGAATACAATTGGTAGTATATACGACAATTGAAATACTGCAACTTGGACATAGCTGCTTAATAATACTTGCCCACTTAAAAGATGTAATTAAATGTTCCCCAGGAAAAGAGAATACCACTCCCAAATAAATCATTCACAAAATTTCTTACCTGCCTCCTTTGCTAACTCTAGGCAATGGTGACGTTGTTCTGTCTCCGTGACATCTTCCAAGAACGCAGCATACTGAGCAATAGCTACATCCTGAGGCAAGTGGCTGACATAAAATGCTATAAGATCTGTGTGCTTCTCACATATTAACCACTGCAGCATAAAAATAAATTTAAAAAGAAATTTGTTTTATTGCATTGCCCAATTTATATTTCATTTGTGCACACGAGAGAAAATCAGAATAATTTATCTCTACATGTTTTTAAAAACTGATGCTTTTTTTTCTTTCAACAGTTATTCTAATGACACTCTGCAGTTATGAAGACAATCCATAAGCTATTTGTATAAACAATGGTCGTCCTTGTGAAGGTGTGTTAAAAATAGCCAAAATATTTCAGCAAACGGTTTGCTATTTGTGTTTCCATTTTAAGAAATGAAAACTGTTCTAGTAATTTTAGAGCTTATTGTAGATGATATATTGCATCTAAAGACTTACCTGAATGTATGTTTTCAAAACGTCCACCGATACCTCCTCCTTAATGGAAAAAGTTACTAGGTTTAATAACATTACTTAAGAATGTCAATTAAATTTCCAAGTCACTGTTACCTTTCTATACTATCTGAAAATCGCTAGTTACATCCAGGTCTCTTTAAGACAAATGACTGAGTCTCGATTGGAACCAAATGAGTTACAGTTGAGCATTGTCAGATGTCAGGCATTCCATAACAGGTGACACTATTCTTACCATGTGATATTTGATTATCACTCATTCCATCTTAATACCTCTGGGAAGGAGAATAGCTTTGCAGCATCAGCAAAAACTAAACTGGAAATTTGTTACATTACAACTGGAGTTTTGTTATATTAACCTTGCACGTTTCAGGGATAGACAGAAAATGAAGACTATGAGGATACTGACGTTACCTCACAGACAAGAAAGGCTTTAGTTCTTTTATGGATATTTACTTGTACAACAGGACCTGATTTTCCCTTAATCAGCAGGTTACTCCCGCTGTAGAGGTACAGATATTGTTTGCTTACACAGACATACATCTTTTTTACCATTCCCTCATTATTCTATATCTACACAAAACGTTATGGGTTTCTTGCTTAGCCCAAACTTTACTTGAAAGGAAACCATTTAACTAGACAAAAACAAGTGACAAATTATGGTGGAAAAATACATATTGCAAATTATTCTTTATAGCATGCATGGGGAATCTCCTGCCCAAAGGCCAACTTGGCCCGTGAGGTCATCCCCCTCCATGTTTGACATAACATCAGATGTAGAGCAGGGGACGCCATGGCTACAAAGGAACAATGTGGAGCCTTCAAGTGCACTCCTGATTGTTCCTCTGCAAGTGGGGGCTTGTTTGGTGTCAAATGCAAGCCCCCTGGGACAGGGTCTCCTAAGTGGAGCTGATCCCTGCTGCAAGTAGGGTTTTGCATCCAGGACTTCAAATCCAGAGCCAAATGTTAGCCTGCTGGGATTGTGAACTCCTGATCAGAGCTGATGTGTGCAGCTGATCCATGCAAAGGAACAAAGAATTTTTACAAAGCGTAATGTTTCACCTAATGTCAGATGAGCAACCTCATTCACCTGTCTAAGTAGCCTGCCAGCTCAATACAGTTCCCCATAAGTGCTTTATAGTCAAATATCAATTGCGATGTATAGGTGCTTTCTGTTGAAACAGTTCTCAGACTACTATTTTTAATTAAACTAGCATTACATGCCAAATATGGCATGCTTCTTTTTACTACTAGCAAAATGGGGAGGGGAAGAAGCCACTAAAGAATCACTAGCAAAAAGTTTTCTCTTTGTTGTGTTGCTCTGGTCTGTTTCCCTTCCCATCTAGCTCTTAAACCCAGCTTGGTAGCTGGAGAAAAAGAATGATTAGGTTGCACAAGTGAAAGGAGAGGAACCACCACTTCTTTCCTATATTCCAGGCACCATTACAAGAACTTACTTTAGTCTGTAGTCCCAAAGTGCGGAAAAATAAAATGAGATGTGTCATGAACCGAAGCAGGTGCCCTGGGAGCACATTTCTGTCTTTGGAGAGCCATTTGTTAAATTCTTCCATCAAACCTGAGAAAATAACAAGTTTCAATTCACCTTACCACTAATAAACAGATATTTGGGGGGGGGGGGGGCTTGCTGTGCTTTGCTTTAAATGGACAGTGTAAATCAGGGGTCGCCACCCTTTTTGGACCTGCAGGCACAACTTAAATTTCAAGAAAGTGCTGTGGGCACTAATCATAAAATAGCTGCCATTGAGGCACAGCATAACACAAAATTAGTGAAAGTTCAATTATCACTAAAGCAAACTTACCATCCACATCTCCCAGGATAATGAACTTCTGAATCACATGATAATGTTCTTGATGCTCTTCCAAAACTCTCTGAAAAGCAGTTTATAATTTGTGAAGACACACCATATATCCATAAAGATTCAGACAACAAAAGAGGAAGTACTTCTTTGCAGAACACATGGTTAAATTTTATTTTATTCACCTCTATTTTAAATAAAACCAAGGTAAAATAGAAAAGAAATAAATACAAAACAAAAGTAAAAAACAAACCAATACAGAATAAAAAAAGAAAAGCAGGGAGAAGAAGATGACCTATTGGTAAATTGCGGAAATAACCTTCACCCTATTTTTAGAAAATATGAACATTAAGTTCTTATTTTCATCCAGAATGGATACACAGGAGGAGACCATTTTGTGCACAACTGATTGAGGAGTAACCGTGATGTGTGCACTGGTTTCGGCAGTGGAATGGGGTGGGATGGGCTTATGCATGACTGCTGACAAGCGCAATGACCCAGAACACAAACTCCGCACAAACAAGGAATTGCCTGTATTCTGAGGTTCAGGTACATCCAATATGCATAAGTAATCCACAAGTGATAGCCAAAAAAGGTAAGGTTGCTAGGGAAACACTTTCCTGAGACCTAGGTAACTTTCATAGTATGGAACTGCCTGCAGACTTTTGGGCTTGAATTATACTATTAACTATTTAGGGTTTATGTTATAGGATTATATTAACTAATTAGGATTAAGGCTGCACTCCCATATCTATTTACCAGGAAGCAAGCCCCACTGAACATTGAGGAATTTATTTCTGAGTAAACATATACAGGACTGCCTTGTAAAAGTGTGCAATAAAAGAAAAAAAGTTTTCTCTCTTCTGATTAAGATTCAAAATTACCTTTTTATCTGTTGCTTGAAGTTCTTCAAACACCTTTTCTAAAGTCCAGCTTCAAAATATAAAGGGAAAAAAATACATTCAAACATGTAAGTGAAACTGCAGTTAACAGCAATTAATCCAATATTACATAATGGCTAATTAACTAACAAATAATAACTGACTTTGTTTCTAAATACTCTCTGGGGAGGTCTTCTGTCTCCTCTGTGGTCATCACCGATGAACGGATTTCCTCTTCAACAAGTGTGTCCACCATGATCCTGAAATGTGCCCAAACTGTATCTTCCCAGGTGTCACAAACTGGAAGAAGCTTTAGGTTGGCAAAGGAAAATAGAGAGAGCCAAAATTAATAGTTCTGGAATAAGCATATTAACAAAAGATGTGAGCTAGCCTGGCTGCATTCAGATTTCAATGTAAGCCACTGCTTATTATGACAGGAACAAGCTGCATGCCAAGAAGCTTGTCATATCGCAATGCACGTGTGCTAGTCTCAACTTATGTTTTTATCTCTATGTGAAATCATTAATAATGCTAAGAATTAATAGGAAATCCAAGAGAACTGTATTCAAAATGTCATTAAAATGTTAACAGTTTTTGAGCACAAATAAAGGCTAGCCTAGCTTGTTTGCCTGCTACTACAAGCAAGCACAAACTTAGCTGTAGTAAATTCCGAGCACTATCTTCTGGTATAAAAGGAAGTAATCTACCCTATTTGTGAAGCCCTGAAAGACCTAAAAGCACACAATACTTTTTAGAGTTTCCCAGTCACAGCAGCCTGTGTGTTGGCTGTTCTCCGTCTATTCTGCTAAGCTGTCTCAACAAGATGTTATTTAATTAATATATATCATACCTGTTTGAGGTTTCCACTGAGTGCTGCATAGATTGCTCTCTCGTATTTGTCAAACTGCTCCTAAAATTGTTCAAAAATATTTATTTGTGATCATTATATTTTGTTTATAGCTATTTAAGAAATGTACTAAACACTAATTCACTCAATCATGATACTCGGTATCTTCTGAAAGGTTCAGAGAACAGTTAGTAATATAGCATTAGTTAGTTAATCAAATACATCAGCCACCACCAGTATACTTAATTCAGCATCTAATACAGGAACCATTAACTTCAATGGGTCTACTCTGAGTAGGACTGGCATTGGTTACCACCCCGTCTCCAGTTCCTTATTTGTTAATAAATTAACAATTTCTATTAATATCAATTGATTAGCTATTACATAAAATACTATTTAGTGGCAATAGATTATATCCAGCAACAGTAAGACCTCCACCAATGGAATAGAATAGGAAGCAATTTTCAGTTATTCATCCTTCAGCTACCACAAAACTGCCCAGATCTGCTGCAGAGGGTTGAGGTAACATCCAGAACAGTTTTAGGGAGATGTGGGCGACTGCAGAGGGAATAGCTGAAAATTGCTTCCCTTTCTGTTCAGCTGAGAGACACTGTTGTACACAATCCAGTATATACTGAAAGTCAATGACAGAAAAAAATTCCTTAAACAGAATCTGTTACAACTACATGCTTCTTACCTTTTCTGCCAGTCTCCAGCAACTTAGTTTCCAAATACATCTGTATGGATTCCCTTCTACAGGTTCCAGCTCTGTTCCTATGTGTAGAGAGTAATTTTATATGTGGTTAATTCAGTAACTTAGGAGAACTGTACTGTCCAGCAAAAGATCCACTTTCAGTTTCTCTGAAACTTTCCTCAAAGAGCAATCAAGATGCTGAAGGCTATCTAATCTGATAAGCAAAGCAGTCTCACTATCCTACTACAGCTATGTTCAAGTAAGAACAAAGGGTACATCTAAATGAGAATGCTGATAGAGAAGGAACGCTGGTAATGAATCGTGCATAGGCTCTATTAGATAGTTTACTGCAGGGTCCTCAAGCCTTTCAACTGGTGACAAGAGCAAGCCAGCAGTTCAAGCTGGAGTTATCTTGTTTCTTAGCAAGAGCACAATCTGCACAGACTTGGCAGTGTATCAAGACTAATGAGCACAGCGGCTCATCCCCGGTAGGTCGTCTTCCCATAGATCAGTTGCCAAGACAGAAAGTCCCCACCTCTCCAGAGTTTTTCCCAAGCAATTGGAGACTGTGTTGTATCAACCTCTTCAGCTTCTTGCACCTCCTCCTCCCAGTCTCCTCCCTCTTCTCCATCTGACCACTCATTTTTGTCCCATCACACATTTGGGTACTTATGTGATTCCTCCTCCCATTGCACCCTCAATTTAATAGATAACCTATTGGGTCGATCAAGCTAGTTTGATGTTACATTTGAACTGGCAGATAGGGTTGAATTAGTCCTTCAAACTAGGACTTTAATTCCTGTTTTGCAGTCCTGTTTCAAGGGCCTCACTCAAACTACAATTTCGATATAACTGCAAACAGTGGTTTGCTCAAACCAGGATGTTATCTATTTAGTCAAGAGTGCAAGCGAACAAGAGAACATAGGACTCATTACAGCTCGGGTCAGCAACCTTTTCCAGCTGTGTGCCGGTCCACCATCCCTCAGACCGTGTGGTGGGCCGGACTATATTTTGAAAACAACAATGAACAAATTTCTATGCCCCACAAATATCCCAGAGATGCATATTAAATAAAAGGACACATTCTACTCATGTAAAAACATGTTGATTCCCGGACCATCCACAGGCCAGATTGAGAAGGCGATTGGGCCGCATCCAGCCCCCCGGCCTTAGGTTGCCTACCCCTGTTATAGCTCCTCCAAACAATGATTTAGAAGATCAAAAACAAGAAGTCTGAACATAGCCTGTTCCTGGATATCAAGATCTACCTGCTGTTATGCATATTCAATCCAAGATATCTGGACCCTTATTCCAAAGAAAATACCTAGGCAGGGATTATAGCTAAGACTTTATAAGCTTATCCTATCCTCTTTTTGCTAGATGGACCCTAACCACTTCATCAAATTTTCACTAAATTTGATGGTGTGCATCTTCAGATGGTTCCAGAATAAATCTTTGAAAAGATAGGTAAAATGAACAAATGTGCACACAGGACCATGCATCTTTTTTCCAGTTTTTGTGTGTCTCATTTAAGTACCTCCATTTACATTAGGATCATGGTACAGCTTCCACCCTTCAAGCGTTGCAGCTCTCCAAGCCTGTCCACATCTTTTGCACAATCGTTGGGCCTATAAAGTAAGCAAAGGGAGTGGGCGAGTTTTGAGAGAAACACATTTACCGTATTTTTCCATGTATAAGACACCCCAATGTATAAGGAAACCCCTATTTTTTTTAACTGAAAATTAAGTTTTTTAGCTTTTTTGGGGGGGGAAGGTTAGTTCCACCAATCGCACACCTGCCTGCCCACCACTTGCCACAGTCATTGCCAAATGCACACCTCGCCACAGCCACCAATTGCCTGCCTGCCTTGCCACAGCCGCCAATCGCCTGCCCAATTGCCACAACCACCAATCACCTGCCCAATCGCCGCTGCCAATCTCCTGCTTGCTGCTGCCATTAATTGCACGTCCCCCCTCTGCATTCACTGTCCGTGTATAAGACTACACCCAATTTGTGCCTTTATTATTTTTTTTTAAAGCAAAAAGCATCATCTTATACTTGGAAAAATATGGTGCATTCCACCATAAAACCACATGACATGCAAGGACCTGATTATTGTGATGATGGTGACAATAATGCCGTAGTGCATCTCCAGTCCCCTGAATGAATGTTCCTGTTCAGGGTTCCAGCCACCCTAGATCAGGAGCCCTGAAGTGCTCTTTAGGGCTTAGAAGGATAGTTCAAACAAACCAGGATCAAACCTTGGCTTCAGATCTTGTTTTGCTAACCTACACTTAAAATAAACTAGTTTCCTAAATTAAGGTGTAATAGGAAACAGAGATCAATTCCAAGTTAAAACCAGAAACTTTCAGTCTTTGAGTTCATGTATAACGGGTGATGTGAGGAACTCAAGTTCTATGGCTTTTCTTATAAAAGAGCATGTGCGCTCACACACACACACACATATATATAGGTGGGTGGGTGTGTTTGTAGAACTTTGTAAAGTCAATTTCAGCATTCAAGCAAACAAGCATGTGAAGATAGATAATAAAGTATTTTTTGCAACTTTTGTTTGTGAGTCTACTCTCAAACTTAATAGCATAATCCATACTTATTTTCTCATTTATGTAGTTTATGGCACTTAATAGTATTTTATGGACCAAAGATCTATGTACAAATATGCCCATTCTTCAGAGGTTCCACTAGATGCATGTGCATGCATGTGTACCCAATGACTTACACACACCTGTTCCCCACCCCTTTAAGTAAATGGAAATACATTTCTTTTACCTCATCCGTCATTCCAGCTCTAATGAGAGTGAAAAGGAACTTAAGTAACCGTGCATCATCTTCCCGATCCAAATCATCAAGTGGCATTTTCTGCCTTATCGGAGCATCTGGGTCCTAAATAGAAAAACTGCACTGATTCTTTTCAACTGCAAAAGCACATTTCTCCCTGCATACTGCTTTTAAGCTAAGTCATTGAAAAGGACAGTAGGTTCCTGTTGGAGGCTGTTCTGTTTCCCATTTCCAGAGGGACAACAGTGTTAGTCTCTGCCAGCAAAAACAACAAAGACAGATACATTTACTATGGTGTAAGTTTTCGTGAGCTAGTACATTTCATCAGATGCATAGATTTGCATTAAACCATTATAGGCTACCTTGACTTGTTACATTTCTGGGTTATCAGCCAGAGTATATCTACTCTTGTTTTGGTTTTATTAATTAATTGCCTAACTCTGCATAAAATAGTTGCACAGTAAAATCTCATATGAGAAGACATAGGGTGGACCATAGTTTGATAAAGTAGGGCAGTATATCTCCAGTTAAAAAATATCTACCCTGAATACTGATGAATTTTCATCAAACAGAGAAAACTGCTAATTGTTCAATTAAGGTAGGGGAGAGGAACCTCTGGCATATGGGCCAATCCTGGCCCACCAGGGGGTCTGCTTTGGCCCACAAGACCATTTCCTCCAAACAAAGCCCAACTGCACACCTGTCATTACTGGTGACCTCAACTGATGGGCAGGAGGACAGGATTTAATCCTGCATTGCCTGCAAGATCCTCCATTGCACAGCCAAGGGAGCAGGATTTAATCCATGCTCATCAGTGGAATGGAGATTCCTGTGCAAAACCACCATCTGAAGCAGCTCTCACTCGCAAGCTACTTCAAATAGGTTTTTGAAAGGCTCAAAGACAATTGCAAGGGCTGTCGCAATGTCTTTTACAAGACTCCCTGCTTCTCCTTGATCTTGGAAGCTTAAAAGGGAGGTGGGGGGAGACTTGGAATCTCATCCTGCTCCCCTTTTAAGTCTGATATCAGGGACTGGGGCAGGGGGGGCTTGCAAAGCAAATATGGCCAGCAAGGCAGATCCTGATAATAATCAAGGATCTAAAAAGATTCCCCATCCCTGAATTAACGTCTGGAATTAGTAAACTGCACTTACTAATTCAGTCACTAGTGGCCTTGAGCTCCCAGAGAAAGTGTTTAATTGTCGCTGCTTCAAGATGTGCAGAGTATTCTCCCTGAAAACACAAGGCATATCATTACTTCAACAGCAATACATACTAAAGTAAAATATTCTATTGTCAACACTATAATGCATTAAGGTTCTTTAACAAAATATATTTAATTAATTAGTCCTGATTTTTTTAAAAAACAACAATTAACTGAGCTTTTTAAATTACAGCTGGTGAAAGCTGATGCAGTGTTTCAGCAGACCTGTCTTTAGCAATTCTGTGGTGTAAGAATAATGCACAGCAATAATGTAAAGCGTAATTTTTATAAACCTTTATGAGTTTAATAGATTTGTTAATACCTACCATATTTAAAATAAATTAAAGCCCAATATAAGTAACAATTTTACATAAAGTTTATTCAACATGCTTTTTAGGAATCATCACAAAACTGATATAGCAAAAAAATGCAGTATTTCCATGTCTCTAATATTTAAAGAACAGGGATTGTGTCATGTAATAATTGTATAATATATATATATTCTTGAATCAATTGCTTGAGATGTTTATGTAGAATATGGTATAAAGAACCAGCAGCTTGCACATATCAAGAGTGATCAGTAGTTGGTCAATAACTTACCAATATACAGACTTTGCATAAAATTCAATATTATCAGAGAAGTCTCCAACTTCATCCTTGGCAATGCTCTCTAGCCAGTCTACCACCAACTGAAAATTAAACTAAACTTAACAATAATGTAAAACAAGACTTTCCCCCAATTTCCACTTTGATTATGGGGTAGACAAAGATGCATCAGACCAACACTGTGCAGAGTCCTCTAAATTCTATGGCATTTACTTCCAAAGATGTAGACATAGGATTGCAACCTCTATCAAATGCTGCCCTTTTAAGCCTTGCGAAGAGCAATAAAAAGTTTTCTTGCAACACATATGGGAAGTATCCCATTGGTGTTAAGGAGACTTGTTCCTAAGTGCAGTGGAATCTTGGTTCTTGAACACCTTGGTACACGAACATTTTGGCTCCCAAATGCCAAAAACCTGGAATTAAGTCTTCCCGTTTTTGAATGTTTTTCAGAAGTCAAATGTCTGATGTGGCAGTCAGCTATTGTTTCCGGGGTATCTGCGCCAATCGGAAGCCGTGTCTTGCTTTTCAAACGTTTCGGAAGTCGAACAGATTTCTGAAACTGATTACGTTCTAGAACCAAGGTAGCACTGTAAATGTATCTTAAATGTATATATATTAAAAACAAAACAATCAGTTCTGACCTCTTGCAAGAGGGATGTGTTCTCCCTTGATGGCTTGTTGAACAAGGAGGGAGGGAGAGAATAGTGGGCGGGCCCTTTTCTGATGCCCTAACCACCACTGGCATGTGCCCCCACCCCTGACAGATTACTCCCAAGGGAATGGAGTGCTTGTAGGAAAACATGTTCCACATCCCTACTTTGTGTCATACCTGGCTTTGTCGAACCAATGAATCTCTCTGGAACAGACTGTTTATAACAGTCTTTTCACTAGCATTTATAGCCTAGGGAAGAACAAAACCTATGTTCAAATGACTGAAGCACGATTCATGATCAAAAATTATTTTCTATTTGAAACACTTTGAACACTTTAATCATATTTGACAATTATATGCTTAACTGATCGCTAAACAGTGCAGGTGCTTAATAGGATCCACATCCACTATGCTCTATGAAACTAAGAATACAATATGCTTTATTAGTTCTGTAGTTTTTATCTCTATTATGTATTTTTAACAATGTAATACTACGGTAAAAAGCAATGTGGGTAAGTTGTCCCTTAGTAGAAAAAGACTGACAAAACTTACTGCAAGGTCAAACATGGTTTCTTCTTCTAGAGCAGACTGTATCCTATCCCTGGATTTAAAGCAAAGAGAGAAAAAACAATATTGAGGATTAGCATTGCATGTTATTTCTTAGCTACATATATCTCATTGAAATCCGCAAGTACACATAGGGCACAATTCATACACAATGTCCAGGAGGGTCCTATATCCCCTTCACCCCACTGGCACAGATACAGTGATAAGGAAATTGCAAGGTCTGTGTGCACCTGCCATATCCCCATCCTGGTCTCCCTCCTTGTACCTTACAACTTTTATGTGCTCAAAGTTCTACTGAGGATTTTAAAGAGTTCCTATTGAGGATGCTGTTATAGTGCAGTTAGATTTATTTTTTTAATATTGGACAATATCCAAGGTTAGTCATACTCAGAGTAGGGACACTGATTCTACTCCCAGTATGACTATATCACCCACTGTATTTGGATATATTCCAAAGTAAGTGACATTGTGTCATTCATTCAACTGCCACATCCTATATTGGTTTGCTAATGTCTGCCAAGCACACTTTAACTAACCTAATCACTGGAGGCTCAGGTGGCTGACTTTTTTCAGTTCCAGCTGGTTCACCAGCTAGAACCCCTCGATCAGCACATTGGCTGCGGATGTCTAAGGATACTCATGCAAAATCTTGCAGGAAGGAACTCGGATGGCCCTGTGAGATATTGCGAGAGCATCTCAAACCTGGCATGCTGGGCGGGCCTCTTCCCCTCAAGCAAGGCTAAAAGCAGACTTGGCACAAAAAGAGATTTTAAGCTCTGTCTTGCTTGGATTTAACTTCTGCAATTTCAGCCAGTCAGCCTTCAACCACATATGGATGAAATCACACAAGTTAAATGTACATTAGGTGTGATTGTACTGAAAAGTAAATTTAAGCGTTGAGGGGAAAAAACACAAGCAGGCTTTCAGGAGAATTACCTGTAAATTGAGGATAATAGTCTCCAAGTTACCATCTCTTGCTTGAGAAGCCACAACACACTGGCAGTTTTTGAAAATTTCTGCTGCCCAGGAGTAGCTCGGTACACTATTTTTTGAAGAATGTTTACCTGGTGTTTAAAAACAAACCAACAGCTGGGTTATATCATCTTTTCTTCTCTCACACAATATTTTATTCTTTGTACAGTGGAATTTATGTAGTGCTTTACAACAGAGGTTCGGAACTGGATCCAATCAATGGGTGACTTACATCTATAAAAAGTTCAAAGAGGATTGCCAAAGGGGATTGTGTCCCCAGCACTCTCTGTCAGCTGATTGGTACTGACAGGAAGCCCTGCTTGCAAAGGAACAACCAGGGGCTCACTTGAGGCTCCCTTTTGTTCCATTGTAGGTATGTCCATACCTGCCCCACACTATCGGGCATGGGGTAGGTGACCCTGCTTTATACAGCATAAGTAAAAACAAAGTAATTTCCTGCTGACAGTAAGAAGAATACAAGTAGAGAGGAAGAATGGAAGATGCACTGGTAACGGGATTAATGCAATCAAAGGCAATTAAACAAATGTTGTAGTTAGGGACTAATACAATGTGCTTATTGCTAAAGATGTTCAAATCTTCATCTTCAGCTACAAATCCCAAACAATTACATGAAACTGTAATTTGTAGCTTTATACAAAATGAATCTGTACAGAAGCTATTTTTGAGAGCTCTCTGTATGAACTACAGGCACTCTCAACAGTAACCCTCTTTTCATCTATACGGCTGTGACATTGCCTGTACTACTCTATGCTTATTCACTGAGGGAAAATGATTTTGGTTCAGCAAGTAATGAATACATAAAGGGACATAACAATATACCTGGTTATTGCAAGTATCTTCGTACTCATCTACGAGTTCAAAAATGGTAGTGGATGTGTGTTTTAAAAGGGAATGTAGAAAATCGGAGTACATACTCCTCGTTGCTAGAAGAAGAAACGTGTTAATTAGAATAACCTACTTTAGAACAAGTCTAGCTTGGAACAAGTTCACCTTTATTATATTTTAACACTCGTAGTGCCTATGTTTTGTACATATATTAAAATATATAAAACAAGATTTTTAAAATAGTTGTACACTAAGCACAATGTTTCAAAGCACATTTGATAACACATTCTCCTTTGCAGATGTTCTTTAGAACAATAAAATGGAAGTATTGATGGGGTGAAACTGACATAATCTAAGGATTCCTTAAAGCAGTGGTGGGGAACCTCAGTTCCCACCATCCCTGACCACTGACCATGCTGGTTGAGGCTGATGGGAGCTGGGAGTATAGCAACACCTGGAGAGTCACAGGTTCTCCATCTCTGACTTAAAGGGGGGGAAGTCAAACATTAAGACACAGGAAAAGAAATGTAGCTAAATAAATTCTCAGCACTACAATCCTGAAATCTTGCACCAAAAACAAACCCAGAACAACTGTACAAAAAACAACATCAGGCCTGTGGAAATGTACAATGTAGTTTAACCAACTTCCTAAAATGTACCTATTTTATATATGACAGCGTAATAGTTATTATGGCTGTCCCCGGCCATGGTACTGTTCTTCCAAGACTATGATCTACTTAGAATCATGGAATTGTAGAGTTGGAAGGGACCCCTAGGATTATCTAGGCCAACACCCTGCAATGCAGAAATCTTTTGTCCAACATGAGGCTTGAACCCATGACCCTGAGATTAAATAAGAGTCTCATGTTCTACCAGCTGAGCTATCCCTTGGATGGGATGAAGAAAAACTAGACCAGCTACTTATCCTACAACAGGATACCTTATGCATTTAACAACAGGCATTGATGCCGTAACAGATAGCAAAGGCAAAAAAGTGAGCTCTCACCTGCTTCCCCAGGATCATCCTCCTTCAACAGGACAGCACTCTTAGTGATATCTTCTGTACCACTGTACTCTAAATTTGTGAACATGATTGAATGTTGAGGGGAGAGTGAAGTTGTCCAGTCATTGTCATCTAACTAAAACACACAATATGATACACAGAATAAAAACCCTATTAATATCACTGCATTGTGTATCAATGGTCTGACATTGTGATTGCTTATGTACATTTTTCTTCAGAAAGTAGTTCTAGTTGAAGTTGATTAATATGGATTTCCCTTCAATTTCAGATTTCAATGTCAGCCATCTGTTACTTATGGTGGAGTCCAATCCCCCTTTGCATTGAACTATGTGTGCTGACAGGGCAGAAGCAACCCTCAGCTCAGCCGCATCAGCCTCTACCAGCCTTTGCCTGCAATGATGCCAGCATCACTCTGCCATTGAAGAGCTCCTTGTTCCGCCTGCCAAGTGTGTGACTGGGTGAAATTGCTACCAGCCAAGTTCCTTGCCAGTGGAGAGCTCCAGGACAGCTCTGTTAAGCCCTGCCAGCCAACACCAAGAGTTTCGATTGCAGACTTAGTCAACAGCAAAAGAGACAATAATCACCATTGTAGATATTGCAGTTTTCATGAAAATGTACTCTGGTTGAAATAGGGATCGGATGATTGAATGTAGGTGGTGATGATTATTTTTTCCTTAAGAGAAAGGAGTCACCTGTAATCTAGTGTCTTGGTCCAACAAGGGAGTTTTACAAAACTGCACCCTACGGGTACATGACTCTCCTATGCATTCCAAGATTTCCTAATGATGTGAGAGGAGGGAGAAAAGTTCCTTCTAGCCATTCAGTCTTCTACCCATCTAAACACTACACATTATCCTTAAAAGGTCTGCTGTCAAGGCAAGTTTTTATGACATACAAAATGACAGCAAATTATCAAGAAAGATGGTGAGAACCCAGCTTCAGTAGCAGTAGATCATTATCCCCACCTTCCATCTACATGAGGGCTGAAAACTTCTTACCTTAAAAGACTGACTAGATTTTGCAGCATTCAATATGACAGCAGGGGAGACAGTGATAGACTAGCCCAAGAGCAGTAGCCAGTGCAACAAGCCTCTGATATCATAATCACATAATAGGGAGCAGTAGCCTCAGTAACAGTAGCTAAAGCAACAATCCAGTGATGTCACAATGATACAACAGGGAACATTTTCTGTCTTTCTAGTTTCTGGACACATTGAAGTTTATCTAAGAATTTAAAATAACCAATCTTAGCTGCTCTTCTCATCACTCCTTCTAATAGCAAACTCAGATGAGTGAATGCTGATGGTCAGAGCTGAAACAAGGGCACTGAGAAATAAAAGGGAGGTAACATGTTACCTGCCAACCTAGCAGTTCGAAAGCATGTCAAAGTGCAAGTAGATAAATAGGTACCTCTCCAGCAGGAAGGTAAATGGCGTTTCCATGCGCTGCTCTGGTTCTCCAGAAGTGGTTTAGTCATGCTGGCCACATGACCCGGAAGCTGTACGTCGGCTCCCTCAGCCAATAAAGTGAGATGAGCGCCGCAACCCCAGAGTCGGTCACGACTGGACCTAATGGTCAGGGGTCCCTTTACCTTTAACAGCATGTTTAGACCGAGTCCCAAGATTTGATAAAGTACAACTTAAAAAAACAAACTAAGGTGGCCAGTCCAGTGAGGAGTGAGCATGTTCAGTAGTCACATTGTAGCCTTATGAGGTTTTGCCCTCGGGTGGGAAAAATATTGAAGCTAATCTAACTTCCTTAGGGCCCGGGACCACTAGGGTGTTGCTATTTATGGACCTTGAGGCTCTCCGTGGGGCATACTGGGAGAGGCGGTCCCGTAGGTACGAGGGTCCTAGGCAGTGAAGGGCTTTAAAGGTCAAAAGCAGCACCTTAAATGAAAGGTCCTTTAGAAAGGACAAAAAAGAAAAATATTAACCTGCAACTTTATGTACACTACTTGGGAGTACACCTCACTCAGTACAGTGGGACTTACTTCTGAATAAACATGCACAAGATTTCATACGACTCAGAACTGCAGAATTGGAATTTGGCTGTTAAATGTTGCAAAAGTACCCTATGATGGGTGAAAGACTCTAAATGCTGCTCATTTGTACTTTGCATGTTCTTACCATAGACACATTTCCAAGGTGCCCAGGAGTATGCACAAGATAAGGAGATTTTCCTCCTGTGCCCATGATGGTAGACATATTCAGTTGATTCATGGAACTCCGACTCTGTGGAGTAACTGGAGAAAAATTGTTTTTAATTATTTTTTTTAACAGGAACAGGAGCAAGACATGGCGAGGGGTGGGGTAGCCCCTTGCTGGAACTAATACATTATTCAACTCAGCAGAGAGATGAAATAGTGAATAAGACTTCACCCTCTTACAGAAAACCAGTATTGTGCTTAGTACAAAAATTTAATTAATTTTAACTAAACTATTTAGGAGTGGAAGGAATAGTGGACGTAAACACTTAGAAGTATAGTAAATTTAAAGCACTAAAGTGTACATCAAATAAGGCAATAGGTATAAAAGATCTTACAGGAGCGTGAAAGCCGCCCCAGTCCTGGAGTCCTGGGGACTGTCAGTCCTCTTGTTGTCATGCCACTTGAACTGTCATCCAGAGAAGCAAGGACTAAGAAAATAGAATCAAGCTAAGAAAAGAAGCTTTAAAGTTCTGCCTCAGTTTGCAGGTGTCCCTGGCCATCTTAAGTTCTGGTAAACACAGTCTATGTCATTATTCCTTCAAATTCCATCTTTCCCAGGAAGCCTATTGCTTAAGCGCAGTTTTTCTACAAACGCAAATTGAATCAGGTGGAGGATATGCTGACAATTAACAGGATCAGAACAAGCATATGTGGGTAAATGTTACCTTTCCCACTCCTGCTGCAGTTCTGAGAAATATCTCATTTTCTGAAGCTGATACTCACTTTGGGTGTGAATTTTAATAGCTTCAAATCTTAAAGTGTTTTTCGCCTGGTCTTACTACATATTTGTCACAAAAAGTAACAAATCATGAAGCAAAATAATGGTCAAAATCATATTAAACTATATTACTATGTGTAACAGAAAATAAATTATGTTACTCTGCACTGTCCTGAATTAACCTTTCTTTATATAAAAAAGACATTATCATTTAAAGAAATAATGTCTAGCTCACAAACCATATGAATATGCTTTTAGGTAAAACCAAAGGAAAAGGATACTAGAAACTTTTTTTTTAGAACTCTGCTTCCGAACTGGCCGAGTTGCTTCTTGTGGAGTAGGCATATTTTGAAAATCATTCCTGAAAAGAATACAAACATCTAATGTTATTGAAGCTACCAACTTGAGTCTGACCAAACTGCGGGAGGCAGTGGAAGACAGGAGTTACTGGTGTGCTCTGGTCCGTGGGGTCACGAAGAGTTGGACACGACTAATCGACTAAACAACAACAATGTTATTTTATTTTAATTACTTCTAAATAATAAAAGTTTAAAGTGAACCTAAAATTTCATATTATAATTTGAAACAAGAGACACTTCCAAAAATAATTGAATGAAATTGTTTTACAATACCTGATCTGCATGTGTGAAATCTGAAACTTTACATCTAATAAAGAAATATCCTCAACAGCAAAATTCTAGCAGTCAGCTAATTATAATAATCTTCAACAGAATCAGATGCTGAAAAGAAAAGAAGGCTCTACTTGCACATTAGATAATTTCTGCCATCTTTGAACATCTTTGAAATACATCAGTATTCACCAATCTCAGTATTCACTTTTCCTATACAGATTACTAGCATTCTTTTCCCAATAGCTGCCAACCAAATGCCTCTGGAGGCTCACAAGCTGGGCGTGAAGATGATGGTTTTCACTGTTATTTTCCACAGAATCATCTTGCATTCAGAGGCATACATCCACTAAACCTGGATTTTCTACTTACCTTTAATGGCTAAAATATGGTGATAGACAAATTCATGGATAAAGTCTTTTTTTTTTAAAATCAATCTTTAGGTTGTGGGCTTCACTGCACCTTGCAGCAATTAATTAATTATGTGTTCTGTGAAGAATGCAACATGGTTTTGTGACACTGATAAAAAAATATGTTTTTCCTTTTCTCTCTGCAAACATGGGAAATTGCGGGGAGGAAGAAAAGCAATTTGAAGCACGGAAAAACTTTGCCTCCTATCAAAGGAATGGGTAATTTTTGGATGGAAAAATAATTTTTGAGATTTAGACCCCACCTCTCTAACTTGAACTAATTTTGTGGTGTCTCTTCTACGTCTAATCCAGCACCGGAGCAATGGCCAGCCAAATGCTACAGAAAGGTAGCAAGTCACCTCCAGCACCTGATGGCCAGGAGGCTCCATTTAACTTGGTCTGTGAAGTTAAGGATAGGTGGTGGGAGTTTGCCTTGGTAAAGTGTGCTTAAGTGTCATGAGAGAATGTGGTTATTTAGCTCCTTCAACCTAAATGTTGCCACACCAGGGTGGGTTACAAAAGACACGAGGTCATAATATAACACATAACATCATATAACCTAAAAGCAACAGTCTAATCAGATAGTAAAACTCAAATGGACGTTGACTAAAAAATTTAATTTGGCCAGACACCTAAATGATACCAACAAGACCGCCAGGCAAACCTGCCTAAGGAAGGCAAGGAGCCACCACTGAAATGGCCTAGTCATCTACCTGCAGCACTTCAGAAAGTAGGACAGCCAGAGAAAGCTTCCAATATTTCAAGCACCTTGATGGAAGAGGAAGTAGTCCAAGAGATATTGGGGAGAGGGGGGGTTCCCTAAGCCACGGAGGTTTAGTGGGATTTCTAACAACCTGACTTTGCGGGAGCCCCTCATCCCAAGCGCCCCACCTTAAAACCACCAAATGAGCATATGCGAACGGATGAAAAGTGGAACTGTGGGACTCACTGCCACAGGACGTGGTGGTTGACCATTAGTTTGGAGCGCTCTCAAGAGGAGATTAGGCAGCTTCATTGAGAACAAGGCTATCAGAAGGGGGACGGCTGTATTTATGACAAAGGGCAGCTCCGGGAGGCTGCCCAATATTGCCCTCATGTCCACTGTGGGAAACAGTAGGGCTGGGCTGGGCAGGCCGCTCCGTTGCCTGGCAACCTTCCGAGCGCCTATCAGCTGGCGCGCGAGGCTCAGCTAACGGCTCTCCCTCCCTCCCTCCCTCCCACCCGGCCAACGGACGCGCACGCGGACAAAGCCCACGCTCGCTGCAGGCTCCCCCCTCCCTCCCGCCCGCCCGCCCCAGGCAGAGAGAACACCTCTCGCCGGGCCTCCCCTCCCCCGCTCCTCTCCCCTCGCGTACTCTGTCAAAGGAGCCGACTTGTCCATCTCGGAGGCGAGCGGCAGGCTGGTTGCCGCTTCTTGAGTCTTCCCGCTCCCCGGAAGCTCGTGACCCGGAGCAGGAAGTGGAAGAATCAAGGCAATGAAAGCGGAGGGGGCGGGATTTGTGGCAACGCCTGTTTGAGGCGAGAAGCCGCCTGAGGCTCACACGGGCCTTCATGTTTCCGAGGCAGAGAAGCCAAAGGGCAATGGAAGCCTGGCCTGCGGGGGCCGCCGCTTAGACCTCTTCGTACAGAGAGGCAAGGACTCTTCAAAATTTCTCACTCGCCATGCCGGCTTCAGCGGCTTCCTGTAACGGTCGACACAGACAGGCTCCTGGGCAGGAAGGGCGCCGCCTGCAGCTTGGGAGGACCATTCCCATATAAACCCATTTCCCGACGGCAGGCGCTGAGCGGATGCCCGTGTAAGGTTTGGGACTGCAGAACTCGGCAAAAACCACGGAACTGGGCATTATAATTTCGGATATATTAAAAGGACGAGGAGGCAGAACGGATCCTTTCATTACATTTTACCACGGAAGTGACGGGCTTTAAACACCAGCGGCTGGGCTCTCTCAAGCAGAAAAGGAAATGGGTGTCTTGAGGTTTTTATTGGTTTTATAACAGCATCCATAGCTCTTATGAGTCTAGAGCAGGGGTTCCCAAACTTGGGTGTCCAGCTGTTTTTGGACTACAACTCCCATCATCCCTTGCTAGCAGGACCAGTGGTCAGGGATGATGAGAAATGTAGTCCAAAAAACAACTGGAGACCAAAGTTTGGGAAACATTGGTCTAATTAGGAGGAAATGGCTTCCAAGTATAGCTCAAGCTACTTCATTACTGCCCTCGAAAGGCCTGGTAAGCTACCTTTGTATGGATACATAACTGAATATTTCACTGGTAGCTTCTCCTCACTATGTTGAAGGGCCTAGAAGAAAGGCCCCTGCAATTGTATTCTACTTTCTGTGTAGCTACTAAAAGCATGGAAGGAGTTCTGTCTTCTAGTACATTTGGTTTAGACCTGCTAACCTTTGCTAAGCTCCCCTCTCTATTCTGAACAAAAACGCGGTGTCAAAGAAAAATCAATTTCCTTTATTAGCATTGAAATTAGGTTTACAGGTAAAGCATCCCAAATATCCACCCATTACAATTAAATTGGCAAGAGATTAAACAGTTCTCTTACAGAGCAAGAACTGGGAAGACATGTCACAGGGAGAGTAGGGCGGGCTAGCTAATGGGTTTACACTAAAATGCATGTTAACAGTTGCTAGTGTAGCAGTAGGGCTGGTCATTCATACATGAAGCCATGGAACTGTTCTTTCAATACAAATCCAACACACACAACCCAGACAGAAAAGACAACCTGGCAAGTGGAAATGCTAGGAGATAGAGGTTGCTTCACATTGAAAGCTTCTGCGCCTTGACAAGGAGACACCACCAGAGACAGGGCTGCTTCTGCCAATGCGAGCTCCCCACTCCGCATCAGTACAAATGTCCTTTAAGATATCCTGACAGTGATAATCCTAACACAGATGTTGAACTGCAGATCCACCGAGCATGGATGAGTTAGAAACAAACTAGGCACAGAAGCCAGTAATAATACAAAAGGAGAAACTCTTCCCCACAAAGCATGGACTTACTAGTTTTGGAAGTCAGCTTTTACTCAAGAAGCAATATTCTACAGAATGTGAACATTAGGCAGCTGAAGCAGCTTGCACAAATATTGCTACCTATCTGGCACTATGAGGAAGACCATGGTGACAGATAGGAAGTATTTGTATTGTGAAAGTTTAAGATTGCTCCTAAAGGAACATGAATTCCGAAATGCCTTGAGCTGTAATAAAACCTCTTATGCTGGCACTTTTGAGAACAAGTTTCTCCTATTGCATTCTTCTTGGAGATGTTTGCTTCAGATTTGCTGTGCCAAGGGAGACAGAAAGTACACTATCATGAAAGACAAGTAGCTAGTAATACCTTGCCAAAAACCTAATCCTGTGAACTAGAATAAGCAGAAGAAATACAGAACTATACGGAGTTTGAAAAGTGATGTTACACAGTATGTATTAACCGGGAAATACTAACCTTTTAAAAAAGTGAGCAATGAATTTGAGGGGAGGGTTACGATTAACTGCAATTATCAAAACACAGCCAGTTATTTAAAAAGACACAGGCAGTTTGGTGTTTATTTTTTTTAAAAAAAACAACACCACCACCATGGTGAGTTATGAGTTTGGTTCCCACTAAAGACTCACATTTGAAAACCCAGGAGGAACTTTTTTGGGCCAGGAATACATACTGTATCTTAAGCTGCAGGAAGGCTGTATGAATCTTTCCTGCAACTTTAAGGTACGTGCACATACACCTTTAGGGTTACTTAATGTTACAGCCTGTAGTGTTCTGCAAATGAACAGCTGTGAGGAAATAAAGGATGAGATATGAATAAAACAATCTTATCCAAAAGCTGTGACAAAAAGCATTGTATATACGATTGTTTGGCACTATATTTTATACTGTACAGAAAAGTCATGCACAATCTCTTAGGAAATTGCTGTAGCTGCAGAACCAAGACTAATGCATTTTGGTGTAGTCATCCTTTCTCATATGAATGCAGTTAACCAGCTACGTTTCTCTGCTGGCTCCTTTTCTACCTAAAATCCAGTGATGGTGAGAAAAAAGCCCAGCTGCTTCAAAATTGGCAGAGCTCTGCAAAAGCCCTATTTGGAGCATGGGAGGACTAGAACTGGCAAGAGATTTCTCCCACACAGGGCTATGTACAAGGCTGCTTTGTATAGTAGTCCTGCCTGTCCAGACTACCAATAAGTACAGCAGCACACACAAGTTATACTCACCCACGAACAGAGTGCCAGATCTTACCAGTGAAACAGACTTCTTTCCAACCCAAGGATGTTAATGAGCATTTTTCAGTATAGTTAAGATTCAGTTCTCAAAGGCAGACAAGGTTGCAAGAAACTACCAACCAAGCAGTAACCCAGGCCATAGTATCAACTATTGCCTGTGCTATCTGCTTCACAGTTTATCAAAAAATGAAAGGCTTTATAAAAAACTGAACCTTTTGCCAAGTCACCTGCATGCAGCTGGTTTCTTTAGCTAGGATTAGAAAAAATCCCAATACTGTACTGTGATTCAGCATTCTGAAATACAGTTCCTGCCCCAGTAACTTCAGGTTCTTGTGACTGGACTTCAGTAGCCAAGATAAAACGAATACCCAACTCATAGTTGGTCAACTTGCGCTGTCCATATTTTTGCGAAAAACAGCAAGCATCTGGGGAACCTTGCCTGTACATTTCAGATACCCCATGCTTCCATGAATTTGTGGCTCAATTAACCTGGTATTTTTTTACTTGAGAACAAGCAGACTACATAGGATTCTTTATGCATAGCCAATAATAGTTTTGAATTATCTAGAAACAAGCAGCTTTTAAGACTACTCCATTTGGGCATCTGATGTCTTTCAGGCCTCAAAGTATTTGTAAACTTAACATAGTTCTAGGTTTAGCATATACCAGTACCCTCTTGGGACAAAGAAGGTTGGTAAAAATAATCCCACTCTCTTTTTCCTTCTATCACATTTCTTAGCAAAGATACTCAGCAACGGAGGCTGACCTAACTCTGGAATGTTTCCACTGAAACCAGTAAATTATGGCAACATTAGTGGTTAGAGCACATCCATGATTATTTAGGAGAATGTGTAAGTAGTCTGACTTGTATAGGATGGACAAGCAATGATTCCTTGGGGTTTCAAATTCTAATTGCCAAACACACATTTTAACACATTACTGATCTCACTGAAACATTACACAAAACATTCAATTACAGGTAGTTGTAATGCAAGCCCTTGCATGGCAATCCAAATTTATTGAACTACTGATGCTAAGTCATACAAAATTGCACCACTTTTAATTAAGGCTTTTAGTTTACATTTGGCCACCTCAAAGCAGTTGTAACATTAGGTTGGTCAATTTAAATACTGTGGCTCCCTGTTGGATTTTACACGCAATCTTTACACCCAAACGTTAATGCATACAAAGCAACAAGGCATTGTTAAATAAATCTGCAAAAAGGTAATTACTGCAACTTAGGCCCTGGGACCAATTACACATGATTAAAATTACTTCCCACATTCACATCCACAGTACTCGTCCACCATTTAACATCTCAACCAAAACGTTACACATGTAAAACAATCACTAACAGGCAAAAGTACTAAACCTGTATATTTGGTATTGCAAATACACTTATGCATGAGCAAGCAAGGGAATTCACAGTGAGAATCTACAGCTGCAGAAGCCAAAATGATTTACAAAAAATTGTTAAATCATTAAAAAATTGTTTTAAAATATACACTTCTTGTTGTAGACCCCCACTGTACACACAACTATAAACATTGTTCCCTATGTAAACAAGGAAAAGGAAACATACAATAAAAGGTTGAAAAATCTGGACATTTCCTTCCCAACAGATATTAAAGGCAATGTCTTTAGACAGACATTATACTGAAAGGACTCATTTTAAAGACTAGATCACTGTCTCCACAGGTTTTTTATCCTAAAATTAAAAAACTATATAGCTGTTGAGTTAATCAAAGCGCTTTTGTACAATACAATGGTGATCCTGTATTTTTCTTTTAAAAAAGTTACAATAAGCTACAAATACCGATGAAGCAAAGTTATCTGGAGTAGTCTATATATAGGAGCTCTTTGGACTTTCTTTTATTACGCTAAAATAGTGGTGCTTTTCGGATTTACATTATTGTACTCTCCAATAGGAAGTATGGGGTTTGTTGCAGTATACAGTACAGTTTTCATACATGTACAACATTGGTGGATGAACAATGTCTCTTATCAGTAATACTGGATGTAGGCTCTGGTTTTACCAGTTGCATACATTTAGATTATTTATAAGTAAAAATCTCTCGTGACACTGGAAAGTGATTAGAATGTGCAAACTGATGTAGTAGCTGTCATCCATTTCACAAAGGGTACCACCACAGGAAAGTCCATTTTAAGTTGTTGGTAGGTTTAATAAAGTTGGAATGCTGGCACTGTTGTAGTCAGCAACAGTTCTTCAGACCTGGAACATAAAGAGAAACAGAGATTAATACTCAGATGGTATTTAAGCAATGAAAGAGAATCACTATATCGAAAAAAGGTGTATCCTACATTAAATGTTTCAGTTGCGTTAAAATTTGTTTCCCATTTCAAGAGAGGGTTCAATTCCAACTGCCCCCAAGTGAAATTCTTGCTCTCAGAACAGGATTTTTCCACCTCTTTCCTACTGCAGCCCCTGAAAAAGTGCTCCTGAGGTCTGAGAGAAGTGTCACAGGAGGTTGCAGCAAGAAGCAACTGGCAAAAAAAGTCAGATCCCCCACAACATTGCCAGAAGTACCTTTTACTTGCACAAGGCTATATCTGAATCCCAAGCCATTAACTTTGAATTTTTGACCCATCCTATAAAGAGCTGGCAATCCTTCATGCATATTCAAGTGCACATGGATGCAGATATAGTGTTATAATTTAAAACCAGATTGAAATGATCAAAAGCATCTCAGCACGGCGAATGCGAATAAATCAATCATTTAAAAATACAGCACTATTTGTTGTGGCTTTCAGTGTGGCAAGACTTTGCTTACACTTACCTGGCTCAGTGCTACAGTACACACATATATTAAAGTAGCTGACAAGATGACTTTTTGCGTGCTTTCCCAGGTACTGGAGTTTTTCTGTTAATTTGTCGCACAAGGTCGTAGAAGATCTGTGAATACAAAGTTTGCTTCATATATTCAGTGTTTTTCAAGTGGGATCATTTTCAGGCTTCATAGCTTTTAAACATGACATTTAAATACCACTGCAGCCACAAACGAAATTCTGATGTGTAGCGCTTATATTCTGCCTTCCACAGTTCTTAAAATTGACAACTGCTACTTTTCCCAGTCCCCCCCCCACCAGAAATGCAAATCATGCAAATAAGACCCTGACTCTTTTCAAGGGGGTTGGCAGACAAGACTGAGATTGCAATCCTAAACACTTTCTAGGGAGTAGCACCACTGAAGACCCCTTATTTCCAAGAAATGCACACAATAAGCTTGGATTTTGAGGAAGCTTTACTTTACATACAATTCAGCATGAATATTTGGGGACTAATTTCCTCCTATGTTAAGCAAAAGAATCCCACAAATATTTTGGGCCTGTTTTGTACATCAGCAGTAGCGAATGTCTGGCCCATATGAGGCAGGTAAAGACAGTTTCAAAGGGGAAACCAGGAGCCTTAAGTGTGCTCTCAATTGTTCTTTGGCAAGCAATGCTGATCAAAGCCCCACTTAAACCAAGTCCACCAGAGAAATGCATCCATTGCTTGCATAGTTTGAAATCAAACCACTCAAGCAAAGGAAGTAAAGTTTGAAATCACTGATAAGTTGCAGAGACAAAAGGAAACACAATGGCGATAGTGACATCATGTAATTGACAGGTGAACAAACATTGCATTAAGGAAAAAAAGCAGGAGATCCTGATCCAGTTCTAAGGGTCAAATAATGTGAATAGGTCTTTCGTAAGATAAAATGTTTTAAAGCCTTACAGTTTCATATAAATTCTAGACTATGTGCACATAAAATGAAGCTATTCATTTAATAGCTGGCTATGTTTTAGAGTAAATGTCATCCTGAAAAGCTAGTTTCCCCACACAAAAGTTGTTTCAAAAATTCTTTCTGCCCCTACTTCCATAGACCTGCTCAATTTTTGCTTGAATAGTTTTTATGCGCAATTCAGGAGTTCCCTGGGAAACACGGGGAAATACTGCAAATAACCCATAACTGATAGTTGCTCTTAAAGAGCTCATGCTTTTTTAAAAAAGCTGTTGGAAGTTTAAGGCATTCTGACCAGTTTCAAAGAAAGAAATTCCATGGGGGAAAAAGATCAAATGTGTTGTCAGTTGTAATGTGCATGTCCCCCAAATGTAGTCCAAGATTGCCATTTTAAGTTTTAGGAATAACTAGAACAGTCCCATCACCAATGATGTCTTCTGCAGCTGTGTATCTTTACATCAGAGAAGCCAACAAACAGTCATCCAATCTGTTCACATCATTTATACAGTGGCACCTCGGGTTACATACGCTTCAGGTTACAGACTCCGCTAACCCAGAAATATTACCTCGGGTTAAGAACTTTGCTTCAGGATGAGAACAGAAATCGTGCTCCAGCAGCAGCGGGAGGCCCCATTAGCTAAAGTGGTGCTTCAGGTTAAGAACAGTTTCAGGTTAAGAACAGACCTCCAGAACGAATTAAGTTCTTAACCCGAGGTACCACTGTACAAGTTTCCAAAACAGGATTATTAATTTCTAACATTTAGAAGCATTCAAACTTCAAAGGAGCAGTTGTTTTGGCTTTAACAGAAGACAATGCCATGGTGAATTAGATTGTCTATTTCTAGAAGGATAGCCATATTGTTTTTGCTCTAATAGGCTAAATTGGGTAGCTAACATGATGCCCTTCAAATTCCCAACCATTACAACTGATGGGAGTTGTTGACAACACCTAGAAGGCATCATGTTGGCTACCCATGGGCTACCTCTTGTGGCACCTTGAAGACCAACAAATCTGTTAGTCTTTAAGGAGGTACAATACCCTTTGCTGTTTAGACCAACTAGTCTCCCTCATTCTCATGAAGTGGATTGTTGCCTATGAAACCTCATGCCATTAGTTAATCATTTTCCAGGGGTGACAATTCTCTCCCTACTTTATGCCAAGAACAAAAAAGGGTATCTCCCCTTTCTGGAGCAGTGATCTCTTCCCCTTTCTGCTGGACTTTTCCAGAAGCAGAGATCATAATTCTGCCTTAGCACTGAGGTAGAATTCATAACAACTTAGACAGGTTTGCCAGACCTGCATTTTATTGAAATTAACAGGATATGTCAGCAACGAATGACATATCCCACTGATTTCAATAGGAATTAGGTACAAATTTACATCTAATTTTACACTAGAATAATGAAAGTGATTAAAAACTCACAAAAGCTGATAATAGTGGTCGTGTGGGTTTGGGATAAACAAAGTAAAATTAAATGTGTAAAATTATTTATTTACCTCATTAACATTTATTTTTGATTTTGCAGAAGACTCTAAGAATGCACAGTTATTCCATTGCCTTGCTAAATTCTGTCCTTGTTCCTTTCCCACAACTCTTTCATCTTCCAAATCGCACTTGTTGCCAACCAGAATCATTGGTACCTAAAATGATAAACATTAAGTAAAGATTTAAAATGTAAATTAAATAACTACTACTGTGAAAAGTTAAATAATTTCCGATACTAATCAGTCACACTCTGAAAGTTATATCTGAAGTCTTAATTGAAAACTGGATTCTTACACAATCAAACTAGAGGTAATGCATTTAAAATGCATCATATTGTTAAAGTAATTTTAAGACATCAACATTTGAGAATGAAGCCACTAGTAGCTTAGATTTGGAGTTCTCAAATCCAAGTTATACAGCACTGCAGTTCTGTACTTGAATCTACATTTCATTTTAACATAACATTTAGGGCTGTTATATTATCTTGTAAAATAATCCACTGCCTTTGTATGATTCACCACTTTCTGAACCTAAAAGAGCAACTTATTCTAATGAGATAATTGGAATCTGAGACGGAGCAATATGGCACAATATAGTAATGCAGTAAAGCAAAGCACCAGCTTCTTTTGAATCCAACCAGCAGTGCTCTTCCTTCTGGCTCCAAATTAACATCACAGACAGTACTCATTGTTTTGTAATGTTTTAAAATGGCCAGCTGCACACACGTCTCTACTTAATCAAGGAATTGAATATCCAAGCATTGTTTACGTTTTGAAACACAGTATGAATCCTGTCTTGGCCTGTATGCATAGTTTATCTTCCAAAGTCCCATTTTAAATAATAAAGTCCCACTTAAAGAATATCTTTTATATTTATGATTCTTGCTTATTCTGTCTTTAAAGCTTTGATAGTGAATTTGTGCTAGTTCAATTACATTTTTATACAATAGTCATAAAAGTAGCAGCAGATCTTCTGTTGAGTGGCCACATATCAAGGAAAGAGACAACAGGAATCCCATTTTCACCCAAGGCAAGTTACTATGCATACATCAGATCATGTCCTTATTGTAGAACACTGGCTATAGAAGAGCCATAAGCTGTGCTTCTAAAGAGAACCTCCACTGGCCATTTGCAAACAATGCTTAGGAAGACTGCTTACATCATCAGTGTCTTTGACTCGAAGAATCTGTTCTCTTAGATCCTGCAAATCATTAAATGTGGACTGTGCTGTGATGGAATATACTAAAGCAAACCCTTGACCATTTTTCATGTAGAGGTCTCTCATGGCTGTAAACTGTTCCTGTAAAACACAATGACAGAAATGGAGAACTCAGAACAGTTATCTGACAAATGCAGCCTGACTTATGAGGACTGATCACACAGCAATTCTTCCCCCCTAAGCATGAATTTACTTTTCCTATCCCGTTTTTTCTAAACAGGAGCTGGCTGGCTTTCTGGACATGTAAAGTAATCAGTTGACACTTACTCAAAATAAGCTGGAAGCATTGTGTCAAGAATTACAGATTTACAGGGGAAAAAGGCATCAGTCTAACAAGCAGATGGATTAAACACACTGTAAATTAGTAGTGAAACTTCAGAGTTCCAGCTATCTTTAGTCAGTTAACAAGTTTTTCCATCTTTCCCCGCTCTTTTCAGGCAGCATCTTGTTCTATACCAGCAGTGGGGAACCTCCATCCCATGGACCTAATTAGGACCAGGTCTCCCCATTTGGCTTGTGAGGCACACACCTGCCCTACACCTATCATCATATATGACATCAGGTCTGGGGCAGGTAAACACTCAGCTGCGCCAAAAGGGGCTTTGCAGCTGATCAGTGGCACTTGTAAAGCCCTGTGCACAGAGGCGCTGATGATCAGCTTATCTTCAGGGCTTGTATATCTGTGTAATATACCCAGTTTTGCTGTTCGTCATAGTTTGCAAAGCCCTGTGCACTGTTCTTTGCAAGGGCCACATCAGGGCTTGTAAAGCACTGAGCCTTTTCCTGTATGGTTTTTGACACCAGGTGACTGACAGGTAGTCAACCCTGATTTTCAGTTTTTAGAACAGCCTTTTCCTCCTAAAAATTAGTGGTATAATGAAGGGATCCAACGTTAGTAAAGTTGGGTAGTCAGAATGGATACAGAACAAAATCAAATATATAATCAAAGTTGTATTTAACTTTGCGGTGACTAGAGGGCAAATATTCATGTGCACTGCTCTTTAGGCATGTTTAAATTGGTGGGTGGTACATGGCTAAGTCAAACTCAGTGTAGACCCATTGGAATCAATAGACAAGTTAGCCATTCTTGGCAGGATACCACCTCAATGATTTATCGTTTCAGTGCCTTCATTTCTCCCCTTTAAATAATGTAGGGCGGGGGAGGAGATATTATTTAGTATTTTTAAAACCCCAGGTACATTTTTGAATTTATTTACAGCATTTCTGTCCTGCTCTTCAGCTGAAAAGAAGTTCACAGACCAGACCGACTAACAAATATCAGAATTAAGCCCCTGTGCTTGGGCTTACAATCTCAAAAGGCATACCACAAAGAGATATGGGTTTGGGGAAAGAGAAGGGAAAAAGTAGGTCTGAATTACAATTAGTATTTGCTTGCATAAGAATTAAATTACACGAAACACACCATCTTGCTTTCCCCCCTGAGTCAAATATTTTCACTGAACTACTTTGGGCTACCGCAAACACTTTGAGATATTTATACAGAATGTAATATATGACACCCCTCAGGAAACATAACAATATAAGACAAATAGATATGGTAACTCTGGTTTTGATTGATTTAGGACAGCAGAAAATTTTCTGGGAAACCCACAGCACTGCTTCATATGTGGTGTCAGAACTGACAGACTATCTATGAATGATATTGGGAAGGTGGTGGAAAGCTGAGTGAAAAATACCAACTCAGCAAAGAGCTGCACTATAAAAGGCATAGGCAAGGGACTGAAAATAAAGCTGCACCTTCTGCAGGACTATAGTGCAGACACATTTTTTTGTGTGTGCGTGTGTTTTGGGAGGGAGTCACAGGATGGATCCAAAGATTGGTGTACCGTTTCTCCTTATACGCAAGATATAATTAGTACAGGTTTGCGTATGCAGATCAGTTGCTCTACATATACAAACTTCATACCATACCACAAGCTTAGTGTGCCTGCTGGAAAACAATTTTTAAACAGATGCTGAACATCAAGATGCTGAAGTGATTGTGAGCATTTAATACCTTTCAAACATGTACAGAAAACTAACCCTCTATCATTTTAGAATTCAATGCTCATTTCCTCCTCCTCCTCCACTGATATTACCCCTTCTACTTATCAATAATGTCACTTGTATAGTTTTGTCAAACAGGTTGGGGAAGAAGAACAATTTATTTGTAACTTAGCAAAGAATGACAGTGACATGCTGACCGTTGTCAAGAGACACTGATAAAAACTTAGTTTGTTCTGTAGCTCATTTTTTTTTAATTCATGGATAACATATACACTCTTAAATAAACAAAAATGAAAACAATCATATACTAATAGTCTTATGCATGTTTACAGAAATTAACTGGAATGGCTTGTTCTGTAGCTCAAGCTATTGCTCTGTAAACACTTTCATTTGTAAAAGTTGACCTATAGTAGTTTTACACTTAGTCTTATTTTTACATACCGTTCCTGCTGTGTCTAAGATTTCAAGCATACATTGTTGTGCATCTACTTCAACTTGCTGTCAAAAAAGAAGAAGACACAATTTTGTACTGAAGTATAAACAGCAAGACTTCAAATACTCATTAACTTGCCTTTACAAGTTATACCCACAATGCACAAGATTATTTCCCTTACCATAGTCAAAGCAGTTGGCAGGCTGAAAGAGAGTTTGAGAGTTTATAATAAAATAGCAAAATAGATATGTTAATTTTGCTTGGGTCGGGATTTATTTTGTAGCAAGAACTGCACACTAAATTCGAGCAGAGGGGAAGGTGAAAGCAGAAGAAGAACAAGATGACAGCAAGAAAGTGTTTGTTACCATTTAAGGACATTTGGGGGGGGGAGCCCATTTTTCCTAATACCAAATACCCCAGTCCACCACTCCCAACAACCCCAGCCAGAATATCCAATGGTTAGGGGTTATGGGAGTTTTATTCCAAAACAGTTGGAGGACACCAGGTTGGAAAATGCTCAAGTAATGTGCTACAATGCAGGTTAAGTGCATGCCTTTTAGAGCTCAAGACATCTACTGTTTGCCATTAACACAATGTTCCTCTTGACCATAGTGACTCATTTTAGTTCATACTGCTATAATTGTGTCTATATGGTTTATTCTTATGTTTTAATTACAAACCACCACATTTTTCCTTTTGGAAAACTCAGAGCACTTCCTGGCCTTTCCCATTCTGGCAGTGAACTGGTCCACCCTCACTTAGCTTCATGAAACATCACTGGGTTCTTCCAGATCATTCACGGAAAGTTGGTAGTTTTTTTTTGTCACTATGGTATGGTAAGTTGTGGACAGTTGCTTTGTTCAAAAGTGCTTAGTGCTCAAAACAGAGCCCAGTAGCCTTCATGACACAAGCTAACCAAGCTGCCCTACTTTTATTTTTTGACTGCCGAAAGCTAGGTCAAGCTTCTTTCCATCTCGAAAAGGACCTATTCCAATCTGACTAGAAATGCCTGTAGCCTTCTCAAGTTGGGTTGGGTTGGGTTGTAACTTAGCCACATCGAAAAACAAAGCAGGTAACTTTCACTGTTGTATTACATTTAGGTTGTAGGCTACTGTTTTCAATAACACAAAATATGCTATTCACTTAAAGGTATACTACAACTTAAAATAATGTGCATACCTTTCGGTAGGAGTCTTCTATCGTAGGATCATACTTTTCAACAAATATTCCTTGAACAAACTGTACAGTCTACAACAAAAACAGCATTTTATATATAAATACCTTTTTAATGCAATTTTTATAAATATTCCTATTAAAAGGAACATTTAAACTGCAAACAGTTCATTACACACATAGAAAGCACAAGTTGTTTCTAGCTTGCTGCCTATATTTATATTAAGTTTCTTCAGAACACTGACATGTCAATTGAAAGGTTAAGAGCCAGCATTAGTTTTGAACTTTGCTTCAGAGAAAAACTGTTCAGCCTTGAACAATGAAGGTGCTACTAAACTCAGTTGTAATATAAATTACATCAGCCACTATTAATTGATTCAGACAATGCCACGGTGTCTTGTCTGTTTACCCCTTATAAGGTGCTTAAATCAGTGTCTCTCTTTTTCTTTACTACCACATATTGAAGACAGGAAGCCTTCAAGGGGGCTGCGCTTAATCTTATTGCATCTGAGTGACACCTGCACTCTCTCTGCATATGTATCTGATGGCATGAGGCTTTTATATACTGAAAGTGCAATGGGACGTCTCCCTCATTGCGAGAAGCAAAGCTACAGGGAACCAGGCAGAGGGCCTTCTCGGTAGTGGCGCCCGCCCTGTGGAACGCCCTCCCATCAGATGTCAAAGCAATAAATAACTACCTGACATTTAGAGGGCATCTTAAGGCAGCCCTGTTCAGGGAAGCTTTTAATCTGTGATATTTTACTGTATTTTTTGTTTCTATGGAAGCCGCCCAGAGTGGCTGGGGAAACCCAGCCAGATGGGCGGGGTACAAATAATAAATTATTATTATTATTATTATTATTATTATTCTCCTCCTCTGGCTCTGTAGTCCCCCAGATCTTCTCTAAGGAGTTGGAAGACCTTCTGGAGTTAAGGATGAGTGCAAAGGGAAGGGGAAGAAGTGAAAATGTGCTCATGCAATTTTGGATATCACCCTCCACACACCGCTTTCCTACAAAAAATAGAATAAAGACTAGCATAGGGTTTCTCTGACTGACATTTACCATTAAACAGTGTTTGCTCTGAATATCCAAACCCCATGCTGAGACACATTCAAAAGGTCACCAGATTTTGAGTGACTTCCTCAGTGTTTCCCAATTTTTGAAGTTTTTTCCAGCCTAATTTTAGACAGTGAAAATTCAGAATGGATTGGGGCAGATGATCTCACACCCTTAATAAAATCTCTTTATTGGTGACGGAGGTAGTTTGGAGTCTTTTTTCCTTTTTTTTTTAAGGTTATACAAATTCTTGTCATGATGAAGTAACAATAAGTTGTATTACCTTTTATAAATGACTGAAGTAACTCAAATGACTAAGGTTTTTAAAAATGAAGCCAAATTTTAGGCCCAAATAAGGTGCTACAGATAGATATTATCTATTAAAACATTTTACCTGTTACCTTTTGGAATTCATGTTTAAGCATTAGTATAATTTATTGGAAGCTAACCATTGACCTATTTTTCAAATATTGTTCAACAGAGATTCAAAAATAAATGAACATTTTGTTTGTCTCTGCAACAACCACTTCTACTTCCAATTCCAGCTTCCCAACATTGACAATTTTTACTGTAGCATTAATTTTTTTCTTAAAGCAAAATGAACAGCTTTCCAACCCTCAATAAACACAAAAAATAGGGCACTCCATTGACTGTACTAACTGAACTATAGGTAGGTTAAAAATAGATAAATAAAATTGGTATAGAACATATGTATATGCACACATATATACCGGTATATGTGCTTATGTTCATATTACACACCTGAAATGCTTTCCACCTGCCTATTAACGTATTGGTTGCTTAGAATGTTTAATAGAGAGACTGATGCTTACAGCACGAAAACTGTGCTTTTCTTGGATTGCTTGCCAGGATCTGGAATCTTATGACTTAATACTAAACACATGCTTCACACATAACAAAACTGGACTCGGGCACATCACAGTGCACAGAAGTCACCTGAAACATCCAGACACATCTTACTGGGAGTTTCAGATGAAATATACAAGTTTTATATGCTTAGACATAGTCATAAGAGGCCAAAAAGTATCACTCACCAACGCAGACTTTCCAACACCTCCTGAACCAAGAACCACTAGTTTATATTCACGCATGGTGCAAGTGTTGAGTCACCACCTTAATATCTACAAGAAAAAAAAGAATCTGTTACACTGAGCTGCATATGGCACAAGTTTGGCTTATCAATTTTAATCTTCTATTAGTACAGAGTGTTCATACTATTGCACTAAAACTTCAAACAAACAAAAAGTACAGATAGCTTGTTTGAAAACAGTAACAATTTTTCTATGTGATAGGCGGTCTGAAAAGTATGTTGGAAGAAGTTTAGCAAATATCGTAGTCACTTATCCACTGCAGGTAATATATCTAGCACAGTGTCCTGATACAGCTATAAAGTCAGTGGCAGTTGATATACTCTTTTTGTGTAACCTTACATGTCTGGGATCATGTCTTACTATTAAAATAAAATGTTACAAATACTGATTTTACCTGGAAAATTTCTTTCCAGGAAAAAACAAGTATCAATAAAAGCAGCACCATAAAAACAGAGGCATAGCATCTGTAAAGAAAATCATTTTAACGCAGTGCTAAGAGATGTTAAGAGGAATGGTGCCAGACAGATCTTTCTGAGGGGGGAATTCTAAAGATGGGATACCCTGGACCCCCCCCCCCAAAAAGTCGTATACCCAGTTGCCACGAGACAAAAGACCAAAGTCAAGGACACACTGACAGCCTCTAAAGGAGATGTTAATGTGCAGGCAATTAACATATAGGAGCAAGCCATTCTTCAGAATGTTTGAGTGAAATGGCAAAGAATTCAGAATGCTTCACATGGCTTCCTCCACTAAAGCAGCTGGCCAGGTTTAGGGTGCAGAAAAGTCCAAAAAGAGGGTGTGTGGGGGGGAATAGGCCACCACAATAATAGCCTAAATTTGAAAGCTAATGGGAAGGATCCTACAGGAGTTGGGGAGGCGAGAAAAGAAGGGGCTATATATTGTCAATATATTGTCCAAAACCAATTGGAAGTCCATGTCATGATATTGGTTTCATAATTTTTGACCTGGCAATATATCGCGAATCAATGACGTGTATTTGTGCTATGCAAAAATCACATTGTGGAGAAACTGTGAAGCCAGCAGAGAGAGAAAGCATGCAGGTCCTTTTTCAGTAGATACTGAGGGAAAAGTTTCCCCAAAGTCCTGCCCGCCCTTGACTGCTTGCTCACTCTTTCTCACTGCAGCAGACAGAGGAGAGGAGGAAGCCCAGCAACAGCAAGCCAGGAAGGGTAGATGCAGCCCATGGAGGAGGCAGCAGTGACTTTACTCTAGAGTCGTGCGGGGAGTCATTTCTACTCCCGCACCCACAGCGCCAGTCAGCTGACCCATGCTGTGGTGCAAGTGGTGACAGTTCACTTGGGCAGCAGGAGGCAATTTTAAGTTCAAGTCTCAGGCACATACATCATGACAAGACTTCTGAAATTGCTCACAAACATACCATTCCCTATCATGGAACGTGTCTAATGCCTAGCTTCGAACACTGCAGCAGACATCTTGGCTTTTCATTACCGAAAGGCTACACTCAAGTCAGTCAAGAATAGGAAGTCTAGCAGCAGCAACTACAACAACAACAACAGAACAGCTGAGTGTGGCATTAGGGGGTTAGGGGGGAAAAAACTTCATTACTACCTCCTAAATCAGGACCCATATACCTATTGAGCTGAAAATAGCCAAATGCAAAGTTGAAGTTCCGTTCTTCCTTATTAGATTTGCAAAACCAAGTATATATACAAGTATATAACAAGAGTTATGCAAACAAAACTGATGTTTGTGCATATGAGAAATATCCATATCTAATGCTTCAGGCTAGGTCAACAGTATCGTAAGTTCACCAGTTCCACCAACTGAATTGCACAACATACACTGCCCTAGCCTCAAATGCAACTGAAAGCACACAAGGAGCATGTGATAGAAGAGTGTGTGGGAAACTGATTGACAGCAAGGGCACAGAATGGAAAGTTGGATGGAGTTAAAGCAGGGTAGGGGGAAACTTTTTGCCTCTGGGGACCAGATTCTTATCAGGATTGGCTTTGTGTGCCAAAGTTGATAGGTGGGCACCAACCTATCAATGATATGATGTCATTATGCACCACAATGGTTTTGCAAGTCTTTCCATGCCTCTCATTTAAACCCAATACCAGAGTTTCCTGGATTAATGCTGCAAAGCAGCTTTTGAAACAGCCTCCATGCCTTCCTGTAATGTGCACCCACCAGCTACACGCCTCTCAGTGATGGAACTCTGAGCAGGGCTTCCAGCGATAACCAGTGAAAACAGGAAGTTATATCTGGAAGATGGTCCTTTAAAAACCCTTGTCCAAAGCAATTTAGCACTTCGAAAATGTGGGTTACAGCACATGTGCCCTATTTGAATACATAATATGAACTAGATAGAAGAGGAGGACTCATCAACATTCTGTTTTCATTACACCACTTACTCAGATTCTTCGCCAAGTGTTTTGACAAGAACTAAAGTTTATTTGACCTATAGGTCAAAGAAAATATTTTGCATGTGTGCCTAAAAACATGAATGCCACAGTTGCGTAATTCTGTGTCTATACATTCTTGAATCAAGTGAAACTTCAGTCTTGAGAACAAAAGTGCTCTCATCACTAAGTAGCCTTTTCATCCACATCCATTATCTACTGGGCAACATACTTTCTCTCCTTGCTTTGCGATCTCTTCATTACAAAAGTACAAAGCGATAGGAATGTGCTTAGGTTACATAGAACACTGGGGTGGTGGTGGTGGGGGGCGAGAGACTGGTGAAGCTGTCAGGGAGAATGTAGTCCAAGCTAATCTTGCTCAGCACACTGAATTTAGCTTTGGGCTTCACGTTTAATAACATTAGTAGAAGAGTCTGTACAGGGTAAAAGTTATTAATTTGGTTAGAAAGATAATACAGTTCCAGACTGGTTCTCACAAAAGTGAAATTTAACTGATAGTTAAAATTTGCTTGTGTGAACCCAGAAACAGGAATATTTTGGAGCAGCTTACAACAGTTAAAAAAGATCTGACAGTTAACAAATCATTAACTCATTGTCAAATATGTGTTTTATACATGAAGCCATTTTTGGAAATAACTTATAACCCAACTTCCTTTCTAAGAAAAGCTAAGCGAGACCAAAGTGACAGATTAGCAATAATTAGGCCTTCCTGTTGTGCAAGTTCCACCGAAGTCGTGGAAGACATCACATTATTTACGACAACCTTAGCAGAACAATTTGAGCATTCATCCTAGTAAAATTGAAAGCAGCACAGACCTTGGTTTTTGAAAAAAGTGGATCGTTTGCTAATATGGGTCTTTTTTACTAGACAAAGTGAGCAGGCTTAGTATTATCTGCTGAAACAAATAAGTTCTAGCTCCTAGATGCAGCAAGCTACATCATTTAATTGCCACTTCCAGCTTGTGATATTGATTCCCTGCTGTGCAGAAAAGCCTTTGTGTTGGATTCCCTTGATGTGAATGGCCTTTATTGACATTAGATGATGCTCTGCCCAATTCAGGAACTCTGATGCTATCCCTGTTGTGACTGAAGTATTTTGTTCTTTTATGCAGAACAATCAGATTTCACATTACTACCAAGCACTAGGAACGCCCCCCTTCAACCATGAGCTAATGAGCTTTTCCAGAAAACATGCTCCCTCTTCTTCATTTGATTATTTATATTGGTCCAATAGTAAGTGTGTGTCTGCCAACTATCTAGACTAACCCTTGAACAAGAAGGCCCAGAAACCACTGCTGTGTTTAGTAAACAGCACATACATTCAAAAAACATTTGTTTCAGAACTAGCTTATGGATAAGTTTATTTACTGGGCTACATCAAAGTTTATTGCATGTGGACTATCACATAGTGCACTATTTTTAGCCACCTCTACTCAGATAACATTTTGCTTTGTGTCAACTTTATAGAGAAAGCAACCATAAAGCAATTGCATAACAATACCACATAGAGCAAAATTTCCAACACCTGGAAGTTTCCAACAAAAACAATCCTATAAATAGTTACATAAACCACTGATCATACCGCATGACACCCATATTTAATTTTTTGAGGGACACATATATCATTTTAAGTCTCTGGGATATCAATTATTGTCCATTTTTGAGACAAATAGCGCAATACAGAAGTCAACTGGCATGTTTTTATGAACACTATCAGTGATGTTTCTTGCACATTTCCTGGATGAGGTTTTCAAAAGCGTCAAAGCAAATATAGTCATTCAAAAATTAGTATTAATTAATTAATTACCTTCCAATAACAGAAGCATCATTAATATAGATGTTCACAGTCAGAAGTAGAAGTTGAACTATATGGGTCAACAAAATTTAGCTGACTATGTAGCCAGCCAAAATTTCTTCTCACTATAACCCTGTGGGAATTCTGCTGGTATAAAATCCTTTTGCGCTATTTTGAGTAATTCCCTTCTCCCACTAAAGCCCTGTACAATATACATCCCATTGTTCAGGGCTCCCTGACCTCAACCCTCTGGACAGAGTTTTGGGGGGCCAAGGGGCTTCAGGGGAAAGAAGGGAAGAGGAAGATTAGATCTTTACACCACAGATAAATATGCTACTGACTCTAGACCTGCACTCTTCCACTAGGGCTTCCCCAAATTCCTGGAGAGTGTTTCCCACTCCCACCCCCCAACAGCGGGAGAAGGCGAAGAGAAAGATCAGTTGCACAACCTGATATCCACTCATGCAGTCTCTGGGTACAACCCTTAAAGCAGAGCTATGCATTAAATATGTGTGCATTGTTCCACCAAAATATGTCACCTGAAGAGGGCAAGCATCTGATAGTGCAATGATCTGATAACTCAGTTGGTTAGAATGTGGTGCTGGTAATGCCAAGGTTGCAGGTTTGATCCCCCATAAGGGACAGCTGCACAGTCCTGTATTGCAGGGGGTTGGACTAGATGAACATCTACATGAAACCAGTGAGTGAGGTTATTCAGTTGTGGAGTAAATTGTCAGCAATATGCTGATTATTACACACAGCTCTACTTCTCTTTTACATCTGTAGGTGTGACAGTGGATGTACCGGCCCATTGTGTTGCTTCAGTAACAAAGACAAACCAATTACAGTGAAAGGAAGAGGTCACTGCCTAGTAGCCCCCCTGGATTATCAGGTGAATTTAAGACCAGGAGTTAACAGGATGACACAAAGCAGTTCCATATAGGACAACCCATTTAAACTCAGGTGGAGAAGCCCTCCTTATAAAGGAAAATCACTCCATGCCTATTTGCATATAAAGTAAGCTGCATGTATATGATGAAGTATGTAGATCAATTTATAGAGTTCAGCAGCTCTTAAATTCACAGAGAAATAATCATATGCTTGCCCTGCATACTAGCCTCAGCCCAGTATACTTGAAGGAGCGTCTCCACCCTCATTGTTCAGCCCGGATGCTAAGGTCCAGCGCCGAGGGCCTTCTGGCACTTCCTTCACTGCAAGAAGGAAAGTTACAGGGAACCAGGCAGAGGGCCTTCTCAGTAGTGGCACCCGCCCTGTGGGAGGCCCTCCTATCAGATGTCAAGGAAATCAACAATTATCTGACTGTTAGAAGACATCTGAAGGAAGCCCTGTTTAGGGAAGTTTTTAATGACTGATGTTTTAATGTATTTTGAATATTTTGTTGGAAGCTGCCAAGAACGGCTGGGGAAGCCCAGCCAGATGGGCGGGGTATAAATTATTATTATTATTGCCATAGAACTCAATACTACCCAACTACCTTGTTTATTTCTACTATCCTTCAACTATTTTAGTCTCCCTCCCACCTAATTACACCCTTCAATCAAGTCTTTCTGCTCCCAACATTCCAGTTTCTTTAAATATTATGTGCTGTGTTGTCCTCCTACCTTCAACACATTGCCCCTACAAATTATGCTCTCTCCATTAGACTTTCTGTAACTCCTCACTCCTATTGCTGGATACTAAGTTTTTCTCATTTCCTTGGGATAGGCTATCAGTAGTCAACAACCATTTAAGACAAAAGAAAATGCCTCCACCCTGTGTGAGTTATCCATTCTTAATTTTAAAAGCCTGATAAAGGTCGTGGTGAGAACAAAAGTGTGTTCTCAGTAACTACCACTTTTGAGGGCAGACACTTCTTACACACCATTCTGATTCACAAACCGGTCAAATATATTCAATTATGAAAGCTGAGTAAGTCCTGCAAATTTGCACATTTATTTGAGCTATGGAATTTGTGTTCTGGGGAGTCTGTACTTTGATGAACAAAGAGGCAAGGCTTTGAAAATTTAAAGAGTTTGACATCTGCGCTACTTCAAGAATTGTAATAAACACCAACATAAGAAAGCCTGCACATGCACTGTGAACCTTATAAGGTACTCACCCTGTCTACTGCCCCAATCAAGCCCATGTCCACAAATGTTCATAAGACAATTCACCATCACCTAAGAATCATTAGTATGTTTGCATGGGTCTTGCCAAGTACTTCATGCTAAAGTCTGCATGGCATGCTCCCACAAATGCATTTTTCCCCAGAAAGGTTTCATCGACGCCCATGGTGCCAATATGTTAAGGGGAAATAAAGCCAAAATAGTATTAAAGAAAAGTCTTGCAGGAAATTTCTTACAGCTGATAACACAGAGGAGTCAAAGTTAGGTTTTACTACTAGTAATCTATCTTAGAAGACGTTCTCCTTTACCCTGAATTTTCTGACTCAGGAAACCAGTTTGATCAATTCTGAGACCTGTGAAAGATCTCTAAATTTTTGTTGCACTGCTGACACCAATAACACCTTTAAACAGAACACACAGCTCAACAGCATCTTTACAGTGCACTGCACTTTGGTCATACATTTACACAGACTGCTCAAGAGCAACTTACATACTGCCCAATGGATTGGGTGGTTTACTTTGAATTAGAATTTTTGCAAAGAATGGCAAACAATGGCAAAAATGTGGAGGCAATGAACTCCACATTAATGTCAAAGAGGAAATGGGGGAAACTGCATTAAGAGGATGAATAAGGGGGAAATGTAAACTGCCATGTAAACTCATGGCTGGCTTGAAAACCACGTTGGAATGATAGGATATAAAATTTGACAAATATAATTAAGACTTGGTAAGCTGACCACCTTTTTTCTTGATATTAATATTCCATTAGCCAAGACTGGCACAGTTGAGAATCATAGAATCATAGAGTTGGAAGAGACCACAAGGGCCATCGAGTCCAACCCCCTGCCAAGCAGGAAACACTATTAGAGCACTCCTGACATATGGTTGTCAAGCCTCTGCTTAAAGACCTCCAAAGAAGGAGACTCCACCACACTCCTTGGCAGCAAATTCCACTGTCGAACAGCTCTTACTGTCAGGAAGTTCTTCCTAATGTTTAGGTGGAATCTTCTTTCTTGTAGTTTGGATCCATTGCTCCGTGTCCGCTTCTCTGGAGCAGCAGAAAACAACCTTTCTCCCTCCTCTATGTGACATCCTTTTATATATTTGAACATGGCTATCATATCACCCCTTAACCTCCTCTTCTCCAGGCTAAACATGCCCAGCTCCCTTAGCCTTTCCTCATAAGGCATCGTTTCCAGGCCTTTGACCATTTTGGTTGCCCTACTCTGGACACGTTCCAGTTTGTCAGTGTCCTTCTTGAACTGTGGTGCCCAGAACTGGACACAGTACTCCAGGTGAGGTCTGACCAGAGCAGAATACAGTGGCACTATTACTTTAATTGTTGCAAGAATAAAAACCAGAGAACTATTTAATTAATCATTCACATTTATAGAGTCTTTACTCAATATTATAGTTATAATTCATTATAATGTTATGGTTAACAATGAAATTAATTTGATTTTGTAATTAACCAAAGTATTAAGAAGCATCTTTGTAGATGTATCTAGTTTCTTCTTATAAAGTTAATGTTTTAAAAAAATTCTGACCAGTCATTTGAAAACTTTTTCTATTGGTCCAGCAATAAATAAAGAAAACTTTTAAAAGGCCAAAATCTTCTGATTATGATGTATGGAAAGGTCCTCCTTTCTTTTAGATGTGTCTTCCTTTGAACAGCTACATGCAGCCTTCTGTCAGTTTACTGATTTCTGACAAGGAAGAAAATTCCACTGTTCTGACTGCAGACTCACCAAGAATTTAGAAGTCTGCTATCTTAATAAACTTCCGCTAGTTTTATAAATTAGAACTGTTTTAAGTATTCTGTATCACAGAGTTTATTGGAGGTTTCAATAAACGTTTTCACCTGTAAACTGTAAATACATTTATTTAGGCAGCAATATTTCTTTATCAATTAATGGCAGCATGAACACGCTTCTTCACAATTATTTTTACTACCTAACTTTATTCAATGCATGTTACCTAAACAACCACCTAACTGCCATTTCTATCACATTAATCAAAGTACAGTCATATCTCGGGTTGCATATGCTTCATCTTGAGCGTGTTCGAGTTGCGCTCCACAGCAACCCGGAAGTAACGAAGCGCGTTACTTCCGGGTGTCGCAGCTTGCGCATGTGCAGACACTCAAAATGACGTTACGCGCATGCACAGAAGCGGCGAAAAGTGACGCGCGTGCGCGCAGACGTGCCATCACTAGTTACGTTTGCTTCTGGATGCGAACGGGGCTCCGGAACGGATCCCGTTCGTATCCAGAGGTTGTTGTTGTTGTTTAGTCGTGTCCGACTCTTCGTGACCCCATGGACCAGAGCACGCCAGGCACTCCTGTCTTCCACTGTACTATAGATGCCTTACTGCCACCAAAAGGCCTTTCTTTAGGAAAGCTGATTTCTCTTAAGCTGAATTTTCAAGAGTTCACCATCTGAAAACAATATTTGGAACCACATGCTAAGCACGGCCACTATTATATAAACTATCCATCACTTTGTCTCCAACATAGGCGCCAACACCATCTCTTCAACTTATCAATTGTCAGGAGTTATTCGATACCATTTAGATTGCAGTATTTTTTTCTATCTTCCATGTTTTAGAATTAAAAATACAACTTGAAACTGCTTCAATACCATGCAGCCAAACACAACTTCTATGAATGTGCATATATGTGTAAAGGGGGCAAATGTATGGGAGACCTTTCTCTGTGTAGAGAACAAGTGCTGAAATGAACTGGTGTTAAGGCACAAACTAGATAGGGACGGCCATATTTGTTTATTCAAGTGTCTACCTTTTTTTTTAAACTTTTCTCTAGGCCAACTCACTTTCAATATTGAAGTTCAGCTGGGAGAACATTGACCAATCATGGACGGGTGAGGAGGATTCAGCTCTCCTCAACCACTTGCCTCTTTCAATGCGAAAATTAGCCACCACTGCCAACTTTATATGTAAACAGGGAAGACACGTGAATAAAAATAGGCAACTGCCCTCACATGCAGTTTGGTCCTGTTGCATTTAATTGGTTCTGAAGCCCAAATGATAGTTATATTTCAATGTCTTGCACAACTGGTCCTTTATGTCATTTCATGTTCTTCACCTTGTTTTACAAAACTCAAGTTCAAGTCATTTCTTAAGCTTGTTTCTTGTTTGTTTTCTAATCATTCTTCGGATATCACATCACAAGTGCAAATACAACTATACAAAAATTGCCAAGATACTGAAACATGTAGCAATTACTTTCATACTGAGCCAGGTAAATCCTTTTACTGTACTAATACAGTCAAAGCTCTTCTTGCGTCCGCCTCTGCTTACATCCATTTCATCCATTACATCCGTGACAAACACGGACGTAACTGGTGGGTTTGCCACCGTTCGCATCTGCGCAGGAACGGCAATCGCCGTTCACACATGCGCACACAACGGCACCTCTCCCAGCGACCCGTTTCGACCTCCGGAGCGGATTATGGTCGCAGGTAGAGGTTCCACTCTACCGGATCAAAGCAAGGAATGCATACTGATGGCAATGGGTTTCAACTGGCTAAACTAGTCTGCAAACTCCCACACCTAGTTCAACACTAAACTAAAGCAGTACATGTTCTGCTCCTAGAAGTCCACCAATAAAGCTTCATACATCTAGATGACATACTAGATGTATGGCTTCAATTCTAATATTTTACTCTGTGACTTGAAGGAACTTCCATTCACAGAAGTTCAGCACACAGAAAGAATCCTTCCAAGAGTAATTGTACTCCCCCCCCATGAATAGAACTCCTGTTAACAGAGTAAGAGCTTAAGATGCAAGTCTATGTTTACAACTAAGCATTAATTTTGAAGATTAACTAGTATTGCGCAAAGTCTGCTATTTTATTTGGAAGAATAAAACAAACTTCCCACATTGGAATATTTGCTGGAGATGAGGATTCAAATATTTTCTCAAGGAAAAATGGAGAATACTGTATTGGATCTTATGGAATCCCAAGTATTTCTAGAAAATCAGTACTCAAATCAACGTAACTGAAGAAAATTGGTGAAAAAATATTTCACAAGCCACTATACTAGCCATTCTAAACCCATGACCCGTCAATATATTTTGGGGGGGGGGGAGGTTATCAAGGAAAAATAAAATTCACATTAGCATTTCCACTGCTATAGTTGGTGAAGTTGTTCATTGCACTCTTATACTTAAATTGTGATTTAAGTTGTGTCCTACCAAATTCTCATGGCTCAGGAAGGATTATTGTTCACATTTACAACAATACTCCGCTGTCTTAACTGAAAGTAACAAAAGTAAAGCAGAAACAGAATGGTCTTCCACTGCTTCTGCTAAACTTCCAGGTGTTGTTTGGTAAGTCCGTAAGGGGAATAAGTTTCCATATTTGTGGAGTAGTCAAAAAATTATCTATATATCTTTGCCACTCAAAAAAAGAAGAGCAGGGCTGCTCTTGATAGAACAGGCTGTTGTTTGGATAAAGGGAATGAGAAAGTATTTGATTATAAAACTATTAAGGGCTTTATAGAACAAAAGTAACATAAAGACGTATGCCCAGAAAGGTGCAAAAAGCCAGTGCATGAGATTTATGCCACTGACACATCCCAATGAGAGATAAATTTCCAAAGCCTCACCATTCTGAACAAGTTGAAGCATTCTAAACTAATCTTCATCTAATCTTCATTTATAATCTTGCCAAGAAGCAACTATAGTAGTCAAACTATAGAAGTATCGAAGCCTGAAATATTAGATTTAATGTCCGAGGCAGAAAAAATTGGTGAAAAACATTTCCAGGCACACCTGTATCCTTTCTGAACATGGTGCTAGTTTCAAGAGCACCTCAAGGCCACTCTCCACCTCCAATGAAATCATGGGGTTTGACAATCATTTTAGTCTCATTTGGATTTAGTTTCTTAGACAGGAAGTTACTCTCAGATACTGATATAGGACACATCAACTAGAAACTGTACAGCCATTCAGCACAGCACAAGAAAGTGAAGAGAGTCTGTGCGTTAGGCAGAGATGCCACTAAAACCCAGAATAGTTAAGAAACATGGCCACCTCCTGTAGCATATTGGGTCAAGTGTATCTGGTTATTAACCGAAAGGTTAGTGCTTGGAGCCCACTCAGAGACAGCTATGGGTAGGAATCCAACATTGCAGGTGTTGGACTAGATGACCCTTGGGGTGCCTTCTCACTCTACAATTCTATGATTTATTATAAAGAGGTGGTGGGTAGCACTGACTTCCATTTTGTGAAGTTAACTTCACTGTGCCCAGCTAGAACTGCTCTGATTCCTCTTAACCTGACGCCTTAAGCCTATTTTAATGAAAATTAACACCCACTGACTTTAGTGGTTGCACTGCATTGAAGTCCAAGACATCAGATATCTCATACTTGCTAGAAATACCACAAAGGGGGGAGGGGGTAGTAGTACAGGGTGGATCCCCACACCCACCCTCAATTTCTCTCTCCAATTTGTCTGGTTTTCTGTAACGGGGGCAAATCTGCAATCAATGCAGCACTCCCCCGTCAACTCTTTCCGAGCGGTCCCCCCTCCCCCCCTAATATATATGTGCAAATGTGAGTTCAGCAGAGCAGGGCCCGGATCTCAATTCAGATTCGGCCCGATTTGACGCGGAGTCTGACCCCGCGTTCAAATGCCGCTCGTTCTTTTCTTCTTCTTTTTTTAAGGGGGATGCGAACAGATTCTGGCAAGAGGCTGGAAAGCGGAAGAGGCCTATCTCCGCCTGGGAAGCGGCCGCCCTGCTTCCCCGCTGGGGCGGAGAATGGAAACAGTGAGCCGCTTCGACCCAGCCGGACTAGGCGGGGCGGCGGCTTCCAGCAGAGGCCGACGCCACGGGAGTCCGGCGGAGTTTCTTCCCGGCTACAAGCAGGGCGGGTGGGGAGTGGGGGTTGCTGCTGCTGCTGCCGCCGCCGCCCTCTCCTCCTTACCGGCAGGTCCCAACTGCGGGCGGCCTCGCCAAAGGGGCTCCAACTTTCCCCTTCCGCTCTAACTTCTCCCGGGGAGGCGGCCATAAGGAAGCGACGGGGTGGGGGGAGGGAAGAGAGAGCTGAGGCAAGAGGGGCCCGGCTTCCCCACCCCCCTTACCGAGGAGGGGAGCGGCCGGGCTCGGTTCCGCCTCCGCCATGTTCTCTCTGAGGAACCTTGTCCCGCCTGCAAAGCGGAGCCGCCGCCGCTCCCCCCCCCCCCACATCCCGGCTCGCCCTCGCCGCCGCCCCCCACCCCCACCCCGCTTGTGTCAGGCACTAACCGCCAGCGTCCCCTCACGCGTTCGGCGCCGGGCCCCCTTCCCCCTCGTCGTCGTCTTCGTCGTCGTCCTCCCCACCCAGCCGTCCCTCCCGTGGCCGCCGCCGCCGCCTCTTACCTACCGGACGGCGCTGCCGCTCCCCGCGTCCGTCGCCGCCTCCCTGGCCGAGCCCTCGGAGTCCTCCCCGCCCGTGCGCGCGCGCACACACCACACACACCCGCGCGCGCGCAGAGACTCCCTCCCTCCTCGCTGCCTCTTGCCTGGGCGAGGCTTGGAGCCGCCGCCGCCGCCGTGACGCTGCACGCCTGAGCCTCACTCTGGCTGCTCCCCTTCTTTGCTCGGTCCGATGGTGATGAGGGAAGGGAGGGGAGGGGGGAATGACCTCTCTGCTCCGCACCCAGCGCGCACGCGCGGCCGGCCGGCTCAGTCCTGAAGACACTGCAGCCTCCCCCCCCCCGCCGCACCGCCTTACTTCCTTTCTCTTCTCCGCCTCTCCTCTCCCTCTGCCCCACGACACACGCACACACATGCCGTCCCGCAACCTTACGCAGGGCCCCCATCCTGCCGCAGCTCCAGCAAGCAGCCCCCAGAGAGAGCGAGAGAGAGAGAAGTCGTCGCCTGCAAACGCGTGGAGAAGAAGCGAGCAAGCAGCGCCCCATTGCCAAGGCGCTATAGTTAGGGGTGGGGGAGAGAACCTGGTGTGCAAGGGAGAAGTGCGGCTGCAGGGCATGGAAGGGGGAGCAGGTTCGATCGCGCCACGTTTTCGGGCAGCGAAGAAGGGTTCTGTAAGAAGAACGCCGGCATTCTAAACATCCTCATTAGAAAGCCCCATGGAACCCGGTGCGGGGATCAGTTCCGAAGGGTCATGTTTAGGACCACCGGATTGTTGCATCTTCAGTGGCCGCTCCGTTCGAGACTCTTGCTAAATGATCGCGATGTAGGATGCCGGGCAGTTTTTCATGCTTAGGAAAGCCATGCTCCTTTCGCGTCCCCGCCCAGTTTCCCCTTCTGGGATGACATTCCTCATCTACAGACTCCCCAAGGGGCAGCTCTTCACGCAACTGTTGGCAAGAATAGCCCGGTCAGGCATCCATCTCAAAGCCGGTGTGGGAAAAGGACTGCTTTATGTTGTGAAATAATTCTGTGCAGTTTGAGCCTGTGCAGAGTTAGGTATTGAAACGAGTAGGGAGAGGCACGCCTAACTGGACCACGAATCCAGAATAAGTCATGAAGACTGAACAGCACAGCCCTAAGGATGTTACTAAATCCTGCTGTGTCCAGTGGGACATACTGCCTGGGAAAGCATGCATAAGATTCCAACTTAAGTCCCGTTGAAAGCAAAAGGGACTTGGGCTTCAATCCTGTTCACACTTAAAGGGGGGGGAGCACTGCAGATTTCAGCTGGACTTACTTCTGGGTAGACATGCACACGAGGTCTCCTTGTTCTGCTGGTTTGAATGGGATGTTCGTCACACCACTCACTTTAGGGGGATTGGGAGCACACTGTTGTGCAAAACTGGCAGGAAATTGCAGTGACAGTGACACTCCCAGGAAAGGGAGTGGGTGTGGTGGCGGAGGAAAGGCAGGCAGTTGCTGACATAAAATACAGAAAAGAAGAAAAGCTGCATTTCCCTAAAGTGGCTCTCTTATCTTTCATTGTTTATATATGATATTTTTACAGCCTGATCTTAATCAGTTGGCAAAGCAATGAAATTTACTTATCTGCAAACTTGGTTAGGATAGGGCTACAAATATACTGTACAAACTGATTGACATTTGTCACTAGTTTTATCTTAACCAACTACTCTGTGGCATAAGATTAATATAATCAACATATTCAGAAACTGAGACAGGTCCCAAGTTACCCAGAATGTCCATGGCTATAGACTTCAGCTCAAAATGCTCAGATGATCCTGTACTCTGGCCCATTTTCTTAAGAGAAATCATTTTTCGTAATCCCAGGAGTCTTATCAACATACCATGATCGTACAGTAAAAACTGTACAGAAATTCAGAAATAGTGCTTCATCTAAAAGCACATTTTAGTGTTTGAATAGTGGGTGAACATTTAATCCCAACCACTTTAAATCCCATAAAATTCCAAAAAGGCATTTGGCACATATAAATGATTAGCACCGCCTAAATTCAGTTTACCACATAAAATAAAAGTGCCTCATGATCTACTGAGATATAAAAGAATTCGGCAAAGCAATCGTTACATTATACTGGAATGGGAAGATACGTTGCTACTGATGTATTTATTTATATATATATTTAAATGCACCAGATCTGGGGCTGGCGTAAAGCTACACACATGGCCATGAACTGAAGGGACATAAAGGTATGACATCTCTGCTCCTCCTCTGTGCCACCCACATCCATATTTTTCTTATGGGCCAGCATGACAGTGTCATACCAGGGCCGCTCATTCATTCATTCATTCCACTCACTTATATCCACCTTCCTTCCATCATGTGACTTCCCTTTTAATTCTCAGCATTTCCCATGGACTTTCAGTAGCCCAAACAATACTATCACCCCAAAAAATCTCATTGTAATTTGTGGATTTGAGAGAACGCCGGACAGTAAAGGTTCAATCTTATGTACCCTTTCCCAGGAGTACACCATTGCTGTTAGTGGGTCTTCTGAGTAGTCATGTAGGTGATTACACCGTAAGGATTTCCATGGACATCCTAATTCAGTATTTACTCCCTTCAATTAAGACTTCAACTTCCGGCGGGTGTTGATGAACCATTTTGTTTTATTTTTTGCATTTAATCAGCTAATGACTTTGGGGCATGGAACATCACTTCTGAGCCTCCAGATGCTGCTTATCTAAGGAACACTGCACCTTTCTCTAGGTGAACACTGTATTAGATTAATAATAATAATTTAAATGCAGGACCTCTTTACATAGCATATGTTAATATCACAGCCTTATCCTTGGATCTGATCAGCTGTGATGAACAGCTATTTTCTCCTGTTTATGTAGTGACAAACGACAATCATTTGATAATTCATACGTACGTAGCCTTACACTAAAAAATGGATAGCATCTACCACATACTCAAAATCACTTGGGTGCAGTGCTGGGCCCACTTAAAGCCAATGAGCTGATCAGTGCTGTAAGCCCCATTGGTTGCACTAAGAGTTTCTTGATGTTGAACTCCCTAGTGTGGCCAATCCCAGTGGGTTTCTGTGTTGGTGCTCATTGGTGCCCTGCTTGCCAAGAGTGTGCTTGAACTTCCGGTTGTTCCTCTGCAGACACATATCCACACCTGATATCACATAATGTTGTCAAGCGTGGGGCAGGTGGGCATGGAATGGGATAAATGGCGCAATGGCCAAATTAGGATCCCTTCTGGGCCTAGTTAGGTTTGTGGACCAGAGATCCCCCTCTGCTGGTTTAAAGGCACAAGACTCCTGCCAGAAGAAAGGAGGCTAAACATATAGCATGAGATTATGATATTGACGTCTGGTGATGCTTGGCCGTTAATAGGCAGTAGTGATTAAATGTATCCATGTTATGTTATCTTGTGCATGTGCCATTATTTGCTTCAGACACCATTTGTGGTTTATGGACACTCAAGAAATTTAATCTAATGGCTGCTGTGTTCCCCTTGCCTTACAAATGACAGTGACTATCAATGGCTTTCTAAAGTATTTACACAACTTGATGAAACCACAATAGTTAAATGTCAATATGTGCAGAAGGCTTAATAGGCAAGATGTATTGCCTATTACTTCTCTGTATGAAGTTCACCCATAGACTGTAGAGGACATTTATTTATAACCCAGAGTGGGTTAGCTCATGCCATAGCTCCCCGTGGTACTGATAATGATATAGTAGAAGCTGGTTTAATGAAAAGATGCTCCCAAAATCAAGTTTGGGAAGGTGTTTAAAAACAAACAGTTGCTGTATATTCCTGGATTCAGAGAGGAAAGGAAGTTTAATTAAACTGCCCCATCAAGAAGAACTGTAATGATGAAACATGATTGAAGTGAGGTGGCAGAAACTGCAAACAGAACAGGAAGGTGAGTAGGATTGTAGAAATGTACTTTTAAAGATCGCTTGCCTAAGACAGTCTATTTATTGCACTGTTTAGATGGCTCAATACTGCTATTCTGAAAATTAAAAGTGAAAAATTAGATTTAGTTTGGGAACTGGGGGTGTTTTAGAATATATTTCCCCCCATGGTATTGTAGAGCATTGTATTCTCTGTATGCACTTCTTGGAGCCTCATTATATTAGATTTCTTTCTTTCTTTCTTTACTGGTTTAGAAAATATATTGAAACAGAAGTCAAAAAGTGGAACAAAGAGAAAGAAAATGGAAGTTTATTATTGTCTCTCGTGTAGGGCAGCTGCTTTGGTGAAGGCAATTTGCTTCAGCAAAGCCTACCAGAAATACCTTCTCTGGGTTCCCCACTTTGCCCAGTCTCTTCCCCAGACACACCGAGAGCAGGGCCTTCTCATGCAATTTCTTTCCCATCCTACTTCCAATCCACTAGGCAGTGGTTCTCAACCTGTGGGTCCCCAGATGATGTTGGACTACAACTCCCATCATCCCTGAGCTCTGGCCTTGCTAGCTAGGGGTGATGGGAGTTGTAGTTCAACAACATCTGGGGACCCACAGGTCGAGAAAGCCTGCACTAGAGGCTCAGTGGCAGTGGTTCTCAAACACTTTGCAGTGTGGGAACCTTTTACTTTAAACAAAACTCGGTCAAACCTTTGCAGTAAATTCTTTTTCAACTTTTTTTTTTAAGGGTGTTGGGAGGAATTATTGGGAACTTACTGTCAAGCAAGGGAGAGCCAGACAGAACAACAATTTTAAAAAGCAGCAATGCTGAGACTTTGAAAAACAGAGCTTTCATTGCCCTGATCTCATCTAATGGGAGCAGTTTCCACCACTCCTCATCTAGCCAGTCCCTGACACACATTCTGGATTAGTTGTAGTTTCCGGGTCACCTTTAAAGGTCTTGGGTTACCAAACTGGTCCCTTGCCACTAAACGTTGGAGACCCCCGGTCTACACTAACCACAGTACTCCAGGATTTCAGACAGCTCAACCTAGAGATGAAAAGGGTGGCGCTGTGGGTTAAACCACAGAGCCTAGGACTTGCTGATCAGAAGGTCGGTGGTTCGAATCCCCGCAACGGAGTGAGCTCCTGTTGTTCGGTCCCTGCTCCTGCCCACCTAGCAGTTCGAAAGCATGTCAAAGTGCAAGTAGATAAATAGGTACCACTCCAACGGGAAGGTAAATGGCGTTTCCGTGCGCTGCTCTGGTTCGCCAGAAGCGGCTTAGTCATGCTGGCCACATGACCCGGAAGCTGTACGCCGGCTCCCTCGGCCAATAAAGCGAGATGAGCGCTGCAACCCCAGAGTCGGCCACGACTGGACCTAATGGTCAGGGGTCCCTTTACCTTTACCTTTAACCTGGAGATGCAAGTGATTTTATCTGGGACCTTTTCCAAAGTGTTTGCTCTCCTTCCTTGTATGGCCCAAGCAATTCACATATGGAGTCCAGGGTTGATTGTTTCTGGTGCACCCCCTCAGTGCCTCCAGATGGCTCTCTGCCAGCAATGGAGCCAAATTAATATATCAATCATAGCAAGATTGTGGTGCTGCTATCCTAGGAAAAGAAGCTCACTCCAGTTGTTTTTTTAAATAATCAATATAATAGGGATCTAAAAGTCTTCTTTAAAAACAGTGAAGCCAAGCAGCTTCTTTTTTATCTTATAAATGCCACTCAAAAGATGTATCAAGTTACCCAGGATTGTTAGGGTAAGCAGAATACAACAAAAGAGACTGGCAAGAGTTCTACTGCAGCAAGCTTTATTGTGCAAAGCCCAGTCTATTATTCTCAGATCATGTAGATGAATTTCTGACACAAAGCTGATGTGCCAGCCTGGCTGGATGAAGACAAAACTGGCTCTTTTTTTTATTTAATAGGACCAAAGAACCTGGGATAACATTTCATGCACATCGATACCTTGAGGGAAAATATTGAACAATCTATTCATTCCAGACAGTTGCATGGAGGGGCACTTCGCAAACCCAAAGCATTAGCTCATCTGCATTATTGCACATCATAGCTCAGAAGTAGTATTTTATTAGCGGATGGTCATAAACTGCATTGTATAACAACCTGACTCTTGGCAAATAAACTGGGAACTGTTTGTCCCTCGCTCCTTTGAATCATCCCCACACAGTTCTTTTTATTTGTGGCATAAGCTGCTGCTACTGATTAAAATCAGTCACATCCATTTCAGCAAAATAGCACACTCCCCGCCAACCTTTCCCGAGTGATGGGGATTTCACACTAGCTGTTCCTAGTTTGGAGGAAAGAGCACCTTTGGTGTCAAAATGTCAAAATCTGTCTCTTTATGAAGGTTTAGTGACAAGGCTGCAGCGGCCGCGAGACAACCTCTGGGCGTCATACTTCCCAAAGTGAATTGTGTGAGTCACCAGGTGGATCTGAGGGTTTTCTGAATGCGAGAGTCCCAGAAGTCTTCAGACTGCACCCGTAATTCCTGCAACTATAGTTCCTGTCTTCTGATATAGGGTGTTATGTACTGAAGTTCTCACCCTGGGCCAGCAGGGGGATACCGTAGATAGTTTTCACTCAGGTCCACATATGCAAATAAGGGATCGAAAGTGACATTCAGTGATTGGATAGTTACAGAAAATGGTTACTGTTGCATTCTAGTGGAGCTCTATATAAGCAGGCTGGCTGAACCCTTCAGTTCAGTTCTGTTCTGGCCTGTGAATAAACAAGAGCTGTTTGACGAATTGCTGGAGGACACCAACAACCTGGCTCCACTTATGATTAGGGCGGTATCAGAAACCCAGGCAGCACTCCGCAATTTGTGCCTCATCCATCTAAATACACTCCAGAACACCCAATTAACCGGAACATGTTGCCCAGCCTGCCTCAAAACTACTCATTTTCAAATTACATAGGAAGCAGAGTCAAACCATTGGCCATCTAGCTCAGTGTAGCCTACACTGACTGCCAGCAGCTCTCTGGAATTCAGGCAGGGTTCTTCTTTCCCAGCGCTCCCCCCCATAGATTCCAGGGATTGAACCTGGGACCTTCTGCATGCAAAGCAGGTGTTCTACCACAGAGCTGTAGCCCTTCCCTGGCTTAATAATCAGTGGAGTCCCCACTATGCAGTGCTTTCTTTCCGGAAAAAAAGATGGGGGAACTCACCACGAAGTTTGTTTCTTTATTGTGGTCCCAGTTGCAGCGCCACACCCACCCACCCTGGGCAGTGGCTAAATGCAAGATGTGATTAATAAACTCAAGCAGACGATGATCTGGATTAAAAATTGGCCACGGCTTTATTGATTACAGATATAGGTGGATTTTGGGCTCAGGCATTGGGTGTATATCCATTCTGGGTCTGCCCCTCCCCCCCCCCAACACCCGGCCAACAACAAGAACAAAAAGAGTTACCAGTATTTGATTTTTAAAAGGTTCACCCAAGTTCCTGCTCAAAAGAAAACTTCTGCCACTTTGCATGCCTAAATGACATATTGAAAACTTACAGCAGATGTGAAAATGCAAAACTATAATCAAGAAAGATATAAGAAGATAAAAAGAGGAAGATCAAACAGGAAAATTAACAGGAAGGCAATTCTCATTACAGTATACCTAATCTTAGATGGTACGTGAAAGGGTGCATTTTATCAAGTGAATAGTTGTGGGCATTTAATAACATGTACACAACTTTTTATACCCCCTCCTTTAAAACCATTTTCTGTGTTTCTCCCCAGTGTGTCTGTAAATCTCTCTCTCTCTCTCTCTCTCTCTCTCTGTGTGTGTGTGTGTGAGAGAGAGAGAGAGAGAGAGAGAGAGAGAGAGAGAGAGAGAGAGAGAGAGAGACACTCTGGTATGGCAACTGGCAGTGCGATGAAAATTTGTTTAATGCACGTAGTTCATTTGAAATAGCTAAAATGCTTGATTGGTTTAATTATTTACCCAGCTTGGCTTGAGAAGTAATCTACACAGAGCTCAGGTACACTAAAGTGGTATAAATGGAAGTTTTAGAAATTAAAAAGGGGATGTGGAGAAAGGTACTACTGGTGAAATTTTTTTATCTTATAACAGACGGTTGGAAATAACTAGGTTGGAATAAAGAGAAGCTAGAGTGTCAGATATAGAACCAGATTTTAATATTCAGAAATTTAGGAATTAACTGATTCCAGACTTTAATGTGGGCTTAGGTTTTTAAAAAAGGAAACAAAAAGTAGCCTCATTACTCCTCTGTACAAGGGGATATATTTCCATGGCAACAACCCCGAAATTCCATAGCAACATTAATCTGGTTATTTGCCAGAAAGCCCATTTTACAAGGTAAGTAGAAACCTCAACTTTCACTCCTGCCCTTCAATGAAACAGCAGTAAAAACTAAAACTCCCTGTGGAAATTCTCACTTCTGTAAGATGAAGGGATGATCATTTTACAATAATGGTCATGCTATGAGTGGTGATGGACAAGTGGCAATGGGCAAACAGGATCGCATGTGGCCTTGTGGGGGAGAAGACCACAATTAGTGTGGGCAGGCTCACCTGGTCCGTGAATCCAATGCTGTGAGGCAGGGGTGGAGATCCACATTATCTTGGGCAGACTCTTCTGGGGGCTGATGGGTGATGCCAAAGTAGATGGATCAATGGATGTAGCTGTTGCCTTTGTACAGCAGGCTAAGATGCAGCCGTAGGAACGCCAGAGGTTTCTACATCTATCCACCTCTCTCCGGTCAGTCAGGCAAGAGCCATTATTACAGTTAAAGGCATATCCCATCTAGAACAGCCCTGTTCAGGGAAGTTTTTAATGTGTGACATTTTAATGTATTTTTAATCTTTGTTGGAAGCTGCCCAGAGTGGCTGGGGAAGCCCAGCCAGATGGGCAGGGTACAAATAATAAATTATTATTATTATTATTATTATTACACAAAAGCATTCAAGGAGGGCATGAGGGAGGGCCAACAAGGGGTTGGGGGGATGGGATTTAGAGAGATCCCAGAGGGCCACATAGAAAGGCTAGGAGGCTCACATTTGGCTCCCAGCCCTTGAGGTTCCCCACCCTTGCTGTAAACTTTGAAATAGTCTTGGCCAACTGTTGTTTTCCTACTGCCTTGCTATCTGGTCCAACCACATTTCCCGCCCCCCTCTCAGGAGAAATTGTGATATTGCATGCTTTGCTATGCATAAGATCATGCGGCATAGACTTGTTCTCTTTGGGGCTTTGTCCTTTTGTTTAATATTAATTTTTTTATAGAAAGTATTTCATTTATAAAGAAATAAAGTGATACAAAGGGGAAAAAGGGGAGAAAGTGAGGGGGGGGGAAGCAAAGAGGTGTATAAGAAAGATAGGGGGGAGGGAAACAAGATACAAAAATCCAATGTAATATACTCCCATACATTCTTATATAAACTGATACAGTGTTATTAGTGGAGTATAGAGTCAGGTTTAAGGTGCTGGTTTTGACCTTCAAAGCCCTTTGTGGCTTAGGGCCATCGTATTTACGGGACCACCTCTCCTGGTATGCCCCGCAGAGGACCTTAAGGTCCAAGAATAATCATAGTTTAGAGGTCACGGGCCCTAAGGAAGTCAGATTATCCTCCACCAGGGCCAGGGCCTTCTCAGTGATGGCTCCAACCTGGTGGAATGCTCTGTCCCATGAGACCAGGGCCCTGCAGGATTTAACCTCCTTCTGCAGGACCTGTAAGACAGAGCTATTCCACCTGGCTTTCAATTTGAATTTAGCCTGATCTTTCATTCCTCTTCCTTCCCTCCCCCTCCCCTTTTTATGAAAATTACCTGCTCTGGGATCCCACAGTTAATTGTCCCCTGGCCTCCTCGCTGGCCCAAATAGGACTAATTTAGTCAGCTAGCCCTGGTGATCATCTAATGTTTATTGGATGGATTTCCCCCTAAATTGATTTTTGAATTTTTAATTTATTGTTATTCACACTTTTATACTGTATTTTATGCTGTTTTTTGTTGTATCACAATTAAGTGTTTTAAATTTGTTGTTATCCGCCCTGAGCCCAGTTTTCTGAACCAGGAAGGGCGGGGTATAAATAAAATAAAAAAAATTATTATTATTATTATTATTATTATTATTATTATCCTAATACATATGTAGATGTTAACAGCCTACTACATTCTGTATAAACTCATTCCAAATGTTGTCATATTTGTCGAAACAAAGTCTGCATCTGTAAGCAATCCGTTTATAAGTTGCAAGTGTTGTCTTATTGTTGGTCCATTGATTGAAAGGTATCATTTCTTTATTCTTTGGGGCTTTGTCCTTGACGACCGGTTCTGCACTCGCCTTGAAAATGACAACATAAAAATGGGGGAAAGGCAAAGTACTGACCCAAATGCCATGTCTTTCAATAATACATGGAGATTATGCTCCATTTGCGCCGGAAATAGGAACACGACAGGTTCTAGGGACTCTGCCTTCTTGCATCTTGCTTGAGCTCTTACTTTAGCAGAGAACGAGGAGGGGGACGCACATCCATAAACTGTGAACTGCAGAGCATGCAGGGTGCTGGGAGTGATAAATGAAGCAGGTCACACCTCTCATAAGTACTGTCTGTGGCTGTCTGCAGTGTCTGACAAGCAATATGGCCTCAGTTGGCAGCCAGTACTTTTTTCAAGGTTAGGTGTTTGCTGTTAGTAGATGGGATTTTGGAACCTTAAAACCCTGAAGTGTTCAGAAGAAGATGCACATTCAAACGACCGGCTCAATAAAAGAATGCAATTGTCACAGAGACATCAGAAGAGCCCTGCTGCATCAGACCAAAGCCCTATCTCAACTAGAACCTTGTTTTCCACAGTGACCAACCAGATGCCTCTGGGAAACCCACAAGCAGGACTTGAAAGCAAAAGCTACCATCTCCTGCTGTTTCTCCCATGCTGTCTCTGATCCTGGATGAAATATGCAGCCAACAACATCACTATGACTAATTCAGCAACGTATTGGTTCAGGTCCTGTGGCAAGCAGGGAAGAGCTGACCCAACTTCCACCATAGCCTCTGTATGTGCAACAGCCAGCAAAGATTTTATGGTTCCATTTACCATATTTCTTTATCACACACCACCTTGAGAAATGAAGAAATAAATGACGTTGCATTCCGAGCTGACGTGTCGCCTTGCCATCATTGCAAAAGAGATGGCTCACATGTTCAAGTAACTGAATATTAAGTTGTGAAAAGTGGATTGAAATGCCTAGATATGTGAACAGTGAGTCCTAAGATTACATGCAGGATTTCTTTGTTAGTGCAAAACCCTGGGACTTTGCTCCAAAGTCAGAATATTTCAGATATATTTCCTGCAATATTTATAACCCAGCCACCTAAGTGTTCGCATAGTATAACGAATGTAATAAACTCTGATGTAAACTATAACCGAGACAGAGGAACAGAATTACGGTTGCCATGGGAACCCTAATACTGAAGACACTGTAAGCACCAAGTTATATTTGAAGTATAATTTAATAGTTCGAATTACTTGGAAAGTGATATGGAATGTTAATAGCTGGAATATCAGATATGGCATTTGTAATGTTAGTGCCAATTATAGCCATACATACTGCTTTAGTTCTTGGAGGTGTAAATATAGAAAGTTGTCTAGAACTTTACTAGAAAAAAAGAGAGAGTTAATAATCCTGATCAAGGGAGGGCAATCTGTTCATGGTGGAGACGATGGAGCTTTTTCCACCCATTATTTGGTTCCAGAGATGGGGAACCTGGTGGTCCTCCATATGTCCTTCATCCCTGATAATGCTGGCTGAGTCTGACCCTTCCTCTGCTAAAGGTCAGATCATGATTGTTCATCCTTCAAACCATGATCCCTGAGGTCAGCTACTTCAGCCAGAGCCTAGTTGGGTTGGAGGTGAGACCTAGGGGTTGGGGCTTGATATTTGACATGCAGAAGATACTGACCAAGCAAGGACAAAAGTGGGATGATGATTAAGGTAAAGGTAAAGGGACCCCTGACCATTAGGTCCAGTCGTGGCCGACTCTGGGGTTGCGGTGCTCATCTCGCTTTATTGGCCGAGGGAGCCGGCGTACAGCTTCCGGGTCATGTGGCCAGCATGACTAGGCCGCTTCTGACGAACCAGAGCAGCGCACGGAAACGCCGTTTACCTTCCCGCCAGAGCGGTACCTATTTATCTACTTGCACTTTGACGTGCTTTTGAATTGCTAGGTTGGCAGGAGCAGGGACCGAGCAACGGGAGCTCACCCTGTCACGGGGATTCGAACCGCCGGCCTTCTGATCGGCAAGTCCTAGGCTCTGTGGTTTAACCCACAGCACCAAAGGCAATGAATTTATTAATTAAATTTACATGTGCAAAAGCAATATTTCTGAACCAAGCACCATGTTTTATTTGTTTTATGTGCTGCAACAGATGTCAGCAAGGGTTTTTTTATCAGCCAGAACTCACCAGAACTGGCACCTCTCAGGTGGATGCCATTGCCATTAAAAGAGAACAAGGGAGGCATTCATGGTGAGTTCTGGCACCTCTTTTTCTATAAAAAATAACTCCGGTGTCTGCTTAGAAGAGGTATTCCTCCTGCATGTGAAAGAAGAGAAACTCCCCTTTAAGGTGGTTTTGGCTTTTTATGTCATGCCTACTGCAATTCATGTCTATTGTATCCTGTTGGCACTATTATTTGTTCTTCGTGTTACAGAAGCCCAACAGGCATCAACTATAAGTTGGGCATACACTCCTCCAGAGGGCGTCATATAAATATTTTAATATAATATTTTTAACATCGTAATATTATTTATAATTAAATTTGAGGCTTACTACTTTGTGAGCATGCATAGGATTGTACCTTATGTCACCCTCAATTTTTCACAAACCCCAGAGCTTTTAAACTTCAAGACA